AGACTCAGCCTGCTCCTAGTTCAGGGGTAGGCAACCTTGGCTGGCTCAGGAATTCTGGGAGCTGAAGTCCACGAGTCATAAAAGAGCCAAAGTTGCCTATCCCTATCCTAGTTCAACCTTTAAATCTCTGTTATCTAATAATGATTTTCACAAGGCACCAGCTTGGGGAAAGCTGGTTGTGTATAAAAAGTGGGGTGTCTAAGGGAAAAATGTGTATAAAAAGAAGTTCTAAAAGATGTAGGAACTGGGCCATTACAGAATGCTATGTGTGAGTCAAAAGTTTAGAAAGCGAATGACCACCACCAATATTTGACTATGAAGATTCTCAGTCATCCAGGTCATGGTTGTCCCAAAGGTGATTTTTCATGAGGCAACTGGATTTTCTTGTTATTTTTTGAAGACGTTTCGCTTCTCACCCAGGAAGCTTCTTCAGTTCTGACTGAAGAATTCACCCCAACCATCCTGTCAGAGCTGAAGAAGCTTCTTGGGTGAGAAGCGAGACGTTTTCAAAGAATAACAAGAAAGTCCAGTTGCCTCTTGAAAAAGCACCTTTGGGACACCAGTATTTGGCTTTGGGGTAAGCACTTGGGAACTGGAAAGCAATTAATCCCAGGTAAATAGAAGTGAGCCTTTCTGTGGAGTAGAAGATATACTGGTTGGGGAATAAGTTACAGTGATTTCAGAGCTTCCTGGCAGAGCTGTGGGAGGCCGTTTGTGGGTAATAGAGAATTAACCGCTGTGTAAACCGGCAGGTACGGTTTCTCTGCTAAAGAGCCCAGTGTTAACCAGAAAGCAAGTAGGAGTTATTGGGTTCTGGGCAAGGGTGTGGCAGCCTCAGCAGGTGGTTGCCAGGTGCAGGAACGTTCAACGTTGCACCTGTCTTGGTTGGAAGCCAAAGGGTGTCACTTACCGCCCTTTGGTCTTCTGGGAATAACTGGAGCCATTTTCCATAACTCCAGCCCGTTTAGCCCTTTACCAATTCTCTTCCTCCTTTTCTATCCTGGGATCCTTTAATTTGTCCAGTCCACTCGTGCCCACAAACCCATACAGACATGCACACCCGCCTTTCCTGTTACTTGCAGCCTCTTCCGTAAAAACAAAGTATTGAGAGATCAGAAAGGAGGCAGATCAAAGAGTATCTGTTATTTTTTTTGTTTTGTTTTTTAAAGTCCCTGTTATCTTCTAGTGTGGAATTCAAAGGATGGGACGTGAGCCAGATTTCAAGAGAAAGCAGTGATGTGTTGTTTGAAGACTTTCCTCTTATATCCTCTTCCTGCCAAGTTCCTCTTGAAACGACCCACACTGGAGATTGGGGAATGACAACTTTAATTTTCTGTATTATAATGTTGGGGCATTTTGGGAAATACAGGCAGTCCTCAACTTACGGCAGTTTGTTTAGTGACCGTTCGAAGTTACAACAGCACTGAAAAAAATGTGATTTGTGACAGCTTTTCACACTTAAAACTGTTGCAGCATTCCTGTGGTCATGTGATTAAAATTCAACCGCTTGGCAACTGTCTCACATTTATGACAGTTGCAGTGTCCTGGCACCATGTGATCCCCTTTTGTGACCATCAGATAATCAAAGTCAATGGGGAAGCCGGATTCACTGAACACAGTGGTTCTCAACCTTTTTAATGCCGCGACCCCCAACCGGTCGTAAGTCGAGGACTACTCAACCGGTCGTAAGTCAAGGACTACTCAACTGGTGCAGCACCGTTTGCAGAATGGGACTTTTGGCGGGCTCAGCAGGGCAGAGACAGCCTGGACAATTCCTATTGGCTTTTGAAAGCCAATAGAATTAGACTCTATTCAAGAGAGTCTATTCTATTGGCTTTCAAAAGCCAATAGAATAAAAGGGAGTAGCACAGCTAAGGAAAAGGGGAAAAAAATGGCGGACTGCGTTGTTTGGCGACCCCCGTGAAATGGTCGTTCGACCCCAAATGGGGCCCTGACCCACAGGTTGAGAACCACTGACTTAACAAGCGGCAAGAAAAGTCGTAAAATGGGGGGAAATCCCGCTTAACTGTCTCACTTAGAAGCAGCAATTCTTAAAAACTCTAGCAAAAAAAAAAACGTTGTAGAATGGAGTGCAACTCATTTAACAACTGCCTTGCTCAGCAAGGGAGATTTGGAGCTCAATTGCGGTCGTAACTCGAGGACTATCTGTAGGGATGGTAACCGTGGCTCAGGGATGCTGGGCACCAAAGCCTTCTCAGGGGTCTACTGTATACAAATAGATTTCTGCTTTTAAGGCACTGACCAAGCTCAGAATCTGCTTGGCAAATAATTTCTTTAATTTGTTCTGCAGCTTTTTAGGACAGACTCCTGGAGGTTTTGCTCCTGTATCCTTCGTGTTTAGATTGGCTACAGAGTAGGAAAATTAGGAAGGGTTTGGTAGCTCTTTTTCTAACAAACGAATTTTATTTAAAAGGCATGTGAGTTATAGCTTAATGCTTTTTAGTCACTTTTTAATTAGTCCCGGTAATTATCTCTACAGCGTGTAAGAGAAGGCAGTAAGGAGCTGGGTGGCTTGGAGCCTACACAGAGTGCTTTTCCATTCCTGCAGAGTAACTATTATGAGCTCCCACACGTCTAGTGTTTATGCTCCCGGTGTCTTTTCTGTGTCCGGACATGCCTGTTTCTGACCCTGGGCAGACAGCAATCAGCAGATTTAAGAACGCTGCAATAGGTGTTGAAGGTGTTGAGTTGTAAGGCTAGTGTGATTGAGCAGAGAAGATCAAAGAGACCTCCTCATTGTTCTGGTTTCTCCAAGTAAGAAACCCAGGGTCTGGTCACAGAACGAGCCCCCAAGCAAGGGCAAGCATGTCTGGCTTTAGCGACATAAGGCAGACAAAGTTTCTGCTGAGGGTCTGGAAAGGGGGTGGGTGGGAGAGGGCTGGAAAATCTTGCTCATCAACCAGAGTCTGGACTGTTTGCCAGGCCGGAGGGGAGAGAGATGTGGATTTTTAGGGAGGAGAAAGTGGACTCTTAGATACTTAGAAAGGCAGCATTGAGACCTCTGTTGGTCTCTCCTTGTATCCCTGGCCAAGTTGAATTCTTTAGCTACATTTGGAGCCTGCGTTTTTCTGGTGTTCCTTCTTAACTCCATTTCCATTTTTCTGGTTAAGTCTCTTGAGAGGAGTTTGGCTAATTGTGGCTAGAGCACAAAGATGGAAAAAGATTTAGCTTCTTCCAGCTTGTAGAACAAAAAAGTTGGATAGGGTCGGGAGAGGGATAAGGAGGAAGATGGCGCTTACTGTAAGAACCCTTGGAACATCCTTAAGTATAGGAAAGATTTCTTCCTGCGTTTGCTCTGTCACTTGCTGCCATTAACTGCAGTTTATTTTGTATGGAAGAATGATAGTTTACACCAACCAGGAAGCAAACCGTGATTGTCACATGGGTTTGAATGCGCATGCAGAATGTTTTCTGGAGTTTGCATATTTTGTGTACATAACTCAACGGCTGTCACATCAGCATTCTTCTTATTTTCACAAGTTCAGGCCCAGCCTAGAACGGCATACAAAATTAGGATCTTATCTTCCAAAGTATGTAAATTTTCTTTACAAAGTTTTTCCTTGTGCTTTTATGTAAAAGGGAGGGCAAGTGATGATGAAAAGGGACTACAGAAAATCTGTTACAGATAGTCCTCAACTCACAACCACAACTGAGCTCAAAATTTCCCTTGCTGAGCAAGGCAGTTGTTAAGTGAGTTGCGCTCCATTTTAGTACCTTTTCTTGCCTCAGTTGTTAACTGAGTCATTGCAGTTGTTAAGCGAATCATGCATCATTAAGCGACTGTGGCTTCCCCCATTGATTTTGCCTGTTGGAAGCCTGCTGGGAAGGTTACAAATAGTGATCACATGATTACGGGATGCTGTAGCTGTCATAAATACAAGCCAATTGCCAGGCACCCGAATTTTGAACATGTTAACAGTGGCTGTAAGTGTGAAAAATGATTATAAGTCACTTTTTTCAGTGCCTTTGTAACTTTGAATGGTCATTAAACATATCATCATAAAACAAGGACTACCTATATTTAAGATTGTCTCCCAGCCATGGTGAATAGTGGTAGACAAAATAGAAAATAATGTGTTTCATATATCTCAATTCAGAGTACACTAGAACTAGAATCTCGGGTAGGCAACCTTGGCTCTTTTATGACTCGTGGACTTCAACTCCCAGAATTCCTGAGCCAGCATGGCTGGCTCAGGGATTCTGGGAGTTGAAGTCCACCAGTCATAAAAGAGCCAAGGTTGCCTATCCCTGAACTAGATAGCTCTTGACTTTATACACTTTTTATTGCAAGGGGGGCAAGTATGGCAACTTTACAACGAGTGTAAAGCTGGCTTAGGAATTCTGACAGTTCAAGTCCACAGGTTGTAAAGTTGCCATATTTGCCCACCCCTGTTTTGCTGTCTTCATTTCCACCTTCTCCCAACCCCCAGGTTTTACTTCTTAAGTCATTATTTTGTAAATACATTCTGTTGGCATGATGATGTTTATATATATAAGAAGTTTCTAAGCCTGAAGGTTTTGGACAAGTTTACATTCTGGGGTCAAGTAAAAGCTACAAATATTCTGCTTCCATCTCAGGAAGAGGAGGGGGAGAAATGTCATACTGCTTTTCTCTTGAACCACTCCAATTTTTCTGTCCGTTTGCATTCCTGAGTTTGGGGAAAGCAACAGAAAGTATAAAAATTGTTGAAACCATTGAAAAAAATGCTATAGCATAGATGATTGTTTTCTGGGGATATTCTGGTATGATGAAGTTAAAATAAAAGGTGCACCATCCAGAGTCCCTCTGTGAGGGAGATGGACAGTTTTAACATTAAATAAGTAAGTAAGTAAATAAGTAAGTAAATGGTAGGGAATAGTCTGTAGAGAGCTGTCACATTTAAGAGATATGGAGAATTTAGCATTATGATACTAAGACTAATGATTGTAGCATTCATCAATGCCTAACTTTTCCTGGACTTTCCTCTCTTCTTTTTCAGCCATGGCTGTCCGGACCCCTGTACAACGGGGTGACGCCACCGCTGAGAGATACCTGTTTGTGGACCGGAACCATGTAGGCAATCCAGCCTCACAAGCTGATTGGACGGCCAAACGCCTGGTATGGGTCCCATCTGAACGCCATGGCTTTGAGGCGGCTGGGCTGCGTGAAGAACGGGGAGATGAGATGTTGGTGGAACTTGCTGAGAATGGGCGTCAGATGGTGGTGGCCAAAGACGACATCCAGAAGATGAACCCACCCAAATTTACCAAGGTGGAAGACATGGCAGAGCTGACCTGCCTCAATGAAGCCTCGGTGTTGCATAATCTGAAGGACCGCTACTATTCAGGTCTTATCTATGTGAGTTGGCTTATGGAATGGTTTGGTTCCATGCTTCTCTCTCTCTCTCTTCTCTTCTTTCTGTCTCTCACACTTTTTAACCACTTGCATCTTCCTCATGACATAAAAGTAAGGGACCTGTAGTCCACTAGTCCAGCCTCCTAGTACTTCTAACTGTTACTTAATACACTTCATTTCCCTGTTTAATTCCAAACGTAATCCAGGAATTCTGGTTTGCAGCAGTCATGTCTCTCTTAGATGGCCTAGCTCAGGAATATACGGCCAATATTCCAGATGGTTTGGACTTCAACAATTAGCCAGCATGACCAAGTTGCAAGTCGTGATGGGAATTATGTGGTCCAATCATTCTTGATACCTATCAAGATACCTTAAGAAGAAAAGTTCCAGATTTTAAACTATGACGTGCTGGACTGCTTCCCTGTCTGAATGGAATGCAGCTTTGGTTAGACGCCAAGCTATTCCTTCCGAGCAGACGTCAGGACTGGAAGAGAAGAGCTGATTTGGGACAGAAAGTTGGGTTTTTTCCCAGCTTGTGAAGTGTCTCTGTATTTGCAATAATGCTAGAAAGGGTGAGTTGGACCGCCTTGACCTCCCCTGCAGAGCTCCTTTCAAAGAGAATGAGCAGGGGACATGTGTTTCTTCTGCCCGACTGGTTTCCCTGGCACCCAAGTGGGCACAAGGCTACCCTGGGAGGCCTTGTGCCAAAGCATTCCCTCAACGGTACGTCGTCGTCTCTGACTCGCAGACAGCGCAGTGCACGTCCTCCTCCCCCTGCTGCCTCTGATGATCTCCACCCTCTAGCTGGGTATCGGGGTGGGGAACGGACTAGACCTGTTCAGCCAGAACAGTAGTCGTCAGGGTGTGAAATGAATTTTCCCGAGGGCAACGCCGTCAACCGCGACAACACGCTGCTTCTTAGAAGCAGCAAACTCTACTCTTGCCTTCTCCTAAGAAGCAGCCTGCATTTGTGCAATTCAGCCCCATGGAAGCCATCTTTAAGATGAACGAATTTTTTTTTAAATTTTTTTACTGAGAAGGGGACTCTTCAGCCTTCCCACGCAATTCCTTTGACAGCAGTGCTGGTGTTTTTCTTGTAAATCGACTTCTATCTGTCTGTTCTTTTCCAGTTTGCTCTTCAGGCTGCTCCTTCCCAGGTATTTCAGCCTGTAGCAAAAAGCATTTTTAGCCTCACCCTCAGCAATCTTTCCCCTACTTTTTGAGCTCTTGATGCATTCAATTCCTAAGATCCTTGGGCAAGGTGGTTAACAGAATAATGGGAGGTTACATTCCAATGCACCTGAAAACACTCCAGGTTAGGGAAGGTCATTTCTGCATATTTCCCTTCTTGTCAGCCAGTGTCGATGGAGTCAGGTGACTGAGGTCAAATGGACAAAATTCGTCTGTTGGCATGGAGCTGGAAACCTGTTTGGAAAGTAGGTAGGCTAGCAATAGTATGCCAGAAGCAAAAATGTATGCAGAAAAGGGAATGTCTGCTGTTCCAAACTTGAGATTTTTTTTCCCCCCTGTTGCTGAAATGAAAAATCAATGGGATATTTTTGGTCAGCCTTCCCAACCCTGGGAAGCAGGATGGCTCCGTAGTTAAGGCATGATGGCTTAATGATTAACATGGCTCTGTTTGAGACCCCAGCATCGTGCAATGTAGTGAGTGTCCATCTCTGCCTAGCCCAGGGGTTAGGGTTAGGCTCCGGGTGCTGTTTCTAACATCCATCTCCCTGTCTGTCTGGGATCACACATCACGTTAAGCCTTTGTTTTTGAAAAATTCTAGTGCCTTAATCCACACATAATGCTTAGCTCTTAGCCCTGGATTAATAGCCCAAAAGTCTGGGTTCATGTAAAGATGAACCCAAACAAATGGCATGTCTGGCTTAATATGATGTGTGAATTAGGTCATCGTCATGCTTTAGAGTTAAAAATAGCAGGCAGTGAAATTGGCTTTTCTCTCTTTATTTTCTGACCTTTTTTCAGTTTTTTTTCTTGAAGCAGAAAGAAACTACGTTTTTTAAATACTTTTTTTTTTTGAAGCGGCAAAAAAAGACTGGACAGCCATTTCCTGCCTGAGCAGGGGGTTGGACAAGATGGCCTCCAAGGTCCTTCCAACTTTTTTATTTTATTATTGTTATGGTTATTGTTATTATTATTATCTTAGAAAGGAGAGTATTTGGTAGGAACCTATAGAACCCAGGAAGCTGTGCATACACAAAGGAACTGCAGTCACATTGGGGGGGCTATTCTGACGTGACTTTCCGTCTTCCCTCCAAATGGCAGACATACTCAGGGCTCTTCTGTGTGGTCATCAACCCTTACAAGAATTTGCCCATCTACACAGAACAGATTGTGGAGATGTATCGGGGCAAGAAACGTCACGAGATGCCTCCCCACATTTATGCCATCTCTGAGACTGCCTACCGAAGCATGCTGCAAGGTACTCGCTGGAAGACCCATCAAAGGGAGGCGAGAGGGGAAAGGGGGATTTATTATATGTCAGCAGTGGACAAAGCACAATCTGGGAGGCTCATAGGGCTGATTCCATGCGACCCTCCGCCTCATTTCAAAAGCCTTCTGCAAGCTTCGGCTGAGATGCTTCACTCCAAGTCTAGCAATGTGCTGTGGGGGAAACAGAAAGAATAGAATAGAAATAGAATAGAAATAGAACAGGAATAAGAATAGAATAGAACAGGAATAAGAATAGCATAGAATAGTATAGCATAGCATAGCATAGCATAGAATAGGAATAGGAATTAGAACAGGAATAGAACAGGAATAAGAATAGAATAGAACAGGAATTTAGAATAGAAATAGAATAGAATAGAATAGAATAGAATAGAATAGAATAGAATAGAATAGAATAGAATAGAATAGAAACTTTATTGTCACTTTGAATGTACACTAATCGGCATACATTAGAATGAAATTTCATTGCGTTCAGCTCTCAAAGGGTCACCACCTCCAATATACACTACAAAAAATATGACAAAAATAAACAAATAAATAAATACAGAATTATGCATATACCCACCTATATTATATGACAATATTATAAGAACAAGAGAGAGGATTTGAGTTGGTCTGAAAAAGAAAACCTAAGCGGCCCTTTCAATTTTTGATTCAGGCCCTGCTCCCTCTTAATTTTCCTTCTTGCTCTCTAGGAAGTACATCCCCAATTAAAATTAGGTTACCCACTTTGCTGTGAGCAATAAAAGGGCCAGAGGAGCTGTGAATGGAAAGGTTAAAACAGTGGTTCTCAAATTTTCCTCACTATGGACCCCCTTTAAATACCTTTTGTGGCTATAAGACTATGGCCATGGACCCTCAAGACTTAACTCAAGATTTAAAGCACTAGACTTAACGAATGATTCATGGATCCTCCTGTGACAACATCATGCCCCCCCCCCCCAGCGGTCTGCAGACCGCAGGTTGAGAACCACTAGTTTAAAGAATTCCCTATTCCAGGCCGAAGCAGAAAGAAGAAGAATGGATAATTTTAGGGTGTATATTGGATAGAGTGCAGATGGATAGAGACAGGGAGCTGATGAAGTCTAGCACTCTGTGGCTGGTGGATGGACAATTGCAAATGTGTTTCAGATGTCTTCCTGCAGAGGGAAAATGTTCTTCAGGAAATGGGAGCAAACAATTTTGATCTGATTTTTTTCTCTTTCTTGCCCCCAGATCGAGAAGATCAGTCGATCTTGTGCACGTGAGTATGGCTTACCAAGGGGAGGGGCTGTTGAAAGAGAGGAGAAAGAGCAAAGATTGTTCTGTATGGATGTTACCAGAGGCTCTAAAAACTTGATAGCCCAAAGTGCTAGCCCTTCATTGCATTGCGTACAATTATAATTGGAATCGAAGCAATCTATTAGTTTGGTCCTGTAAGAAATATTGTACAAAACCTGGTTTAAACAATCCTACAGTCTTAAAAAAGGTCTTTTGCCAACTGCTAGCTTCATTCCTGTTCCCTTCAGACTGGAAAGAAGTTATTTTATTTTCTTCCCCTTGTAACAAATTTTGTTCTAACCTGGGATAGAAGCTATGAACTTGATCTCATTGAAAATGAATCAATAATTAAGCAGAAACTATGCATTGCTCCCTTCTACTTTCACCAACTTAGTGCCCTCCAAATGTGCTGGGATTAAAATTCCCATTTTACATAATTAGAAAAGGCTGCTTTAGTGTGCCCAAATCCCTTTTCATATTTTCCTCAGCGGTCCTTGTGAATAAACCTTTAAGATGATGACAAATGTTATAAGTTGTTTTTTTTTATTCAGCTGTTCTGATGGACAAAGATATATCCATTTTTTTCTTACGCTTCCCTAAATTAGGCTGTTGAACAATTTTAACAGGACAAAAGTTACCCTAGATCAGGACTGTCCATATTCTAAGTCCAACCACTACTTGACCATGATATTTTTTTAGTATTATTACTGTAATATTGTTCCTGGTGAGTTTGTGATCATGATGGAATTGGAGCCAAAGACCTTCTGGGTTCCCAGTCCATACTTTTTGAGAGGATGCTGCTGACAGGATAGGTTCAGAAAGCAAAAATTCAGAATTCAGGAAGTAAAATATTGAACTTGATTTCTTCTCTATGGAAACCGCAGCTCTAAGCTCGGCCCTGAGATGGAGAAGCATGAGTGTGTTCCATTTGTTTTCTCATCGGTTCTCTGCAGAGGTGAGTCCGGTGCTGGCAAAACAGAGAACACGAAGAAAGTGATCCAGTACTTAGCACATGTGGCTTCATCTCATAAAGCCCGGAAGGACCATAATGTGCCGGTGAGTGTGAGGCCACATCCAGTTTTAGTCACCTGCTCTCCCTTGGGTTGCAAACCTAGAAAGGGCATGGCATTCTGGTATGACCCCTTTGCCAACTCTGGTTTTGCATTCCTGAAGCGGAGCCAATGGGCTCCCCCATCTGATGCCTAGGAAATAACCCAACATCTAATTTGAGCCAGGGCCAGTCTGGAAGCTCTTCCAAATACCAGCGGATGGCCCTGGCATGTGTGAAAAGGTGATCCCCTGAAGAGCCTTTCAAACTCATGCAAAAGTGCTTTCCCCTCTTCTGTCACTCAACACACCTACTGTCTGCCCATCTGGAATTTGGCTTCCATGCCTGTGGCACCCACCCAGGGAGGATTGAGCGTCAGTGTTGCGTTTGAATTAACGTTGTTGTTTTCTTTGTTGAAGGAAATGAGTCCTTGCTTGGCCTTTTCACATCATTCCTTTCAGCCAATATGCCAGCCATTAATCACACTTTTCTTTCCCTTATATAGTTTCAGGGCCCTTTTGGTTGCTTCCTCCCAATCTTAGAGTTCAACTGCAAGGGCCCAGCAGATCTCCTGGGACAGGGGTCCCCAACCCCCGGTCCGTGGCAGGCCAACAACCGGTCTGCACGTACAAGCAAAGCCCCATCCATGGGATGCAGGCAATACGCAAAACCATGCACTCTCCGGTCCGCAGAAAAACCTCTCTCCATGGGACCGGTCCCTGGTGCCCAAAAGATTGGGGACCTCTGTCCTAGGACACTTGTGTGATCTTCTCTTAAATGTTCTTGCATCTTGTGGACATAAGCCTAGAGCAGGGGTAGGCAACCTTGGCTCTTTTATGACTCGTGGACTTCAACTTCCAGAATTCCTGAGCCAGCATGGCTCAGCTTGGAAACCTCTCCCTTTCCCCTCAGCATGGCTGGCTCAGGAATTCTGGGAGTTGAAGTCCACGAGTCATAAAAGAGCCAAGGTTGCCTACCCCTGCCCTAGAGGAAGAACTTAGGCTCCAGTTATTCTAGCCATCTCGTTTCAGAGATTATAATCTGAATCATGAAGGTTTTCTTGTTCCCTGTCTCTTCACAAAGATACCCCAAAGGAACTATTGGCCAACCTGAACCCCTCTTCTCACCTCTGTTGGGCCTAAAACTTATCTGACATCAGCCCTGAAACTTCCTGCGTGCAACACGTTGAGAAATTCCTTATTTTTCCCTTTGGTGCTTCCCGTCTCTGATTGCACGAAAAGCCATCTTTTTCCCTTGTCCATTCCTAATTCTATAGTCTTGGTGGAGGTTCTACGAGTATATGTTTGTGTATGTGGTTGTTCCCACATGGAAGATGATATTAATACCCCTCTGTTGTCTTGCTGCCTCAGCTGGAGTTCCTCAATGAAGCCAAACAGGCAAGAAAGCCGAATGCATGCTGCTGAGATGCCAGCTTCCCCCCACCCCACTCCTCACCCTCATCCTCCAGTGCTGATTGTGGCTCCCTGTCACTGGCTGCTGCTCCTGGTCCCACCTATACTTAGAATTGCTCTTCTGAGTCAAATGCATTTTTCATCAGTTGCACACTTTGCCTGTTGCCAGAGTCACTTCCTTGAACCCCTTTCCTCACCAGAGTTATGATGCCACGCTCGCTGGGGGAAAAAACTTGGTTCAAGAGGTTTTGGGGGAGGGCCGGGAAAAGAAGCCAGGTTTTGGGGGTCTCCTATTCCTACCCTTTTCTGTTGTGCTGGTCCCCAATTTATGTCCTTATGTTATTGTAGTTGAGTTCTTGTTGTGTTGTTCATCATCTAATTTAACCCTTTGATTTTTTTTTGTGTTTTTGTTTCCCCTGTCTTGCTCCCTGCTCTGCCTTCCCATTGTATTTTTTGTGATGTCATCCCCATCCCAACCTCCATAGACTTCCAGCCCTGCTTCCTACGTGAGTAATTTTTGGAAACAGCTTCCTCCTGGCTGGCCTTGGAGTTTCTCCAAGTACTTCCTCGGCCCAAAAGCTTTGCAAGGCCAGAGGCCTGCATAGGTTGCTGCTAACTCCTTTTCCCTCCCACCTCCCTCCTTTTCCTTCATCTAGGGAGAACTGGAGCATCAGCTGCTGCAAGCCAACCCTATCTTGGAGGCCTTCGGCAATGCCAAAACAGTGAAAAACGACAATTCCTCACGATTCGTAAGTCCTTGTGGATGGATAAATCCCCTCCCACCCAGTCATCAGAAATCTATGGAATGAGGATCCTGTTTAGCAGCTTCCAATTTCAGACCAGTTGAGCCCTGGATTTCAGACAGAAGATAGCATCTTCTTTAGCAGTGGAAAATATTTTCAGATCTGGAACATCAAACCCCAGTTGTTCTAATGCAGTACTTCTCAGCCTTGGCAACTTTAAGATGAGTGAACTTCAACTCCCAGAATTCTCAGAGTTGAAGTCCATCCATCTTAAAGTTGCCAAAGTTGAGAAACGCTGTTCTAATAGGTAGTTATTACCCTTTTTAAATGAATTATTCTGTCACCTTATGTGTGTGTCTCTGTGTGGTCTTCCTATCTTCAGGTTAAGATTGCTTCTCACACAGCTATAGCAAGTGGCAACAGTTGCCAAACACTTATAAGGACACCTTTTCTTGTAAAATAATCTCTTCTGTTGAAATCTGTTAAGCTGCTTCACTCTTCGCCTATTTCAAATGTGTTGGAACACAACTCCAATAATTCCTTAGCTGGCTAGGAGTTGAAATATTGTCCAACACATCTGCAAGGCACCAAAGTGGAGAACATATATATACAGCAGTGTTTTTCTAACTTGGCAAGCTGAAGATGTGTGGACTTCAACTCCCAGAATTCCCCAGCCAATATGGTGAATGCATTGCAGAGATTGGAACTGTGATACAAGACATTCATAATAATACTGGAGTGTAAAAGGCCCTACCTCCCACTGAATAAAAAAAAGTTACAGAAAATTGCCAAAATGATTCTAAATTTAAAAGTAGATCATCTTATGTTGGTAAATCTGGATTTTTTTTTTTAAAAAAAATCTTTTTCTTTCTGGAAAAAAAAACAGTTAAGCTGTGTAGCAAAGTTGTTGAAAGAGGCAGTGTTACGTCCGACTATCTGATGATGAGATCTGAAGGACAGAAAGCAGGCTAAGACACTGTTCTTTTGTTTGGCTTGGCTATTAGCTCCCAGCAACTCCTCCTCAAACTTAAATTAAGAATGGGTTGTCCAGTTACAATGCTGGACAAATCTTTGGCCTCAGGGGCTGCACTTGATGTCTCATCATGACTGCTGGGGATATGATAGCATTCAAGAGGATGGAGTTATTTATTTCCTTCCTTCCTTCCTTCCTTCCTTCCTTCCTTCCTTCCTTCCTTCCTTCCTTCCTTCCTTCCTTCCTTCCTTCCTTCCTTCCTTGCACTTTCAAGGGATAAATGGGCCTTTAGTACAGATAATTCCAGTTGGGACCAGAAAATCCATTGCTAAGCAACATAGTTATCAGGTGTGGCATTACTAACTATGCCAAGTTATGATGGAAGTCCTGGCAATCCCAGTTGCCCTTGTTAGGAGAGTCATGTGTGATCACAGTATCCCACAATCAAGTGATCACTATTTGCAATCTCCTGCTGGCTTCCCCAGTGACTGCTTGTTGGAAGCCAGCAGTGAAGGTTGCAAATGACAGTCACATGATCACAGGGCGCTGCATCATCATAATTGCTGGCTGGTTGCCAAGCACCCGAATCGCAATGGTGATCGTGGGATGCTGCGTTGGCTGCAACTACGAGAACCAGTCATAAGTACCTCTTGCTCTGCACTGTTGTAACTTCAAACAGTCACTGAATGACTGGACATTAAATGAGAACTATTTGTATTGCACTCATTTTTGCCTTTTACCCTCCAGTGAAAAACTATCCTGATATTTTGGCATAAAAGAGTTTAATGGTACAGTGGATGGGCTTCAGCTGAAGATACCCACTTTGCTCCTTTAAATACTTCAAAGTACAAAAGATTTGTATGCTTGCAAACCCTTTTAAATATACCCTTAAACTTTCACGTACCATTTCTTCGATTCCTTTCTTTAGAAAGGGCAAAATATATAAATGCCTTTTTGAAATACTATGCCAGGTGTAGGCAAGCTTGGCTCTTTTATGACTCGTGGACTTCAACTCCCAGAATTCCTGAGCCAGCTTGGCTCAGCATGGAAACTACTCCATTTCTCCTCAGCATGGCTGGCTCAGGAATTCTGGGAGTGGAAGTCCACGAGTCATAAAAGAGCCAAGGTTGCCTACCCCTGCCCTATGCCAACAAACTCCATACTTGCTTTGGAAGAAAAACCAGTTTTGTTGTTGAAAATCTTTTTTTTCGCTTCCTTTTGTATTTTTTTTTTTTTTTTTAGAAATGCTTTTGGTTTTTAGCCACTCCTTTTCTTTGAAAAGAAAGAAAAATACAAAGGTTTTCTCTTCCTCGTAGATGAAAGGCAGAAGAGTGAGCTTTACATTCCACTGTGTTATTACTTTCTGTTAGCTTTTCTTGTTTTTGTGGTGACTGGTTTCTTCCTATTTAGGAAAGATCCATTACTAATTGAATTGACCAGGGGAATTTATTTCCACCTTCTGCGGTTCACTAGCATCTGAAAAAATATTTAAAATACCGAAGAATTTTTCTGTATCAGTCACACCATTCTTCTGATTGCTGTCTCATTGTCCCATTTCTTTTTCTACCCACAGGGTAAATTTATTCGGATTAATTTTGATGTAGCCGGCTACATTGTTGGAGCCAATATAGAGACATGTATCCTTGTTGTTAGAGAATAGAAGTTGTAATGAGTTGTTAGAGAACAGAAGTTGAGCATGGCTGGCTCAGGAATTCTGGGAGTTGAAGTCCATGAGTCATAAAAGAACCAAGGTTGCCTACCCCTGCTCTAGGCAGATAGAATTTGAGTTTGAATGGGCATCAGATCAGCATGAACATTCCTGATGGCAAAAATAGCAGGTATCTGGTCCAAATATCAGAAGTCCCACAGGAGCAGGTGGAATCCAGGTGGGGCGATTGACAAGCCTTGTTGGGCCTGGGTGCCTAAGGAGAAAGAAATAGTCTGTATGTGCCATCTTTAACTCGGAGTGTCCCAGATCTTTTGGAGAAGTCCCGGGCCATTCGCCAGGCCAAGGATGAGCGAACCTTCCACGTTTTTTATCAACTCTTAGTGGGTGCTGGTGAACACATGAGAGGTGAGTTTGTCCCTTTCATTTCTCCAGGCATCATGTGGCTTAGTGTTCTGTATTTACAGAGTAACAATAAAGCTGAAGGACAGTCAATTGATTGGTGCTAAATACTCAGAACTTTTTTGACTAACCTGAGAGGGAATAACTCACCAGAAAGAAAGTCCTAACCAATGAAAACAAGTGACGGTATTAAGTTGTAATGTCAGAAATGATGGTGATGGTGATGGTGGTTTAATGAGTAAAGAGGAAATCTTAAGACTTACAGAAATTTCAAGCACCTAGGCTGATCTTTAAACCTCCTGAATCTTGGTCTCTCAAAGCAGACTCTAGTCCATCTCAAATTTTGTGCACATCTGATGAGTCCTAATAATGTACTGCCCTCTGGAGTACAACATAACTAAAAAAGTGTCACTAATGCTTTCGTTATCTCCTATTGAATTACTGCAATGACTTTACATGGAGCTGCCCTTGAAGACCATCCAGAACTACAACTGGTCTAGAATGAAGCAGCATGCAATTTTGGCTGCTTTACACTTTACCCAAGGAGCACCAGTTCTGCGTGAGCTGCACTGCTTCCAGTTGCTTTCTGGGTGCAGTTCCAAGGTGCTGGTTATCACTTTTAAAGCCCTACATGGCACAGAGTTAGGTTACCTGTGGGACCACCTCTATCTGAAGTATCTGCCCAATTAGATAGGTTTTGGCACACTCCAGGTCTCCCTTCTTATATGTTGCCATTCTAAGAGCAACATTCTTGATGTCCGTTTCAGCTTCCCGCATGAGGTCAGAGGGATCCCTATCCTTTTAGCTCTCCAGAGGCCGTGAAGCCCTGGTTTTTCCTCAAGCATTGAGCTAGGATGGGGGTTGAGCTGTAAAGTCATTTGCTCTAGTGTGGGGGTCTTCAAACTTGGCCCTTTTATGGCCCTTGTAGACTTGGCCCTTGTGGATTTCAACTCCCAGAATTTCTCAGCCAGTGTGCCTGGCTGAAGAATTCTGGGAGTTGAAGTCCATGAGTCATAAAAGGGACAAGTTTGAAGACCCCTGCTCTAGTGCCTGGGGGAAAGGCACCTTTGTGTTTAACTATGTTTTATGTGTTGTGAGCCACCTAGAGTCATTGTATGAAGTACTGTACATTTTATTTGTTTATTAAATTTGTATGCCACTTTCTGGTGGTCCCTGTAACATGCTTTGTTTCATGCCCCTGTAGGGGAGCTGCTGCTGGAGCCATTCAATCAGTATCGCTTTCTGTCGAATGGGTATCTGCCCATCCCTGGACAGCAGGATAAGGAGATCTTCCATGAGACCATGGAATCCATGCGTATCATGGGTTTTTCTCATGAGGAGATACATTGTGAGTCACTCTTTAATGAATGTGCATATATCTGCTGCAATTAAGGAAGTATCTGACTTAACATTCCATTTATGGTGGTGGTTCATAGTTTTATTTATTATGTCCTTTCAGTTAAGTGCAGTAGCGACTTAGAATAAAATATTTGATACAAAAATATGCAGGGAGTCCTTGACTTACAGCCACAACTGAGCCCAAAATTTCTGTTGTTAAGCGAGAAGTTTGTTAAGTGAGTTCTGCCCCATTTTACAACATTTCTTGCCACAGTTGTTAAAGGAATCACTGCAGTCGCTAAGTTAGCAACCCGGTTGTTAAGTGAATCTGACTTCCCCATTGACTTTGCTTGTCAGTAGGTCGCAAAAAGTGATCACGTGACCTTGAGACACAGCAATGGTCATAACTATGAACCAGATGAATTTTGATCCCATGATCATGGGGCAGCTACAAAGGTTGTAACTGTGAAAAATGGTCATAAGTCACTTTTTTCAACGCTGTTGTAACTTTGAACCATCACTAATTAATTGTTGTAAGTCAAGGACTACTTGTATTAACATTCATTATAACTTTGTAATGTGAAATAGAGAATCAGTTTGCTGTAGTGCAGTGTTTCCCGAACTTGACAATTTTAAGGCATGTGGACTTCAACTCCCAGAATTCCACAGCTCAGGCTTAAACTTGAAGGAACATCTGAGATAAAGAATATGTATCCCATCTGCACAGAAATTTTAGAGCATTGTGATTTCTCTTATTATTTTAATATAACATTAATACAATATTGAAACAGAAAGAGAAATAACAATGTTGTAAAGTGTTGATCCTTGGGTTTGAAATGTTTGAATGCTGCTTGTTAGTTAGTTAATTCCAGCCTGTTGCAGTGAATATCAAGCCTTACATGTTTCATCAATCCAAAAATTAAATTTATTTAGAATTATGAGGGCAATGGAGAAAGGTAACATAGCATGCATCTTTAAAATACCTTGTAGCTTTTGATTAAATGGGCCCAGAATATTCGGGAACTGATTTCATTGGATTTATGGGAGGTAATTTGGATTAGAAATGTTAAATTTACGCAGGCTCAAAATTTGAGGGAAAATTTTTATAAAATGTTTTATAGATGGCATCTGGATCCTAAAAAGTTGTCTTGTATGTACCCGAACCTGCAACCTAAATGTTGGAGATGTGGTTGCTTGGATGCAACCTATTTTCATGTTTGGTGTAAAAATATTAAAGCCTTTTGGATTATGATTTGGTGGAACATTCAAAAGGTTTTTAAAAGGAAGATTAAGTTTACTCCCCAGTTATTTCTTTTGGGTATTTTTGTGGATTTTGATGCTAAAGAAACTATTTTAATGTTGAATTTAATAACAGCAGCAAGATTATTGGTTTGCCTTCTTTAGAAGAATGGGTATTTAAGGTTTCTAATTTAGCAGAAATGGCTAAAATTTCTGCTTATTTAAAGGACCATTCACAAGAGAAATATGTTATTGTATGGAGAAGATGGATAGAATATGTTCAGAAGAAATACGGAACTACAAAGTTTCATTTATTTTATGAGTAATGGATTTGTTTATAAAATTATGATGTTTAAGTTTGAAGAGAGTTAAGGGTTAGTATGATTTTGGTTATTGTATAATTAGTAAACTTAAATAGATTATGTTTAATATGTTTGTATAACCCTGTACTTGGCTCTGGGAAGTGGGGGGGTGGGGGGAAGATGGGTTGAAGAAGGTTAAATAGCTCAGATAAGTAGAAATAGTTTTATTGTATATAATATTGATGTTTTAATTTGGAGAGAGGAATTGCTCGGGCATTTCCCCTGGACTGCATCTGGAGTGAGAAGATAGGAGGAAGGGGAGAAGTAAGTAGGAAGGTTGAGGAGAAGGAGGAGAGGGGGAGAGTGAGGAAGAAGAGGGAAAGAGGGAAGTGAGAGAAGAGGTTAGAGGGTGGATGCGGTTTGGGGAGAAATGGGTGAGCAATACCGACAGTTGTGTGTATAAATTTATTTTACTCTTTATCTGAAGTATTTTTTATGAATGTAATGTAAAATTGAAAATAAAATTTTTTTTACGAAAAAAAAAATACCTTGTGGCTTTGTTCTGCAAAGCTTGGGCAAGAGAGGCATATTGTAATGCACTATGTCAGTGGTTCTCAACCTGTGGGTCGGGACCTCATTTGGGGTCGAACGACCATTTCATGGGGGTTGCCAAACCATGCTGTCCACCATTTTGTTCCCTTTTCCCTAGCTGTCCTACTCCCTCTTATTGGTGGCCACACCCACTTGGGGGTCACCACAACATGGGGAACTGTATTATGGGGTCACAGTATTAGAAAGGTTGAGAACCACTGCACTATGTGATGAAATATATTCTTATGTTTTGTGTTGTACTTTATGCTGAACCTGTTTGAAGGGATGAATTTGAATAGGGCTGTTTGCAAAATGTGGAAATGTGGTTTTGCTAAGGATCATCCTTCCACACAGGTATGCTGCGGATGGTCTCAGCTGTACTGCAATTTGGCAATATTGTCTTTCGTAAAGAGAGGAATACAGATCAGGCCTCCATGCCAGATAACACAGGTATTTCAGATTAGTAGCTTGACTTTTCAGAAATGCTAGTCCTCAACTTATGATTGCAATTGAGCCCAGAATTACAGTCGTAAGACATGGCAATCATTAAGCTGATGTGGGGGAAGGTGCAGTTTTGGAAATCCAGAACCGGGTTGGATTTGGGAATGTCTGTCATAATTTTGAATAGTCGCTAAGCAACTGGTTGTTAAGCAAAGACTGACTGTAAGCATTTGGCTGTGATCAGAGATCATACTTCCTTTTTTATTTAGAAGATATAATGGGATCTTGTTAAAGACAATACAAGTGTACGGGGAACATTTTTTGGTTTTATTATTATAAAATATTGATTTCAATTTTGGCTCTAAGAAACAGTATTTCAAATTTCACAATAAGCACCATATTAAAATTCAGGTTTCTGTCTCACATTCCTGTGGGCTGGGAACTGCTTTTTGAGTGGGAGAAGGGAGTGGCATGGAATTGAAAAGAAAGCTTGTGGGAAAGGACCTGGCAAAGGGCTCTGATTGGTCTCTTCTGTGCCTCTGCAGCTGCTCAAAAACTCTGCCACCTCCTGGGCATGAATGTCACGGAGTTCACCCGTGCTATCCTTACCCCACGCATCAAGGTCGGCCGAGATTACGTGCAGAAGGCACAGACGAAAGAACAGGTCAGTGGTGCTGATTACTGTGCCTGACATGTTGAACTCTTGAAGGAGGGTTTGCCAAGATAATACCGTGTTTCCCAGAAAATAAGATTTACCCCAAAAATAAACTCTAGCTTGATTTTGGGGGGTGGGCCTAATATAAGCCCTACCCCCCAAATAAGCCTTAGTGTTGGGGTGAGGCACACAATTAAATATCAAGCTAGGGCAGGGTGAGGGTGGAGCTACCCCATGCACCCCGCACCCATTTACTGTTGCAGCCAGGCCTCCCATGCCAGCCCACTTCTTCTGTGGCTGTTCACACGCACGCATACACCTATGGCCTCCATTTTGCCATCAGAAGCCTTCAGGAAAGGCCTCTGTAGCTGAGAACCGAGCTCCAGATTGACGTGGGCAACACACACACACCAGCCTCCAGGGGGCACTGCATGCATCAATCCGGAGCTTGGTTCTCGGCTGCAGAGGCCTTTCCTGAAGGCTTCTGATGGCGAAATGGAGGTTGGGGGCAATATATACAAGTGGTGGCTAGCAGCCATAGAAGAGGCAGGCCAGCGGGGCTGTCGTTGCCGCCACAGTGAGGTGAGACTGTGGAAAAGACATTCCCCAAAATAAGACCCAGTGCCCCTTTTGGAGACAACCCCCCCCCAAATAAACCAGGTCTTATTTTAGGGGAAACGTGGTAAGTATGTATGGAATATACGGGCCAAGATGAGTCTGTTTCGATCTCAACTTTTCCTTCCCTTTCTAGGCTGACTTTGCTGTGGAAGCATTGGCCAAAGCCACCTATGAGCGGCTCTTCCGCTGGCTTGTGCATCGAATCAACCGTGCGTTGGATCGTACCAAGCGCCAGGGGGCGTCTTTCATCGGCATTTTGGATATTGCTGGTTTTGAAATATTTCAGGTGAGGGAAGATCTGCTAGTCACAAAATCCAGTGTGGTTCCTCTTCCTCTTTCACTAGCTGATGAATATTGTACATCTGCAGAACTGTTTTCAATCCTTTCCTTCAAATTGTGTGGTTGATCTTCTCTTTCACTAAACCTGAAAGTTTCAGCAGAACCATCTTTCTTGTTTCTAGAGCTGTAGTTCTTTCCAATAGAAACTTTAGACCAGGGGTCTTCAAACTTGGCCCTTTTATGACTTGTGGACCAACTCCCAGAATTCCTCAGCCAGGCATGCTGGCTGAGGAATTCTGGGAGTTGAAGTCCATAAGTCATAAAAGGGCTAAGTTTGAAGACTCTTACTTTAGGCCAATAGTCTTCATGTTCTTCAAGTGAGACATGGAGAACTATATTGGCAGATGTTCTTGGAGAGGGCATGTTGGATTTAGAGTGGCATGTTACAGTTCCCCAAAATCCCAACCAATATGGCCAGGGCATGCTGGAAGCTATGGCTCACCAATCTCTGAAGGGCTACAATTTTCTCATTTTTTACTATCACAAACACTGGAAGAATCTATGCCTTGGGTACTCATATGGAATATGAACAGATTGAAAATAAGGGGGTCACGTAAGAATAACTTGAAAACATGGGGCTATATCACAGGAAATGAGAACTGCGAATGTGAGGAACTGCAGAGTCCTGCCACAATTGTTATGGATCATGTGCAATGGACAATTTATTCCTGGACTATGATAAAGCTACTCAGACCACTGTTTTCTGGGCCTCAAATGTCATATAATGTCACATAAGTGTCTTAAGTTCATTCTGTCTTTTATTTTTTATACTCATTTTATAGTTATTCAAAGTTTTCTTTATTTAGATTATTATACTAATTTTAAATATCATATTTCCTCTTTTTAATGTAGGATGTTCTGGACTTGGAAAATAAAAACAAATTATAAGCACTCTAAGTCTTTCCTACAAAAAATGATTTTATACCAGTATCCTCCCTTCTGTAATAATTCACAAGTCCTGTGAATGTTTCTATCTAGAAAGATGCTTAAATACTTTTGTAATACTAATAAATATAAATCCGCTTTCTCCAACCTGATGCCCTTGAGTTGCCTTGAGTTCTCATGAGACATAACTAGAGGGCATTAGGTTGTGGAAAGAAGATATAAACAGTAAATTCATCAAGCAGAAAGTCCCCAGTGAAGGCTCTCAACTAGTCTTGGCGTATAATACGCAAGATTTAATTTTGGTTGAAAAGAAGAAAATATGGGCAGTTGATGTTGGCAATGCCAGGGAATAGTAGAATAGAAGACAAAGAATTAAAGAAGATCACAGAAGTATCAAGACCTGAAAAATCAGAGTTGAAAATTAGGGCAGTGGTAGTCCCAGAGAGTATTGGGACACTGGCAAAATATTTTCAATGACACTTAGAAAATCTGCACGTTGACAAAATATCCATCTGTCAATTTCTTAGCCACACTGCTTGGATCTGCACACATGCTGATACATGATGACACCTTAAATTCTTAAATTCTCAATGCAAATAAAAGCTAACACCAGCTAAAGAACTGGCCGCTGTGATTTCATACTTTTGTGCATATAATAAAAAATTAAACTAGTATTTGGTCTGACTCTGAGCATCTCTGGACAGCTCATAATAATCAAATAATCAGTATCTTAGAAAGGAAATGTCAGTGTTGTAAAAAGCAAGACATACATAGATTTAAAAATAGAACTATAATAATTCAGTAGCAATTTACAGGTAGCAATTATAATAATCAAGGAATTTTCTACTTTTCTACAGCTCTCTTGATATCCTTATCCTGGGCATTGTCATTCAATAAACTTCTAATTGATGAAGTCAATGACAAAGAAACTTATCTTGACCTGTCAGTAGTTTCATGGGGAGGAAACATAAGTGCATGACCTCACCATCATATGTTGAATCCCCTGTGAATATTTTCTTTTCTCCCTCTCTCTCCCTTCTATAGCTGAACTCCTTTGAACAGCTCTGCATCAACTATACCAATGAAAAGCTCCAGCAGCTCTTCAACCACACCCTGTTTGTGCTAGAGCAGGAAGAATACCAACGAGAGGGCATTGAATGGAATTTCATTGACTTTGGCTTGGACCTTCAACCCTGCATTGATCTCATTGAAAGACCAGTGAGTGACCTGGAATGCTGTGTAGTTGTTATGTGGAGGGCCAAGAAAAGATGACCTCCAGCTCTTCGGAGAACCTTTCCCTCGCCAGTGGTTGTTTCATTTGTCCTTACTGGTGGCATGGACCTTTTTGACAATTCTTTGTGGTGGGAGTCAAGATCAGGTCCTTAACTTGGATCGTAAACCTTTGCCTTATCTTCTCAGTGGAAGATAATTGTTTGCCTAACATCTCAGGCACGATACAATTGCTGTTCCTTTTTTAACCCATTTCCTTCCATGCTCTGACCTATGTTACCTCCAGCCCTTGGAATTTTGCTAATGGTTTGGGTCTATCTCGTGTTCTCCCAGGCAAACCCTCCAGGGCTGCTGGCTCTGCTAGATGAAGAGTGCTGGTTCCCTAAAGCCACCGATAAGAGCTTTGTGGAAAAAGTTTCCCAGGAGCAAGGGTCCCATCCCAAATTCCAGAAACCCCGGCAGCTGCGGGATAAAGCTGACTTCTGTATCATCCATTATGCTGGCAAGGTAATTACAACTTCTGTTGTCTCCCTCCCTTTTTACTGACACATCCATATTTACTGGTTTCACTTGCCTTTCCCCAACTGGCACTTTCAGTTGTATTGAATTATGACTTGTTATTATCTCAAAAGAGCAGCAGTTGTAGTCTGTTACAGCCGAGGACCCAAAATTGAAATCCTCTAATGTTGGCAATTAAGGAAAATGTCGATAGCTTACTACGATAGCTGAGGCTTTCGAATTAAATTTCTACTCAGAGAATCCGAGATAGCATCAAGAATCTGAGATAGCACAACTAGAGAACCCAGACAGCAGCTATTTTGGAGAGAACATGATTTCCTATCAGTTTTTCTTCCATTCATTTGCCCAGTTGTTTTTCTTCTTGGAGTTTGTCCAGCTGGATTGCAGGGTCCACTAGTTGTGCATTGTGCTTGCCTAGTTCAGTGCTGATGTAAGGAGAGGTTTTGTTTTTCAGCCAGCTTGTGACAGAGTTTGCTGCTGACTAGGGCTGAGAGGGAGTGGCTGATTCAAGGTCATCCATAGGTTTTCATGCTTACGAGAGGGCTAAACACTGTGTCTCCTGCACTTTACATCACACTGGACTATACTTAATCCCTGAAGCCTTTGAAATTCTAGAACAGGGGTACCTTTTCTCTTTTATCACTCGTGGACTTCAACTTTTAGAATTCTTGAGCCAGAATTCTGGAAGTTCATGAGTGATAAAAGAGCCAAGGTTGCCTACCCCTGTTCTAGAACGTGGAATCTCAACACTTTTGCTTGATATTAGCTGAAGATGCCTGGAATGCCAGAATGTGCAATACACACAGCCCTCCACTTATTATCACAGTTGGGACCAAAATATCCATTACTAAGTGAGGTGACCATTAAGTGATTTGGTCCCAAACCTATTACTTTTTTTTGCCATGGCCATTAAGCAAATCACCAGGGTAGTTAAATGAATGATGCAGTTGTTAAGGAAATCAGCTTCCCCCGCAGACTTTTCTTGTCACAATCTGGTGGGGAAAGTTGCAAATGATAATCACGTGACCCAGGGACACTGCAACCATCATAAATACCTACTGGTTGCCAAGGGCCCAAACTTAGATTGATGAAGTGACCATAGGGATGCTGCAACGGTCGTAAGTGCAAGGACCGGTTGTAAGTCACTTTTTTCAGTACTATCATAAGTTTGAACAGTGGCTAAACAAGTGGTCGTAAGTTGAGGACTACTGTACGAGACCAGATGGGTTTGCTACAAACGGTTCTGGTGTCGTTCAGCCTTTTGATTCTTTCTCGTCTTTCTTCCCCCTCCCCATTTTCATTGAAAGGTTGATTACAAAGCGGATGAATGGCTTATGAAAAATATGGACCCCTTGAATGACAATGTGGCCACTCTTCTTCATCAGAGTACGGACAAGTTTACTGCTGAACTGTGGAAAGATGGTAAGAGGGGTTGAAATCCTGCTTTCAGCTGCATCCGCTCGCCTTCATAATATTTGTTGCCAGTTAACGAAGTTGGCTTGCTGATTGTAATATTAACACGACTTTTCTGGCTTGAAATCTCTGTCACTGCTGATACTAACCACTCTGCTATTTGCTGTTTCTCTTTTCTTCTTTCTTGTTCCACTTCTCCTGTCTCGTAATGGATGATCTTGTGAAACCTTATCCTTCCCTTCTCTCCACTTGCCTCTTCTGTCCTGTCCTGTCGCCAGAGATCCAGAATATACAGAAGGTTTATTTCTTTGACAGCTATGCCGTGGCATCTCAGGTTCCAGCAGAAAGTACGTTTCTTCCTTTCAACCTGTAAGACATGCCTGCAAGTAGTCAGAAAGGTTATGGGTCTATCTTAGGAATTAGTGAGACACGCATCAGTTCCTCTGAGTTTGGGATTTAATTTGCTAAATAAACACAGAGCTGAATCCCAAGGCAGAGGTCCCCAACCTTTTGGGCACCAGGGACTGGTTCCGTGGAGAGAAGTATTTCCACGGACCGGAGGGTGTGTGGTTTTGTGTGCTGCCTGCATCCTGTGGATAGGGCTTTGCTTGTTTGTGTGGACCGGTTGCTGGCATGGTCCACTCAGGGTTGGGGATCCCTGAGTTAAGGTGTTTTAGAAAGGCCATTTAAAAATTGTTAATGAATTTGAGAACTGAAGTTCCAAATCTTTCTCCACTCTCTTTTCTTTTGGATTGAGCTGCTTGGCTAAAGTATCCTCGCCTCTCTTTATTCAAAACTCTGTTTCGTACACTTTTTAAAGTCACTTTTAGATGAGGATATTTCGTGGAGTTCCTATGGATGTTTAAATACTTTTTTATCATTGGTTTGTATAGGTAGTCCTTGACTTACAACCGTAAATGGGACCAGAATTTCCATTGCTAAAGCAAGGCAAAGCAAATACACACGTTAATGGAAGTTCAATATGGGGAATAGGATGGAGACATCAAAAGCCTTTTGTTGGTTAAGTGAATTGCACCCACTTTTACAACCTTTTTTTGGCCACAGTTGTTAAGTGAATCACTTCAGTTGTTAAGTGAATCATGTGGTCATTAAGCAAATCCAGTTTTCCCCATTGACTCTGCTTGTCAGAAGCTGGCTGGGAAGGTTACAAATGACAATTACATGACCCTGGAATAATCATAAATATATGCTGGTTGCCAAGTGTGCCTGAATTTGGATCATAATAATAGTAGTAAAGTTGGAAGGGACCTTGGAGGTCATCTAGTCCAACCCCCTGCTCGGGCAGGAAACCCTACACCATTTCGGACAAATGGCTGTCCAGTCTCTTCTTAAAAACTTCCAGTGTTGGATGGGAATGCTGCAAAGGTTGTAGGTGTGAGATTATAAATCACTTTTTTCAATGCCCTTGCAACTTCAAATGGTCAGTAAATAAATGGTTGTAAGTCGAAGACTATCTGCAATCTTGCCTTGTTTCCCAATGGTTATTCCTCATTTTTCCTACTGGATAAAGTTTGATCATGTAATTCAATATATACAGTTTCTTAAATGATGGGGGAAGGCTTTCTGTTGATTGCTATTTTGGTAAGTCATAAACACAAAAAAATATACAATATCCCCTAACCACCTAGTGTAGAATGAAAATAGCAATTCTGCATGCAGTTTGTAGTGGCAGATTAATGACCTATTAGTACTAAGAACCAGGTACTATTGAGAGAAATCAATTCCTTATAGCCGAATAATACTTACAACATATTAGTTTCCATGCTGCTTACAATTTAAATTGAGTGGCTTCAGAAATGGAGACGGGTAAGTGGGTATCTGTCCAAAATCTTCAAAGAGCTTGCTTTGGAACCTTACAGGACTCAACTGTCTCAAGGCCATACTTAAAAAAAAAAAAGTCCTTAAAAGGTAGAGGTTGCAAATGGGAATGTTATGATATCACCAAAATGGGCGGCACCAATATTTTTGGCCAAAAGATGAGATATTTGCAGTGCTTATTGGGTGTTTGATGCTTTAACCCAGTGTTTCCCAACCTTGGCAATTTTAAGAAGTGTGGATGTCAACTCCCAGAAGTCCCAGGTTTACTGGCTAGGGAATTCTGGGAGTTGAAGTCCACACATTTTAAAGTTGCCATTGCTTTTTGGCCTTTTGACTAAGATCAAGTGTAGTGTTCTTAAAGTTGCCAAAGTTGAAAAACACTGCTTAAAATTCTCCAGTCCCTTCATCCATTCTGGAAGTTGCAAAGAAATGTGGGAAGGTTTGATGTGGCCGTGTTGCCCCGGCCCCACCCAAACTATCTGCATATTCTATCTAGTCCTGCAGTTTTAAAAGTATCCGAAGAAGAACATTAACCTTCTGAACCTCTAAAGCTTCCTCTTTCCATAATGTATTCAAGATGGTCAGTGATTAACATTTGTATGTTATTTATATGCAAGGGTGAAGATTTATACATATGTTGTATCTAGCATGTTTAAATGTGTGTAAGGTATGTGTACACTTTGGAGAGCAAGCAACTAAATTTCATTTTTTAATGTGCGCCAATGTGCCCACAGTAAAAAAAATGACAATAAAGATTATCTTATAATTTAATAATTGGGTAACTTCTGCTCCCCACAGGGTAACTCTCACAGATATATGTTTACTTGAGATGGAGATTAGAAACTGAGGAAATACACGTTATTGGAATTTCAGTATGGGGAATGGGATGGAAAGATCAAAAGCCTTTTCTTCCTCTCCCTAGTGGATCGGATTGTGGGTTTGGATCAAGTAAGCGGGATGGGAGACCTGACCTTTGGCTCCTCCTACAAGACCAAGAAAGGAATGTTCCGGACTGTAGGACAACTGTATAAGGAGTCTCTCTCCAAACTTATGTCAACCTTGCGCAACACCAACCCCAACTTTGTGCGGTGCATCATACCCAACCATGAGAAAAGAGTAAGTGGGAGCTTTGGGGCCTGGGATCCATTCATTCCTTATCTGAAGGAAGCCATGAAAAATGTTGACCGTTCCTTTTTCTTAGACAGATCAAAAGACCTTAAGAATTCCCCTGTTATACAGACATCTGAAGGCTTTCTTTCTTTTTTTTTTTTGTATTGAAAACTATTGCGTGTGACCTTTGAATTTAAAAGAATGTAGGTGATACAATATGGCCTTAAGATCTCCCCTGTTACTCAGACATGTGAAGGCTTTCCCCCCCCCTTTCAGGTTGAAAACTATTGTGTGTGTCCTCTGAGTGTAAAAGAATGTAGATGATACAATATGAGAATATTGAATATGAATCAAAGGAAGCCTAGGGCTGAATTCTCACTCAGCCATGCCATTCTACAGAACTAATCAGCCATGTATCTTCAGCCTCATTGCTCTCGCAAAATTGTTATGAATGTGAGCAGCATGGCTTGAGCTATCTGCAAAAAAGTTGACAATAAATGTGAAAAAGAAATAAGAAAAATAAGAAGCGATATTGTTAGTGACTGACTTTAGAGTGCTGAGGAATTCCCATCCAGATTCTTCAGGACAGATCCTGTTGTGGCTCCTGTGGCCTTTTTCTCACATGTCCTTCTCTTGACACCCATTATAGGCTGGAAAACTGGAGCCACATCTAGTACTGGACCAGCTGCGCTGCAACGGAGTCCTTGAGGGAATTCGCATCTGCCGCCAGGGATTCCCTAATCGTATTATCTTTCAGGAATTCCGCCAAAGGTACAGCATTTTGGTGATGGATCCTCAGCAAAAGGAGACATATGCAGGAAGAAAGTTCAAAACAGTTCTCAGTCATTTAGGATTTGATCTTCAGCCTTAATGCTCTTTGAATTTGGAGATGTTACTTGTGACTTGCAGTTGATAGTCAGGCCTGAGTAGCTCATATTTTGCTGTGTGCCAGAGTGAAATATTAAAATGTTGGATTTGGCCCAGGAAGATTGCTGTCTCTCATCCCACTGATAGTAGGCTGTTGTGGCTGTTAAAATGGAAGACAAACCCCTCAATTGAGTTTGTGTAGAAAAAAAATAAAATAAAAATCAAAGGAATAGAAATAAATTGTAGGCAATGTGGCTAAATGTCACTAAATGTTTAACTCCTTGGTTTCCCCATATTCCTCAACAGATATGAGATCCTGACACCAAATGCCATTCCCAAAGGCTTCATGGATGGAAAACAGGCCTGTGAGCGTATGGTACGTGGGAAGTTTGCTTGTTAAAACAATCAAGGCAATCTGGGCTAAACTAGTTCATTCCCAGAGTGGTTTGAGTAGGTCCCTCATCCTCATCTGTTCTGCCTTTTTGTCATTCCAGATCAAGGCTTTGGAGCTGGACCCTAATCTCTACCGCATTGGCCAGAGTAAGATCTTCTTCCGGGCTGGTGTTTTGGCTCACCTGGAAGAGGAACGAGATCTGAAGATTACTGATATAATCGTGTCTTTCCAGGCAGCGGCCAGGGGATACCTAGCACGCAAGTGAGCACTGAGCGGGGTTGAATTATGACGTGGATCTAAAAGCATGGACAGAAGGATCTAAAATAGACTTCCCTATGTTGATGGCATCCAACTTCCTGAACTTCAAGATTATAACTTCTCCCTGCCTTGTTATTTGATTATCTTTTAAATATGAGACTGAACTGGGAGTATCATAGGCGTGAAGCTGGGGGTGGAGGGGGAAAGCTCTAACCATTGGCAATGCCTATTAAGCTGTTATATTTGAAGTTTGAATGATTGTAAACTGCCTAGAGTTGCCTCTGGTGAGATGGGTGGGATATAAGTTTAATAAATAAATAAGTCTGGTAGCAGATGAAAACCCACAGTTTCCTGAAGAAGACATGATACAACTGTCCCCTAAAACAGGGCTTTTCAACCAGTGGTACGGGTACCACCTGTGGTACACTGGCACCTGGCAGGTGGTACGTGACCATGCTAGAAAAGTGGTAACGGGGGAGGAGAATGAGCTGAACCGGTGGCAGCACCTCACAAGCCTAAGCGAGAGATGGCTGGAGCTGCAGGGCTGTCAGGGCTCAGCGGAAGCACCAGGATCAGTACCGCTTTCCAGCTGATCGGCGCTTCGGGGCTGTCAGGGCTCAGTGGAAGTACCAGGATCAGCGCCAGGCTCCAGCTGGAGCTCGGCCCTGATCCTGGCGCTTCTGCTGAGCCCAGAAGAAGCGCCGATCAGCTGGAATGTTGCAGCATCTCCAGGGTCTTATGATTTACATTCAGATGCTTGGCAACTGATTCATATTTATAACAGTCACAGTGTCCCAGAGTCATGTGAAGTGACCAAAACCTGCTGCAACCACCCAGCAGACAGGGGGGAATAAAAACCAAACACCCGCCACCCCACCTCCACTGCCAATCCTCAACAGAAATGCTCACAATAATGAAAACCTTGGACAGGAGGAAGAGCACCACTGGTTGGGCAGGTAGGTGTCTTGCTTAGCTGTGGCTTGGGCACTTTTTCAGTGCCATTGTAACTTTGAACAGTCACTAAGCGAACTGTTGTAAGTTGAGGACTACTTGTACTTTATCAATTTTTTTCTTTTTGGGGGAGGGGTCATCAGGTTTTTGACACCTTGCTAGGCGACTGGTGGTACTCTGATGTTGCCATATCCTAAAAGTGGTACGGTGGGTGAAAAGCTCTGCCCTAAAAGATAAAATCCTCTTAACTGATAACTTAACAGATATAGTTACAGGTAGCCTTTGACCTCCCGACTGGTCTCCTAGCAACTGTTTGAAGTTACAACTGACCTCCCTGGGTGTATTTACAACCTGATTCCAAGTTCTGATGACCACACTTCCATGGTCATGTGACTCCTGTCAGGTGCTCAGCAACCAGCCCACATTTACAGTTATTTGCAGCATTCTATGGTCACATGACCATGTTTTACGACGTTTTTGCAGATAACCAGTATTTACCTCTGGTTTTCAGTAAAATTGGCCCATACCAAAGCATTGGTTTACTTAACGGCCATGGGGCTAACTTAACAACCACTGTAAAAAGGTCATAAAATAGAATCGTTTGTACAGGTGACCCGATTTACACCCTTCACAACTTTTGACTGTGATGGGCAGACTCCAGTACAGTCAAGCATCACACGTAGTATATTTAATTCTCCCTATAACCCATCCCCATTGGCTTTCCTCTCCCTTTTTCTTTTTTTAAAATCTTCAGCCTGTATAAAATATAAATTACATGGACTTTTTCTTTTGGCATAGGAGAGAGAGGCAAGGAAAGTTGTGGTAGGAATAGGCACATTTAGTTTCCTAAACATGGCTGTCGGTGTGGTAATCATGAGACTCATTGATCGTCTTCTTTTCCCCACATCTCCTAGAGCTTTCATGAAAAAGCAGCAGCAGATGAGCGCCCTCAAAGTTATGCAACGCAATTGTGCAGCCTACCTCAAACTGCGCCATTGGCAGTGGTGGCGTCTGTTTACCAAGGTGGGTCAAAATGGTTAGACCTGGAAAAAGCCATCTGTTATTAGATAGGAGATCTTAACCATTCCACTATCGGGTGGTGAAAAGTGGGAAAGCAGACAGGAACGGCTGGGTTTCTAGAAAGAGTCTTGAGTGGCTTCAAAATAATGGAGGGAGGGAGGGACAGATGGGAAGTTGTGCTAGCTATTTCACTTCTATTAAATTGAAGCAGATTGAACATCTCACAGATTTATAGAGCCACAAGTCATTCCTCCCAAATATAAGGTTCCTGGGATAGGACTATTTTCTCCTTTCACGGATTGCATAGAAAGGAACATTTTTAATATGGTAACTATGCTAGACTGGGAAGTTAGAAGAAAAATCTCAGAAGGAGGCAGTGGAAATCCAGCTTGCGAGTGTAGGGGAAAGCCAGTAAAATATCTGGAAAAGCCATTGTGTAAAAGACAGTTTTGCACAGTTCCCTACCCCTCCGCCACCTCCCTTCTGGTCATGAAATTTAGTCAGAAGGGAAATAAGCTTGGGTAGCTTACAAGTTTTCCCAGTTGCAATGTATGGCTGTGAAAGTTGGACCATAAGAAAGGCTGAGTGCCAAAGAATTGAGGCCTTTGAACTATGGTGCTGGAGAAGACTCCTGCGAGTCCTTTGGACTGCAAGGCGTTCAAACCGGTCAGTCCTAGAAGAGATCAACCCCGACTGCTCCTTAGAAGGCCAGATCCTGAAGTTGAAACTCAAGTACTTTGGCCCCCTAATGAGAAGGAAGGATTCACTGGAGAAGAGCCTAATGCTGGGAAAGATTGAGGGCAATAGAAGAAGGGGACGACAGAGAATGAGATGGCTGGATGGAGTCACTGAAGCAGTAGGTGTGAGCTTAAATGGACTCCAGAAAATGGTAGAGGACAGGAAGACCTGGAGGAACGTTGTCCATGGGGTCGTGATGGGTCGGACACGACTTCGCAGTTAACAACAACAACAAGCTTACAAGACTGAAATTTTGCACAACTTCTCTCAGTCTTATTTCCTCAACACTTGTTTTTTTTCCAGGTGAAGCCCCTGTTGCAGGTGACACGCCAGGATGAGGTGATGCAAGCGAAGGCACTAGAACTACAGAAGGTCCAAGAGAAGCACACAAAAACCCAACTGGACCTTAAGGAACTAGAAAACAAATACCAACAGGTAAATAGGAATAATGGAGAACCAGCCATCCTTCCCTCCAGCACACAATTGTGGTCTTCCTACAGCTGGAGCTTTTATCCATTCCTTTGTCACTTTTCTTCCTGATCTATGGGATTGTTCTTCTTACAGCCTCCTATCTTTCTTCCGCTAGGATTGCTGAGCTGTTCTAAGTTTCTTTTGGTTTGCCAGGAAACTTCTCACTAGATTCTAGTAGCATTTGGCACTGGATGTCTGCTCCATTATGCTAATTACTTTAATTATCCCTGATCTTGATTGTTCACTTCCCTTTTTCTGAATCAGCCCTCATCATTGGAGAGTTATGTTCCATTTTCTCAGCCTAGCTCTCAGTGCCTGTATTCCAAAGACTCTCTTTCCAGTGTCTTCCGTAAGGGGTCTCTAAGAGGTAGCAGAACCCTAGCTTGATTTTCCATGCAGCATTTCCAATTTACAGGTAGTAGTAGTAATATTAGTAGCAGCAGTAGTAGTAGTAGTAGTAGTAGTAACAACAACAACAATAATAATAATAATAATAATGTTGGAAGGGACCTTGGAGGTTATCTAGTCCAACCCCCTGCTCAGGCAGGAAACCCTACACCATTTCAGACAAATGGCTGTCCAGTCTCTTCTTAAAAACTTCCAGTGTTAGTGCATTCAGTGCTTCCAGAGGCAGGTTGTTCCACTGGTTAATTGTTCTAACTGTCAAGAAGTTTCTCCTTAGTTCTAGGTTGCTTCTCTCCTTGATTAGTTTCCATCCGTTACTTCTTGTCCTGCCTTCAGGCGCTTTGGAGAATAGCTTGACTCCCTCTTTCTTGGGGCAACCCCTGAGATATTGGAACACTGCTATCATATCCCTCCTCGTCCTTCTCTTCATTAAACTAGACATACCCAATTCCAGCAACCGTTCCTTATATGTTTTAGCCTTTAGTCCCCTAATCAAGCCTCCAGTCCCCTAATCAATCATGTCAAAGTAGTCCTTGACTTATGTCCATAATGGAGCCTGCCTATCATGTTGTGAGTCATAACAGTGGTAAAATAGTTACATGACCAACCTTATTTTACAACCTTTTTTGTGAAGGTTGTTAATTGAACCCGTAGTTCCGTACAGGTATGGCTTCACCCAAAACTGGAAGTAAGTATCGGTTTTGGCAAACTGTTGTAAAACATGATCACCTGGCTGTAAATGTGTCTGTGAAGCTGAGCACCTGAAGTTTGGTCACATGTGGGAGGCAACCATTGGAACTTTGAATCCAGATCTTAAGTAGCTCCGAGGTGGGTCTTCACAACTTCAAATGGTTGCTAAGTAACCAGTCATAAGTCGAGGATAACCTGTAAAAGAACCTCAGGAAACGAGGGAGAGGAAGACCTTCACCCAAGATGCTTAAATCATGGGGCAGCTCCATCCGTTGTGGTGCTCTGAAGAAGAGCGCTCATGAACCTCACATTCAGTTCTCTTGATCCTACTTTTGTGGCAGCTTTCCGAGGAGAAGGCCATCCTGGCTGAGCAGCTGCAGGCTGAGACGGAGCTGTTTGCTGAAGCAGAAGAGATGCGGGCCCGGCTGGCAGCTCGGAAGCAAGAACTGGAGGACATCCTGCATGAGTTGGAGTCACGGGTGGAGGAGGAGGAGGAGCGATGCCAGCAGCTACAGGGGGACAAGAAGAAGATGCAACAGCACGTTCAGGTATGGAAACCCTCTTGGCTAAAAAAGAGGTGCAGTCATAGAAGTCGCTAGTCCTGCCTGATTTTGTAAGGTTGATTGAGAGGTCAGTCTTCCAGTGGCAGAACACTCAGCACATACAACCATAATCTTATGTAGATCATTCATTACATAGCACAGGATTTTTTTTTTTCATGCTGGCATTGAGCATCTGAAACTTTTTTTCTAGAAAGTTTTGTTTGGTTCAGGCCCTTTCTGAGAAGGTGACAAAAAGTATTTGTTTAGATAAGCTTTGTAGGATATAAATGACATTTTCTTCCAAAGCACATGGTGAAGTTCGTATTTTCGCAAGCAATGTGAGGTTAGATAAAAAAACTGTTTCATAGTTATCCACTGAATTTAGGACTAAGAAAGATTTTGAACCAGATCTTGTCCTGTACTCTAATCCAGCCTTCCCCACCTCATACTTTCCAAATGTATGTTGTACTAAACTCCCAACAGTCCTCAGCTAATGTGGCCAGTAACTATGTTGGCCAGAGGATTTTGAAAATGTTGGTCTTAGGGCTTTTTTCCCTCATAGAACACCCAGAACAGAATTCTGGCACCTTTTTTGGATGGAACCTTGTAGGGTAGGCAAGGCGGGTTGTATGATGTGTGTGAATTCTGGCACCTTTTTTTTTTTTAAGAAAAAAAGCACTGGTCTTAACACATTTGGAGGTCACCCATGGAGAAAAGGTGATAACGCAACATGATTTTAGCTCTTCAACGGAATAAATACCACCACGAGTTTAGAAAGTTCTACTAAGCTTGCTGTTTATCTAGAAAAACCCAATACTTGATTCAGAAGTGTTGCCATCCCTTTGACCCATTGGGTATTTCATGGTTCTTTAGGACCTTGAAGAGCAACTGGAGGAAGAAGAGGCTGCTCGGCAAAAGCTGCAACTGGAGAAAGTTAGCACAGAAGCCAAGCTGAAAAAGATGGAAGAAGATCTGCTGGTGCTCGAAGACCAAAACTCAAAGTTGCATAAAGTGAGTTGCGGGCGTTCCATTTTTGCCATGGAGGGAAATAAATATGTGCGGGAGTGTGCTTTCTGTTATGTGGGCTCTCCTCATAAATACGGGGTTTCTCTTTGGTCATCCAGACTGATAGGTGCTAGAAAAGGAAGGCAATTTACACCCGATTGGTATTGTTTGTTTGTTTATTTCCATTTTATTTTGCTTCTGCTATTTCTCCTTGAAGAAGCCCAGAGCAGTTTACAAGAGAAGGTGGCAAAATCTTAAAGAAAACCAAAAGAGTATATACATACATCCAAAAAAAATTCATAAGTAAAAAGCCAAAACAAAACAATGACAAAATTAACGGCAGTCTGGTCGTAGAGTAATTTTTAACCTCTAAATGCCTAAACCGGGGGTCTTTAAACTTGGCCCTTTTATGACTTTTGGACTCCAACTCCCAGAATTCCTCAGCCAGCGTGCCTGGCTGAGGAATAGTGGGAGTTGAAGTCCACAAGTCATAAAATGGCCAAGTTTGAAGACCCCTGGCCTAAACCGTAAATAAAAGAAGCTCTCCTTTGGTTGAGCTCAGTTCCTGATGACTTCATGGACACATCTGTGTTGTTTGCCATGAGTACCTTTTGGGATTTTTTTTTTAAACTTCCCAAGCTGGCCTTTATCTTTTGAATTTCTGGATGGCCTGTTGTTCCAAATGCTATAGCAGTGGTTCTCAACCTTTTTAATGCCGTGACCCCCCAACCGGTCGTAAGCCGAGGACTACTCAACCGGTCGTAAGTCGAGGACTACTCAACTGGTGCAGCACCGTTTGCAGAATGGGGCTTTTGGCGGGCTCAGCAGGGCAGAGACAGCCTGGGCAATTCCTATTGGCTTTCAAAAGCCAATAGAATAAAAGGGAGTAGCACAGCCAAGGAAAAGGGGGAAAAAAATGGCGGACTGTGTTGTTTGGTGACCCCCGTGAAATTGTCGTTCGATCCCAAATGGGGTCCCGACCCACAGGTTGAGAACCACTGTGCTATAGTAACAAGGAGTATCCCTATTTAACTTTCCTAGATCAGAAAGAGTTGGTTAGTTACTGCTACCTAGCTGGGTATTTGAACAAACAGGATTATTTTTAGTTGCTTTATGAGAGAAGATCATTTCATGAACATCTCTTTGGGAGAAGATTCCATAACTGGAGTACTGTCATGACAAGATCCTAGTCCAGGCCATTGTGCTATGAACCAGACTACTGGTGGGACCATAGACATGGTTTCCCACCTGATCTGAAACCGGGAATGGGATGATATTAGAGGAAGCAATCTTTAAGGTGCCTGAACTTAAACCATTACTGCTAGTGCAGCATGGTATGCCCCTGGAGACAACAAATCCCTTAACTCTTCTGCACCTTCAAACATGATAGACTACAATTCTCATAACTGCTAGACATAATAGCTCAGTGGTGGTGAACCTATGGCACGGGTGCCAGAGGCAGCACTCAGAGCCCTCTCTGTGGGTACGCATACCGTCGCCCCAGCCCTAGGCCTTCAGCTGGGTTTTATAAAACCTTTTTGCTTTAGGCCTCCAGCGCCCTGTGCAAAAAAAAAAAAAAAAAAAAAGGTTCAATCAATCAGTCAATTTCAACTTCTCACGGGAAAAAAAAGATCTTGCAAAGTTGGAATTGATTGATTGAACTTTTTAGTCCCGCCCAGTCTGCCATTACCACTGCAGCCATGCCCACCCAATTGGCCATGTCCACCCAATGGGCCACACCCACCTAATGGGCCACACCCACCCGGCACTCGACGATGCATGTGGGTTTTGGGTTGCAGTTTGGGCACTCAGTCTCTAAAATGTTCGCCATCACTGTAATAGCTAGCGGGTAAATCTTCTGTATAGTTACTGAAAGCCTGGCAAGGGAGATGAAAGCTGCATTTAAGAAACTGGAGACCAATAAAGAACCTGGACATTGACCAATAAGAGGCATGGTGGGGTACCCAGATTTTGTTTTCCAGCTGCCCAACCTCATATATTCTCTTCCCTTTCTGGTTATTGCCTCCACTAGGAGAGGAAGCTGGTGGAGGAACGCCTATCAGAGTTCTCTTCTCATATGGCAGAAGAGGAAGAGAAGGTGAAGAGCCTGACCAAACTGCGCAATAAATACGAAGCTGTCATCGCCGACATGGAAGGTATGCCAGAGAACAGAGCAGTCTGCAGTGATCAGCTACCCAGATTATATTTAGTATGGATCTTTGGGCTGGCAAAGTAGACATCGCCCATTCCTCATCCCTTGGCACCTAAGCCACTATCTCATGACTTGCATGTAAAATACTCCTAGACTAGAGCCTCTACAGTAGGAAGATAGAGAAGAGGATTCTAGAGGGGCCATTTCCCATAGACATAGAGCAATTCTGGTCCCAGGCATCTAATATTCCTAGGCATGTGATTGTGCACCAAAATGCAGTGGGGTCCTTTCTCTTGCCTGGTTTTTCCCATTTCTCTTTCTTCTCATCTTTCCAGATCGACTCAAGAAGGAAGAAAAAGGCCGCCAGGAGCTGGAGAAGCTGAAACGGAAGCTGGACGGGGAGGCAGGCGACCTGCAGGAGCAGCTGGTAGAACTGCAACAGCAGCTGGAAGAGCTCCGCCAAGCACTGGCAAAGAAAGAGGCTGAGCTGCAGGCAGCTTTGGCCAGGTAAGCATGTTCCTTCTTTCTCCTGGAGGAAAAGACACACAGTGAAGCAACCCAGAGGTTCCCTACAACAGTTTCCCAACCTTAATCATTTAAAGATGGGTGGACTTCAACTCCCAGAATTCCCCAGCCAGTTTTGCTGGAAGTTGAAGTCCACCCATCTTAAAACGCCCAAGGTTGGGAAACACTACTCCACAAGGACCTCTCTTTTTTTCGTTCGAAATGTGTGACATGCTGATAACAATTTAATGGTAACAATTTGTGTAGCTTCTGTTGAGATGAGATCAATGCAGGGCTTTTTTCAAGCTACGCTATAAATATCCAGGAGGAACATTGAGAAGGCCCATCTCAAGCCTAAGGATCAAAACAGATGGCAGCAACATTCAGGTCATTTGGAATATACGTGAATGGCTTTCGAAGAAACAATTTGCAAGGGAGATGGAGTAGAGAAAGGGAAGGAAGGGAAACCCCATCCAGATTTCCCTCTATATCTGTATACTTCCAAAAGAGAAACTCATTCAGGCAATTGTATTGAATATTCTGAGATTTGTTTTTTTCTGTGCTGCCAGAAGAGATTGTACGATATGTGAGTTTTCAGAGTAACCATCAACAAAACCTTGTTATTAGCAATAATATAGTATATTACTATCTATAATATACAACCTGGTATTACAGAAAACAGGGTGTGTTTATGGTAGTTAACTATATAACTTGCCTTAATTTATTTTTATAGCAGTGGGTACTAATCTGAGGAGGAACAAGTGGTAGCTGTTATAAATTATTATTAGATTTTTATGCTCCCTTTTTTATACATGCTTCAAGGTGATGAACATACCTAATATTCTTCCCTCCCATTTTCCCCACTACAACAACCATGACAGTACCTGGCCCAAATAATCCAGCCGGCTCTCCTGCCTATGGTGAGACTAGAATTCTCAGTCTCCTGATTTCTAGGGCAACCCCTTAACCATTACACCAAACTGACTCTTCCATTCCTTCTTCTCCATGCAATTCTGATGTAGTTCAAAGATTCTTGTCTCTTTAATTCACTTTTTTAAAAACCAGTTGTGCAGCAATTAATTATGTACTATAAAAGGCATCTCATCTGCTTTTTACTTAATCAATTCTGGCACTGGCCAATGTATCTGTTTGGGAATCTTGTTGCATTCTCCTTATTGGTAGTTCCTGGAATTCTGGGGCCAATGCAGAAGGTAACAGCATGATATCAAGATTATGAGAGTGAGTTAATTAAGCCAAGAGTCTGAAGAAGATTTCCTCATAGGAAATTGGGGGAAGAGGAGAAAACTGGAAAAATGCCAAGATGAACCTTGTCTCAGATGTATATCTAAAACAGTGTTTTTTTTTTAAACTTGGCAACTTTAAGATCTATGGATTTCAACTTCCAGCATGCCAGCTAGGAAATTCTAAGAGCTGAAGTCCACACATCTTAAAAGTTGCCAAGTTTGAAAAACATTGATCTAAGCAATTGTGAGAGATTGTGGGGAGGTGGAGCATGTGCCAAATGGGAAATTAGTAATAAACCATTAACAAACAGAAGAGGAGTTCATTGATAGTTTATCTTGTGGCAACTTGGCAAGAAACCCAGTAAATAATATGTAAAGTCATTCAAAGAACCTATGCCTCAATAAATTCTTTATAAACTGTATATTCTTTTATAAAATCTTTTGAAGTTTCCAAGATTCTATATTCATACCAGGACTACCATTAAAGACACATAAAATCTCTGTAGGTCTTGCTTTCCTTGATCTTGCCAAGCTATGTGGTGCTTGATAGTTACAATATCTTTTTTCTCTTTCTTCCCAGCTGTGGTAGGCTTTCTTCTTATCTTCCGCAAAGCCCACAGGGGCTCAGATAGAGGGTCCAATACTTCTTACTTTTGATGTTCCTTTTTCTGATATGAAAATTATGAAAAAAGAACAGTGACATAGTTATTTTTACCAAACTATATAAACAATCACAGAACCTGTTGATAGAATAAACAAGATTTCTGAAGATAATTTTCACATAGGTTAGAGGGAGGATTTAATGTTGCTAAAGACTGGAAATCTCTAAGCAGTACTTTTCAACGTTAGCAACCTTTAAGTTGTGTGGACTTCAACTCCCAGAGTACCCCACCCAACCACCTGGCTGGGGAATTCTGGGAGTTGAAGTCCACATATTCTAAAGTTGTCAGGATAGGAAACACTGCTCTGGAGCAAAAAAGATGAAAGCTATTGATTATCAGAGATAGAGAAAATTATAAAATGTATTGCCTGAACTCTTGGACTAATCACTTATAAGAGGCCTACTCCCCAATCCTTATGTGATGTCATGGTTTCTTCCTGAGAATCTTGGGAACTTCTGGTGGTTTGACTACAAGGGGTGTCTTTGGGCTCTGCTCTCCTTCTCCCTGGATCCTTGCTGCAACTAATCCCTACTTCCTTTGGTCCCCTTGACGTGTTCTTCTTACTCACCATGCAGAGTGGAGGACGAATCATCCCAGAAGAATGCTGTGCTCAAGTCCCTGCGTGAGCTCCAAGCACAAATATCAGAACTGCAGGAGGACCTGGAGTCGGAGAAGATGGCCCGGGCCAAAGCTGAGAAACAACGGCGCGACCTGGGGGAGGAGCTGGAAGCTCTAAAGACAGAACTGGAGGACACTCTGGATTCCACAGCCACACAGCAAGAGCTACGGTAAAAGATGGACATGGCCAGAGGTTACTGCACCTCGGGTGAGGCATCTGGGTGCAGAACACAGCCTCGTTCCTCACCAATAAGTCCAAAAATGCCATGGAAGCGGGTTGTCTCCCCTTGCTCATTTATCCGTTCTCTTCCTCTCTCAGGTCAAAACGGGAGCTGGAGGTGACAGAGCTGAAGAAGACCATTGAGGATGAGATCAAGGCACATGAAGCACAGGTGGTAGACATGCGCCAGCGCCACACCAGTGCTCTGGAGGAGCTGTCAGAGCAGCTGGAGCAGTCACGACGGGTATGTAGCCGGACGTGGAGCCTGCTAGGTGTGCTAGAATGAAGTGAGAAGGGGGGGGGGGTTTCTAAGGACTTGATGGGTTCAGCTGTAGTAGTTCTGACAGTGCAGAACTGCCTACTCTATTTATTGCCTAAATGTAGAGCTGTAGTCCTTTTGTACAGGTAGTCCTCTATTTACAGTCACAATTGAACCCCAAATTTATGTTGCTAAGCAAGACAGTTGTTAAAGTTTTGCATTTTGCAAACTTTCTTGCCACAGTTGTTAAGTGAATCACTGCAGTTGTTAAGTTAGCAACACACCGTTGTTCAGTGAACCTGGCTTACCCATTGACTTTGCTTGTCAGATGGTTGCAAAAATGATCACATGATCCCAGGACAATGCAACCATCATAAATATGTGCCAGTTGTCAAGCATCTGAATTTTGATCACATGGGGATCATGGGGATGCTGCAACAGTGTGAAAAATGGTCATAAGCCACTTTTTTTCAGTGCCATTATAATCCTGTGTGGTCACTAGACAAATGGTTGCGAGTCAAGACTGCCTATCTGTAGAAGTGTGGAAATGCAGCTTGAGACTTACTCAACGTGGAAAGTCAGGCCCAGAACGGGATTTACTCTAAGAAGTATAAATGGTGCTAGAGCCAGAGAGCAGGAGAGGAGGGAAATGTCTCACAGTTTACTTCTGTTTTCTGCTTAGTTCAAAACTACCCTGGAGAAGGCAAAGCAAGTCTTGGAAGGGGAAAATGCAGAGATGCAGAAGGAAGTGAAGATCCTGCAAGGATCCAGACTGGAATCTGAGCAGCGGCGCAAGAAGCTGGAGAGTCAAGTCCAGGAACTGCAACTCCGGGCAGCTGAGAATGAAAGAGTCAAGTCTGAGCTCACCGACAGACTGATGAAACTGCAGGTGTGTAAACCCATTCGTGAGTCTGCATTAAAAAAAAAAGAACTGAATGTTGAATGGCTGTGTTCTGCTTCAAAGTACTTGTATCCACAAAGCACTTCCTAGATCCTTGGACCCTTGGATCCTTCTGTAGCCTGACCACGTAGCCTAACTGTCGATTAAAGGAGTTGAACCATGACACAGAGGTTACAGAAAGTTGTCATGGGAATCATCTTTCCAGTTTTATTTCAGGCTCTTATATGTCTCTAGATGTCCTTCTGTGCCTTGCTGATTTTCTGCCATGCAACCCACAGAATTCTATGTTTAGTTTTCGTTATGCAAAGGTTTTTTTTCTTTGCATAATTTTGCTACAAAGATGATGGAAGCTGTGAGATGACAGGGGAAGTGCTAGTTAGCTGATTGATGTTTAACAGCAGAGGTGTGAGGATGATCAACAGAATTCATGGGAGCAAGCTGGCAAACAGTGGGGGAAAAAGTGGTATCCAGGGGCATCCCTGATATAGCCCTGGCTGAAAGCTATGAAGCCATGGCCACGGTCTTCTCTACTTTCCGAGTCTTCAGTAATCATGGTTAGTTTGATTTTCAGGCTTCTCTGCAGAACCATGGGAACTGTTCATGCTTCAAAGATGAGTTTCGCAAAATATCGTCTGAGCCAGATGCCACATCCTTGAATGTTTGGTGGAATGAATGTTATATGAAGCTCTGCCTTTATCCTTAGCTTTCCATTTGTGAGAATTTGATGATTTGATGTTCTTGGATGCGTTTTCATTTTTCCATATTTGTTTTTTTGTTTTTTTTCTATCTGCCTTGGGTTTCCATCTCCTGGAAAGAATGAGCTTGATGGAGTCTCTGGTACCTTGGGAAGTGCAGAATCCAAGACAATAAAGCTTGCCAAGGACTTGGCTAGTGTTGAATCCCATCTGCAGGATACTCAGGTACATAGGAAGGGCGGGAGTGAAAGAAACCCAGCAGCTGGGAGAACTACATTTGTTTGTGAATCAGGATGTAAAAGTATATGTACTTTGATTCTTGGTGAATTTTCAGAGAGAGTCTTGGAAGCCAAGAGAAAGAGTGGAGGAGAAAAACATCCACAGGGACTTTAACTTATAGCTTGGGCTTGTGAAATAGCAGATACCTGTCTATGTAGCTATGAGCACATTGAAATCTCCCCTTGTGGCACAGCTACTTCAGGAATTGCATCCAAGGAATCCAGTCCTTCTCCAACATTTTTGGCTTCTGAAGGGCCATAAAGGCCTGACTAATTAGGAGGCCATTTTGAGTACGTTGAGGTTTGATCTGTTCCCACAAGGTGGTTCGGGGGCTTTTATATGTTGGAATTATTTTTTACTATCCCTTGTGGTAGTCTTTAAGCTCCTTACAGCCCGTGGGAATTTAGGGGCATAATAATCTTAGCAAATAAAGAAATACATTTATTTACTTACGTATCAATCATAGAGACTACCCCTCATAGAGTGACACTGGACAGTGCATAGATAGACATAAAAACATAAAAGCTATATATGAATACCATAATAAAAACAATTAAAAGCAACATGGTCATAAATGTGATTATGGCCAGTACACTCAATAATAATAGTTTCTAATTAGTTGTAAAAGAACTATGCAGAGGTCTGGGTTTAAAATGCAAAATGTGATTTGAAGCCTGCATACAGCACGTATGAACCCTTTAAAAGCAGCTATGTCTTTTCCTGAGATAAAGCATCAGGTTTCAAGTCCCCAGATCGCTCAAAGAGTTCTCAAGAGATTTGCATGTATCCTCACCCATTCTGCTTTCCGATTCAGGTTTCCATATAGTCCCAGGCGTAACATGGAAACATTGTTAAAAGCTTGCTAAAGAGAAGTTATTTTGGAATTTTATAGATGTTCCTGAACTTGCCTGGCTCAGGAATTCTGGGAGTTGAAGTCCACAGGTTGTAGAGGGGCACTAGTTGCCTACCCATGGTCTAGTGCAGGGGTCTTCAAACTGGCTGCTGGCTGAGGAATTCTGGGAGTTGAAGTCCACAAGTCATAAAAGGGCCAAGTTTGAAGACCCCTGGTCTAGTGGTTAGGGCACCAGGCTAGAAAGCAGGAGACCATAGATTCAAGTCCCATCTTAGCCATGAAAGCCAGATGGGTGACTTTGGGAAGTCACTCTCCCTCAGCCCAACTCACAGAGTTGTTGTTGTGGGGAAAACAGGAGGAAGGTGTTGGATATGTTCACCACCTTGAATTATTTGTAAAAATAATAGGAGTGGGATACAGATAGGTAGGTAGGTAGGTAGGTAGGTAGAGAGAGAGAATGGTCATCTGATTCCTATGAGGAAGATCTCTATAAGATCTCTGACTTACACTTTTTATCCTTCTCTCCCACCTTTCATCCCAGGAATTACTCCAAGAAGAGACGAGGCAGAAGCTGAATCTGAGCTCTCGAGTTCGGCAACTGGAAGAGGAGAAAGGAGCTCTGCTAGAGCAGCTGGAGGAGGAAGAAGCTGCCAAGGCCAACTTCAGTCGCCAGATCCAGACTCTGCAGCAGCAGGTGGGGTAGGAGGAGAAAGATATGGCCACAGAAGGAAACACAACCTAAGCAAAACATCATCAAAGGAAATAAAAAGGTCTAATTTAATGAGAAAATATCAAACGATGCATTTTTGTATCGTTTTACATATTTGATGTGGCTACTTGATTTAATAAAGCTCCTCCTCCTCCTTCCTCTTTTCTCCTCAATCAGAACTTATTCTTTTTTCCTCAGGGGTTTGATTAGGAAAATATGGTTCCAGGCCTAGTTCTGCCAAATCTCTTTTCCTTGCCTCTTGATAAAACACCCTAAGGTTATATTTTAAAACAGTTCTGTGAGGACATCATATGGAGATACATCATGAAGGTCATGGAGGAGAGGACCAGACTTTTGTGTTCTGCAATAAGCTTCCATTCCCTCAGCGTCTTTCGTAGCGGAGATGGATAGAGTCTGAGTGATTTTTCTTGGCCTTCTTACCAGGTGATGGAGACCAAAAAGAAACTGGAGGAAGATGCTGGAGTAGCAGAATCAATTGAGGAAGCTCGGCGTCGGGCAACCAAAGAACTAGAGGCTCTCTCCTTGCGCTATGACGAACGGGTTCAGGCCTGTGACAAGCTGGAGAAAGGGCGGACCCGCCTGCAGCAGGAGTTGGATGATGTCACCGTGGCCCTTGACCAACAGCGCCAGGTGGTCTCTGCCCTCGAGAAAAAGCAGAAGAAATTTGATCAGGTGAGGCCTTTGTGTCATCTATCAAGTCTTTCCCCAGAACTATGTTTCTTCACTTTATACACTACAATGGTGGAGTCTTGCCTTGAATTCTGATCTTAAATCCTTTTGTTTCTCTAAAATAAAAAGGGTTTATCCCCATAAACTGAGGTTAACTCCCTTGTAATGAGATGTCCTTCTTATCCTCTCAGAGATCTTCATCACAACCATCCTCATAACTAAGCTGCCTCTTCAGGCCAAGTGGCCTTGCTGCCTATCTGCTTATTTGATGAAATTGTTAAACTTGGGAGAAAAAAAATAACGCCCCCCCCCATTTAATATGGAAATTTTGGATCCTCTCTTCCCATTTTCCCCCCAACCCCCTACCCCTTCACTTATTCACACACACACACTTTCTTCAAGAACGGGAAACCAAGGTTGGTTTACTTGAATTTGTTTTGTTTGATTTTGTCTTTTTGCTAGTGCAAACAACATATCAGAAATATTGAACATAGTTACAAAGGGAAGAAAAAACAGTAACACAAAAGCAAGTGTAAGAAAAACAATGAAAATATTTCTGTCTATCCAAACCATTTGTACAGATAGCTCTCGCTTAAGAACCAGTTCTTGCTTAACAATCAAAGCTGTGAAGGACTCCAAAAAGTTACTGGCAACTTGTCCTTAAAGTTATGACTGCTGCACTACCCCACCCTGCCCCATGGTCATGTGATTAAATCTTGGGCCCGTGCAACCAACTTGAAGTTATGGCTGGTTGCACCATTGCATAGTCATGTGACCACAATTTTTTTACTTTTCTGCCAGTTTCTGTCAATTTTACTGGCTTCCGATAAAAAACACCCATTTGGAAGAATGGATTTGCTTAGTGACTACACGGTTCACTTAATGGCCATGTGATTCACTTAATGGCCATGGTTACTTGCTTTACAACTGTCATAAAAATGATTGTAAAACCCAGTCAGTTCACATAGTGACCTGTTTAAGTATTGCAAGGATTTACAACCCAACTCAATTGTGGACATTCAATGAGGACGGTCCGTACAGACAGTTAATAATTACTTTATTAATAGAACTAGAAAAATATTCCAAATTTGAATGAAATCATTAAGGATAAAATCGATCTAGAGAAAGTTGTAATTTGGTGTTCTAAAGTTTTGCAATGATTAAATTGGAACCGAAAAGGAAAACAGCAGGAATTTCTTGTGTAGCAACAGTTCATGTGTTCATACACATATTTTTAGTGAAGAACATGTACTACTAAGCCACGTTTGGGCTTTTGACAGATGTTGGCTGAGGAAAAGCTGATCTCAGCCCGCCATGCTGAGGAGAGGGACCGTGCAGAAGCTGATGCCCGTGAGAAGGAGACCAAGGTGTTGTCCCTGAGCCGTGCCTTGGAAGAGGCTCTAGAAATAAGGGAGGAGCTGGAGAGGCAGAACAAGCAGCTGCGAGCAGAAATGGATGACCTGGTCAGCTCCAAGGATGATGTTGGCAAAAATGTAAGTTTATTTATTTATAGCCAGTTTGGTCTAGCAGTTAAGTGCTGAGGAAGAAACAAGGGTTCTAGTTCTAGTTCCACCTTAGGCCCGAACGCCAGTTGGTTGGCATTGGCCAAATCACCAGGACACACAGAGTTCTAGTCCACCTTAGACATGAAACTGGCTGAATGACTTTGAGCCAGTCATTCTCGCTCAGCTAAACCTGCCTCACAGAGTTGTTGTTGTGGGGAAGTTAGGAGGAGGAAGAAATATTAGGTATGTTACTGCCTTAAGTTATTTATAAAGATAGTAAAGGCGGGATGTAAATAAATAAATTTAATCTGCTTGTCTTCTGATTTAGGTATGTTTATTGCCTTAAGTTATTTATAAAAATAGTAAAGGCAGGATGTAAGTAAATAAATTTAATCCGCTTGTCTTCTGATTTCATTAGGGAAACAGTTCTAGATGGCTTGGAATTAAAACAGCAAAGCCTTGATGAAATGGGAAAAATGCTCTTCTTCTCTGAATCCTGTTCTGAGGGAAATAGAATGGAATAGAGATGGAGTGGAGTGGAGTGGAGTGGAGTGGAGTGGAAAAGAATAGAATAGAATAGAATAGAATAGAATAGAATAGAATAGAATAGAATAGAATAGAATAGAATAGAATAGAATAGAATAGAGCTGGAAGGGACCTTGGAGGTCTTCTAGTCCAGCCCTATGCTCAGGCAGGAGAACCTATACCATCTCAGACAAGTGGCTTTCCAGTCTCTTACAGTGATAGCGCGCCCATAATTCTGGAGGCAAGCTGGTTAGGACGTTTCTCCTTAATTCCAGGTTGCTTCTCTCTTTGATCAGTTTCCAACCAGTGTTTCTAGTCCTGCCCTCTGGTGAATAACGTGGCACTCCTTTTCTTTGTGGCAGTCCCTCAAATATTGGAACACTGCTATCATGTCACCCCTATTTCTTCTTTTCTTTAGACTAGGCAAACCCAAGTCCTGCAGCCGTTCTTCATATGTTTTAGTCTCCAGGCCTTTGATCATCTTAGTTGCTCTTCTCTGTATTTTTTTCCAAAGTCTGAACATCTTTTTGTAGTATGGTGACCAAAATTGATTGCCATATTCCACGTGTGGTCTCATTAGGGCTCTAATAATCCAGTTAAATATCCAGTTAAATATTTACTTTAACACTGGTACAGTATAATTGGCGCTTCTGAGGAAGACAGGTTTCTGTGGTCGATGGATGGGACATGTCAACGTTGTATAATAGTCATGAAAGAAGGATTCTCCTAGTACAGACATGTCAAACACAAGGCCCGGGGGCCGGATGTGGCCCGCGAAGCCATCCTGGAAACAGTGAGGGAACAGCCCACACTGCCTTGGCCCTGGCCCAGGCCAGCCGGGAGCCAATGTACAATTTTGTGGCGGTCATCTATGCTGAAATGCATTCAGTCTTAACTGCACAAGGCCATCTGGAAACAGCAAGGAACCAGCCCCTGCCCATTGGCCTCACCCCCTGGGTGCATGCTGGGGAGGTGTCACCCTTTATGAGGAATGAAGAAATGGACCATGCCTTGGTACTTGCCCCGGTCCCACCCCCTTCTGCCAGAAACCATCAGATGTGTCCTACTCCTGCCCAGGCCCCCACAGGCATCCTCGACACAAATGATGTAGAGCTGGCCATGCCCACCCAGTAGGCCACACCTACCCAGTAGGCTGCACTTACCCTGGCCACCACCCCCCATCCTCCCCGAGGACAACCGCAATGCTGATGTAGCCCTCAATGAAATTGAGTTTAACACCCCTGTCCTAGTACTTTTGACCCTGAAGGAGAATGCTGTCAGTCTTATGAGGTAGACCACAGATAATTCATCTCTTACCAAGGGATTTTTACCTTTTTAGAATTCTGGATATTTAGTAATTCAAGAATATTGTGGTTTCCAGGCCATCGGTCTCTGGAGCTAATGGCATTGTGATGGCACCATATGTCAACGTTCTCTGAGGCAACCTACCCACCCGTCCCCTATTTCTGTAAAAAATACATGTCATTCTTCTGTTTCTGACACTTCTGGTTTGGGATCAGGTGCATGAGCTTGAACGCTCCAAGCGGGCCTTGGAACAGCAAGTTCAAGAGATGCGAACCCAGCTTGAGGAACTGGAAGATGAGCTGCAGGCTGCAGAGGACGGGAAGCTGCGCTTGGAGGTCAATATGCAGGCTTTGAAGGCACAACATGAGAGGGAGCTGCAGAACCGGGATGATGCCAATGATGACAAGAAGAAACTTCTCAGCAAGCAGGTAGGAGGGAGGAGAGGGGGAGATGGGTGGCCCCCCAAATCTGATCAGTCTTTGCTGATCTAGAAGTGATTAAGATCAACAAGAGGGATTGGGAACTGCTTCATGCAATGTTTCTCCCACTTGGCAGCTTTAAGATGTATGGACTTCAATTCCCATAATTCTGGGAGTTGAAATCCAAACATCTTATAGCTGCCCAGATGGAGAAACTGACTTGATGTTCATGCAAAGTAAAGAAGTGTTCCCTGACCATATTTCTAGCAATCTCAAAACTACAATCCTATCCATTCATTTGCTTTTACAATTTCCTAGGGAAGGTTGAACCAAAGTACATCTGCTTCTCCTGTACTACCTGTTCACATATCCTCATTGAGCAGCAGATCTGTTTTTTATTCCTTTTAATGAACTTATTACTAACCACGCTCATTTTAGTTCCCTTACAATCAAAAACTCCAGCATTATATGATTACTTCCCAAGTTTTTACTCATTCAACATCCTTTACTAAGTCTTCCTTCTTGATTAGTATCAATTTAAAATGATTGCTGTTCTTGCGCTTTTCTTTACCTTGTAAAAAAGAAAGTTGCCAGCAAGATAAGCCGTTATTTCCTGCGTTTGACAAAGTTTGTCTCTCAGTAGATGTAAAAATCTCCTTTTGTGGCTCTTTAAATCATCTGCAAATTCAGTTTAAGTTTATTTGACAGTATTTCTAGCCCACATCAATTCTGAAAGATTTTGAGAGAAGCGGCGAATAACTTTCCTTGGGGGGAAATTAGAGAAAACTACAAGATTAATTTGGATTTAATATAGAGACATAGCTTTGACAAATTTGGGGACTAAAAATATTTTTAAGACTTATTTTTGAAAAGATATTTGGGAAATTGGTGAAATAAATTTGGACTTAAAAGCTGGAAGATGGATGTTAGCAACATCTAGTGGCGAACCGTGGCGTTACAATTTATTATGCTTAAAGAAAATTTGGCAGGAAGCCCAGACATAGATAAGGCTCTTTGTTGTTCCTGGAAACTTTCACTTTTGCAGACTGCAGCTGGGAAAAGGTGGGGGAAATCCTTGGGCTGTTTTATCTGCATGAAGGAGACAATAAACCATTCTGAATTGGCCGGCCTGGATTACAAATATTGACTGACTTTTAGTTTCAAGAATTATCAAGAAATATTAGGAAACAGTGGGAAAGTTGCTCCTGGAATATTTCTCTTTGGAAAAAACATGGATAATCAATAAGAAAGTGTAAATGGACTTCAGAAAGAAATTATTTCCATGTTGAAATCAGTTCAAGAGACAATTGTTTTAAATTATGAGGAGACTAAAAAAATTAAATAACATAAATGAGCAACTCTCCAACTTAAACTTACAAGCAAAAAACATTCAGAAAATGACCATAAAGAATGAACTAGTAACTCAGAAACCAGAAGAAAAAATAGAGGAAACTGATATAAAGATGGAGAGTTTGAAAGAAGAAACCAACAGACAGGTACAGATAAATAAAAATTTGGAAGACCCAGCTATAATACCAGAAATGGGAAAGACATTTTACTTTTCAAGACTTCAGAACATATTTGAGGACAAGGAAGAAGAATTGATAGAATAGATGACAGAGCTGTTAGGAGAAATGCTGAAAACTGGGGAACAAGAAATTAAAAGAAACTGAAGGAGAAAGAAAATGGAGGCTGTTTAACAAATATAAATAGATTAAGCATTTTTACAAAAACACTTTAATTAAATTGTCTTTTTTATTCCAAATAATATATATAGAAACAGAGGAGGAAATACTTGGTGAGCTAAATGCACTGACTTGCAAAGTTATTTGGCAAAGGAAGAAAGCTAGAGTAAGACTGAAGAAAATAGAGGTCCTGACTAATTAGATGAGGTATTATACCATCTAATGCAGGGGTCCCCAACCGCAGTCCATGGACCGGTACTGGGCCGTGGCATGCCAGCAACCAGTCTGCACAAACTAGGAAAGCCCCATCCGTGAGATGCAGGCAGCATACAAAACCATGCACCCTCCGGTCCGCAGAAAAACCTCTCTCCACAGAACCAGTCCCTGGTGCCCAAAAGGTTGGGGACCTCTAATCTAATGGATGTTTGATATGATTTAAAAAAATAGACAATTGTTAGAAATAAAAGGACCATTATAAATTAGAAGGATGTGATTTGTAACTAGGATAACATAATTTTCTATAAGATGGGAAATATGAAAATACTGAGAGGGTTGGTATAAGGGAAGCTTTTAATTACCCAAATTATGAGAAAAATGATAATTGATAAAGTTATTTTGAATATTGATGTGAAATTAAAATTGAAAAAAAAGAGAAAAAACAGGATACGGATTGATAAGGGAACTCTGATTGCAAATACATTTGAGATATGTTTTGGTTAGAGAAGATATTTTAAACTGATATTATTGACACTATGTATAACATTAGAAACATGTGATGAAGATGTTTATATTTAATTGTATAGATATTAATAGTAAGAATTATATTTGCATAGTGTGGAAAATGCTTATTATTGGAAGAACAGAGGATCAGAGAAACACTGGATGGTGTAGGATTGGATATTTTGAGTGAAAGTTAATATGTACCACTGAATGATGAACCCAGACACCGAGTTATTTATTAAGTACTTACGATTGTAAAACTTGAATTTAATAAAATATTTATATAAAAAAGAAGGAAGGAAAGAGCAAAGGAAGGGAAGAAGGAAGGAAGGAAGGAAGGAAGGAAGGAAGGAAGGAAGGAAGGAAGGAAGGAAGGAAGGAAGGTTTTTTAATCACCCTTTCCTTCCCATTTGCCCAACTCATGTCTTATATTGACCTTGGTAATTATAATAATTAAAGCAAAACCAAGCTCTAGATCTTTGTCTAAATAAAGAGCAACCTGCTGCTCAATCTTGGTTGGCATTTTGATACCAACATCTAATTAAATATCCTTTAGGATAAAAAAAAAATTCAGAGAGGTTTTAGCAAGTTACAACCTATGTCTTTTCCTTGGTTGAGCAAGCAGTGGTGATGCTAGCTGGATTTCCCAACTTTGACAAATTTCTAAGTATAAGGACTTCTGCTCCCAGAATTCCACAGCCAGCATACCATTGCTAAGAATTCTGAGAGTTGAAATTCACTCATCTTCAGTTTGCCAAGGTTGGGAAACATTGCACAATATTACTTTTATTTGCATTGCCACATATTTTAATGCAGATTTTTTTCAACAAGATTCTCAAATTCATTCATTCCTAGCAGGAATGGATATTTTTAACCTACAGTGCAACTCCTTCCTTCTTTTGTTTATGTTCTATTTGAACAAATCTTATCCTTCAGCTGCTGTTTTGCACCTAGACCTAGGGCAATCATGACTAGTAACTTAGTGCTGTCATCCATTCAGCCCTTTGATTGGACAATTTCTGAGAGGTATAATCCCATCTGCAAAAGACAGAAAAAGAGAGAAAAGCAAGCAGCATTCTTAGTTTTTAATGTTCCTTTTAGGATTGCTCTCAATGCAATCCGGAAGTGATCTTGCTGCTCTGTCAAAGTGTATCTTGTTCCTTCTGCATCTTTTATTCCATTTCCAAGTTGCAGCAGGATAGTGAAGTCTCAGAGCATGACATAACCTTGACCGCAGAACAAAGCGGCAGCATTCTGCTGACGCTTTCTCCCTTTCAACTCCGCAGGTGCGAGAGTTGGAGGCAGAACTGGATGCCGAGAGAAAGCAAAGGGCCCAAGCGCTTGCTGCCCGGAAGAAGTTGGAGATGGATCTTCAGGAAGCCCAGGCACAACTGGATGCTACCACCAAGGGAAGGGACGAAGCTTTGAAACAGCTGCGCAAGTTGCAGGTATCTTTCGGTGTCAATGTAGGCAACTAGGGAGAGAAAGTTTCAACTTTCATAGTATAAGAAGTTGTGTTTCTGTTCCAGAGAGCATTGGCATGGGGGAAATCTTTAAATAAGTAAAAAGGGGGATGTGGTGGAATGTAGTATGGATTCCCAGGAGGGAGGGGCCTCATTCCAGAGGACCAAGAGGCTGTGAAGTTTAGATAATTTGGTTGGAAGAAAAAGTGTTCAGACAGCTCCTCCCTGGAAGTTCTCAGTATCTTTAGTCATGCAAGTAGTTGCTTTGCTTTGGCAAAATTTCAGTCTATAAGTGAGGAACAATAAAAGAAACCGCTTAGGAGTAACTCTGCATGGTTTCTTGGTTTTTGGAGCCTGACAGAGAAGAACATACAGGTAGTCCTCATTTAGCGATCACAGTTCAGACAGGTGACTGATCATTAAGCAAAGCATTTGCTAAATGAAAGTGTGATTATGCTTACAATCTTACTTCAGCTTTGCTTTATAGACAGTGAAGGTTGTAAATGAGAGGATTGGTCATCAAGTTACTTTTTCTTTACTGTTGTTAACTGGGAACAGTTGCTAAATGTGGCAGTTGCTAAATGAAGACTATCTGTACTGTACTATTATTCTAGTTTTATATAGATATTTATATGTAAACTTACATTCAAAAGAGTATCCATCAATACTGAATAATAATAGTAGTAGTAGTAGTAGTAGTAGTAGTAGTAGTAGTAGTAATAGTAGTAGTAGTAAAGTTGGAAAGGACCTTGGAGGTCATCTAGCCAACCCCCTGCTCAGGCAGGAAACCCTATACCAGTGGTTCTCAACCTGTGGGTCGAGACCCCATTTGGGGTCGAACAACCATTTCATGGGGGTCGCCAAACAATGCAGTCCGCCATTTTTTTCCCCCTTTTCCTTAGCTGTGCTACTCCCTTTTATTCTATTGGCTTTTGAAAGCCAATAGAATAGACTCTCTTGAATAGAGTCTAATTCTATTGGCTTTCAAAAACCAATAGGAATTGTCCAGGCTGTCTCTGCCCTGCTGAGCCCGCCAAAAGTCCCATTCTGCAAACAATGCTGCACCAGTTGAGTAGTCCGCGACTTACGACCAGTTGAGTAGTCCTCGACTTACGACCGATTGGGGGGTCGCGGCATTAAAAAGGTTGAGAACCATTGCCTATACCATTTCAGACAAATGGCTGTCCAATCTCTTCTTAAAAACTTCCAGTGTTGGAACATTCACCACTTCTGGAGGCAGGTTGTTCCACTGGTTAATTGTTCTCACTGTCAGGAAGTTTCTCCTTAGTTCTAGGTTGCTTCTCTCCTTGGTTAGTTTCCATCTGTTGTACATAGCCTTTGGCTTAAGGTGCAGCCCCCAAACCGATAACCTTGTGCTACTTTCATTTTTCTCTTAATTCCAGGCCCAGATGAAGGAACTCTGGCGAGAGGTTGAAGAAGCCCGGGCAGCTCGTGAGGAGATTTTTATTCAGTCTCGTGAGAGTGAGAAGAAGCTGAAAAATCTGGAGGCAGAACTACTGCAGCTTCAAGAGGTGAGCAGGAGGCTCTGCAATGTGTGGTGCTGAACAGGAATATGAGTCTAGGAGAGAGATGTAGACTGCAACTCCCAGAATGTCCCAGAGCAGATATGCATAACATATTCAATCTGAGCCTCCAAAATATATTCCTTAACAAAATAGGACCTCTTAGCTTCTGGTAAGTGTAAGATAGGAATCCCCGCTTTGTTGGTGGAAGGTTCTGAATCAGAAGGCAGTGGGAAATATACCAATTGACAGCAATAGCAATAGAACTTAGACTTATATACTGCTTCACAGTGCTCTACAGTCCTCTCTAAGTGGTTTACAGAGTCAGCCTATTGCCCCCAACAATCTGGGTCCTCATTTTACCAACCTTGGAAAGATGGAAGGCTGAGTTAACCTTGGAACAGTTAGAATCGAACTCTTGGCAGTAGGCAGAATTAGCCTGCACTACTGCATTCTAACCACTGCGCCACCATGGCTCTCTGATCAAAGATTCTTCCAAGAAGCTATATCATATCCAGCTCACTCCATCTTTTGCTACATGTTTTCCATCACTTATAGGAACTGGCAGCGTCAGAGCGAGCCAAGAGGCAGGCCCAACAGGAGCGTGATGACCTGGCAGATGAGCTGGCCAATGGGAACAGTGGCAAGTAAGTGCACAGGAACCTTACTCCCTTATTCCCACTTTCTGAATTCCATTTTCATGGAACTTTTGTATGGAATGGATTGTTCATAATTAATCTGACCTGGATTGATTAACAGCCTCTATTCTATAAGTAGTATTTAACTTAGGACTATAATTGGGACTGGAATCGTGGTTGTTAAACAAAGCAGTGGTTAAATAGTAGGGACACAGGTAGGCAGCTAAGGCTTGTAGTGTGCTTTAGCATGCAGGCAAGGAGCACATTAAAATCCTTTTTACTGTATTCTGCACCTTCTGCAGGTTTCCCCATTGACTTTCTGGGAAACCTGGCAGAGATGATTGCAGTGGTGATCACATGATTGCAGAGCACTTGGTAACTGGTTATAAGTCTGAACAGGTTACCGAGCACCCAGATCGAGACCACATGACCGCAGTGTGTGTGTGTGTGTGTGTGTGTGTGTGTGTGTGTGTGTGTGTGTGTGATGTTTTTTGATGGTCAGAAGTATTTTACAAGCCATAAAGCACCCTTTCCTAGGCTGTTGTTAATTTAAACAATCATTGATTTTAATGGTTGTTCAGCAAGGACTACCTATAGCAGACATGTCAAACACAAGGCCCGGGGGCCGGATGCAGCCCACGAAGTGGTTTCATGTGGCCTACGAAGCCATCCTGGAAATAGTGAGGGAACAGCCCCCTCTGCCTTTGCCCTGGCCCAGGCCAGCCGGGAGCTAATGTACAATTTTGTGGTGGCTATCTATGCTGAAACGCATTCAGTCTTAGCTCCACAAGGCTGTCTGGAAACAGCGAGGAACCTGGAGAACCTTGAGTAGCAGCCTTGAAGAAGTGGGGCTGGGCTTGGTGCCGCGGATGCTCAAGGGCCAGGCTGGGTGTTTGACCTCTGCTGCCCAGGGCTCTGGGCAGCCTGCACCACCATCCAGCCCCCCCCCCCCGCCGCATGGCCTGAGAGTAATAGTGAGGCTCCTCCAGTGGACCATGCCTTGGCACTTGCCCCGGTCCCACCCCCTTCTGCCAGAGACCCTCAGATCTGTCCCACTCCTGCCCAGGCCCCCACAGGCACCCTTGATGCGAACAATGTAGAGCTGGCCATGCCCATCCAGTAGGCCACACCCACTCCATCCATGCTCACGCAGTAGGCCGCACCCACCCTGGCCACAGCCATCCGGCCCCCTGAGGGCAACCACAATGCTGATGCAGCCCTCAATGAAATTGAGTTTGACACCCCTGACCTATAGTAATTAATTCTACAACTGCCATAAGGTTTACTACAGACTATTTTTACTGACAATCTTTCATCCTGTTATGTTCTCATCTATTTTTGTGACTGCTTTTAAAAATGGTAAAATGCAGTTGTCAGTACCAGGGTCAGTTTGTGCTGGCCAGCCTAGCCAAATGTTCAGCAAGGAAAATATGCTGGTGGAACCACAATTAGAAGCTTATTATAATGTTGCCATACCGCACAGGAGGCAATTAGCGGATAACACCAATAATAGAGAACTTTGCTTGATGAGATCATTGACATGAATATGCCAGGAGAGTTTTAGCCATTTTATCTGACCCAGAACCATGGTGTGCAATCTCTCTTTTGTGCCTGTTGGATTGCAGACAAAGCAATGACTCAAACTAATCGTGTAGAAACAGCCTCAATGCTCTTGAGGATGTCCTCTTAGTTTCCTGCCAAGCCCTAATTCACCACTGTTGTTTTTAATCTCCATTTAAGGTCCGCTCTTCTAGATGAAAAACGCCACTTGGAGGCAAGAATTGCACAGCTGGAGGAGGAACTGGATGAAGAGCAAAGCAACATGGAACTCATGAATGACCGCTACCGTAAGCTCAGCATGCAGGTAAGATGGCTGCTTCTAAGCAGGTTGAATCTGGACTGTAAAATTCAGCCAGTGCCAAAACCTCCTTCTGATTTCTCTCTCATTCTGTCCTCCTTGCAGGTGGAAACAATCACCACCGAATTGGCGGCGGAGCGGAGCTTCTCTCAGAAGACTGAAAACGCCCGGCAACAGCTGGAGCGCCAGAACAAAGACTTGAGGGCCAAGTTGGGTGAGATGGACTCATCTGTGAAGTCCAAGTACAAGTTGGCCATTGCAACTCTGGAGTCCAAGGTGGCCCAGCTAGAAGAACAGCTGGAACAGGAGTCCAGGTGAGGCGATGACAGCATCACTGCTGGCATTGAATTCTGGGCTCTGAAGACGGCTTGGCAGAATAATTAGAAAGCCATGAGAATAAGATCAGACATCTCAGGGCTCGATCCTTTTGGAAGGCCAGGTGCCATCCTGATTAAAGGTGGAAGAGACAGGATCAGAAAAAGGAAAGGAGGCAAGGAGGTTGTCCTGGAGGAATACAAGCTAATTTGAAGAGTAATCCACATGTAGCTCCGTTTCCATCTGTCCTGTTTGCCATTGTTTGCTCCCTAGAGACTAAAATGGACATTCTGAAACTTAAGCTGGACACAGACAAGGAGTGTATATCGGAGGTGGTGGCCCTTTGAGAGCTGAGTGCAATGAAATTTCATTTTGATGTATGCTGATTGGTGTACATTCAAAGTGACAATAAAGTTGGTGTTGTTGTTGTTAGTGGTGGAATCCAGGGTCTACTATGGATGGGCAGTCAATTCAGAGTAGCTGGAGCCATATCTTGCAAATGGCCAGGACTGCGGCTTTCTATTTTCTTCCTCAGTTTGAGGGAGGGAGTGTTAAGTTTTAAAAATATTAAACAATTTAAGCCTATTTTAGTGTTTATGCTACCATTATCATGTGTTTCGGTCTCATGATGGTGATCAGGAGGCCTTAGAAAGGAAAACAGGTCTAGAGGCCGCATATTAGCCACCCATGCTCTATGTTTTCATTGTATGGTAAAGAATAACACATGTGGTGTGTATTTGATCCTCCTCCCATATTGTAGGGCTGTGGTATCTAACCTTGGCAACTTTGGAACTTGTGAACTCCCAGAATTCTCTAGCCAGAATTCCCCAGCCAACTATGCTGGCTGAAGAATTCTGGGAATTGAAATCCACAGGTCTTAAAGTTGCCAAGGTTGGACACCCCTGTTGTAGGGCATAAGGCGGAGTAAGGAACTGTAGAAATATTCTCATGAGTAGGGGCTGGGAGAATCAAGAGGATGAAGAGTTCATTGCTTGTATTCATACTGTCAAAATAAGCCCATTGAATTTAGCGGAACAATAAACTAGTTATGAGTCTCTTAAATCCACTTGATTTCTATGTCTCTGCTCTAGATAATGACTGACTCTATGTGGATTCATCTATTTCTTCTTAAATTGCTCTCTCCTTTCTTAGAGAGAGGATGCTGTCAGGAAAACTTGTGAGAAGGGCAGAGAAGAAACTCAAGGAAGTGCTTCTGCAGGTTGATGAAGAGAGGAGAAATGCTGACCAGTATAAAGATCAGGTATGTTATAGATGTGCTAACCCAGTGGTCTTCAAACTTGGCCCTTTTATGACTTGTGGACTTCAACTCCCAGAATTCCTCAGCCTGGCATTCTAGCTGAGGAATTCTGGGAGTTGAAGTCCACAAGTTATAAGAGGGCCAAGTTTGAAGACACCTGTGCTAACCTAATATTTTTCAGACTTCACCACTTTAAGATGTGTGGACTTCAAATCCCAGAATTCCACAGCCAGCATCTTAAAAGTGGACATGTTTGAAAAACACTGGGCTAACCTATCCTTATTTTTTCATCCTGGACATTGGGTTCAGGGTTCAATGATTGGAAAGGAGGAAAGAGTGAAAAGGGTAACTTACTTTTGAAAAGTGCCATACAAATGCCTGTTTTCCTATCTTTTTTTCCTGATGCCTTACTTTTTAGATATAGTGTATATTTTTCTTTTATTTTGCACTTTTTAAGCATTAAAATAAACTAACCGAGCTATGCCATAAAGAAAGCTAAAATGTACATGTCTTGCTAAGAACTCTTAAAGTAACTTATACTTTTGGGGGAATCTTTTTTTCATTTTTATAGCTTTTGAAGCTAAAATGGTGAGGCCCCTTACTGTTGAACCCGCAGAGAATTACTCTGTAAGTGCCTTCATCTCAGGAGCAGAGATAAAGGCTTCGCTTCTGTGGCTGTTTTTGGCAGGTTGAAAAAGGCCACCTGCGGCTGAAGCAGCTGAAACGTCAGCTGGAGGAGGCGGAAGAAGAAGCCTCACGGGCCAACGCCAGCCGTCGTCGCATGCAGCGTGAACTTGAGGATGTCACTGAATCAGCAGAATCCATGAATCGCGAAGTCACCAGCCTGCGGAATCGTCTCAGGTGAGCGGTGTCATGTGGTCAGGGCTCAGTAGTACAGATGGTCCTCACTTAACAACAGCAAATCGAACTGGAATTTATCTTCTAAAGTGCAGTGTCACATGACTATACCACTTAAAAACGGAAATTCCAAGTTCTGGTTGCCATTATTTAACAATAACGGCTTACCGCAGCTCATTAAAAAAGGATGTGACCTGGTTACCATTTGCAACCTCCTGCCAGCTTCCCCACTGGTTTGCTTGTAGGAAGCCAGCAAAGAAGTTTGCAAATGGCGATCTCGTAACTGCAGGGACACTGCGACATAAACGCTTGAACTGGTCGTAACTACCATTCATTCAGCACCATTCTAAGTTTGAATGGCTGCTGAAGAAGTGGTCAAGGACCACCTGTGATTGAGTTAAAAACAGTATGCTTCTCTCTGTAATGTTTTTAGCCCAAACCAATCCTGAAAGATTATCCTGCTAATCTCTCTCCATGTATATTTTTACCCCAACGTGCTTGTGGACACTGTATAGTTTGGTCCTTGTTCGTCCTCTTTTTGCTGTGTTCATTATTTCTGCCATCCCTAGTCTACTTTAGATGTGATCTAAAACATCTGGCAGATGTTTTAGATCACAAGATCCCATACCATTATGCAAATCCAAACCACCTGGAGGGCACCTACATCCGACTACAGAATATTAATTCAGTGCCAGAAGGAGAGAGGGGGAAGGGAGGGAGAGAGGGAGGGAGAGAGAGAGAGAGAGAGAGAGAGAGAGAGAGAGAGAGAGAGAGAGAGAGAGAGAGAGAGAGAGAGAGAGAGAGAGAGAGAGAGAGAGAGAGAATGGCTAGGAAATACTGGGAGCTGTAAGTTCACATCTGGAAGTTGCCCACGTAGACAAATACTGGTTCGCCACGTAGCCTCAGAACATCTGGTAAAAAATAAGAAGCTGCAGCCAGATGCAGTGTAGCATTTTAATAGGAGAAAAAGCTAGAACAGAACAATTTGAGAGCCACAGGGCCACCAGATAGTGGAACAGTTTGGTGTAGTTCTTGCTTATTTTCCATTTCTGTGTCTACAACAGGAGCGAATTGTTTTTTACTCTATTTTTGCTTGGTCTGCCTATCTGAAGGAATTCCATGAACTGTGTGGGATGTGTAGAGCATTCATAACAGCTTTCCTCATCCTGTTTCTCTCCAGAAATGTTGGAACTTAGCTCCCATCAATTCTTCCAGAACGTAAGATCTAAAACAGGGGTGGGCAACTATGGCAACTTTATGACCTGGCTCAGGAACTCTGGGAGTTGAAGTCCATAGGTCGTAAAGTTGTTATAGTTCCCCCCCCCCATCTAAAAGGTTTTCTGTTTTATTTATAGAAGGGACAACAACAGTCATATGTTTATTCTTAGGGAGTCTGAAATATATTTTCTTGTGACAGAAGCTTTATACCGATCCGTGGTATGCTGCTGTTTTTCCAGGGGGTTCACAGAAGTCTGTGTGATGGGTCCTAGTGGCTAGATTAAGGTCATTTGCTAAGATTTATGCTCAACTATAAATTTGAATTGAGACCTCTCTAAGTCAAATTCAACACTCTGTATTGACAACATGATTCTGGTAATGCTGGAGATGTCAAGCAAGCAGGGATAGTCCTCAACTTACGACAGGTCATTTAGCAACTGTTCAAGATTAGCAACTGTTCAACCTTGGAATTACTTATGACCTGGATTTGAAGTTACGACGGTTGTTCCCCTCAAGTCATGTGACTGAAAATTGGGAATTTGACAAGACAGACCCATTTATGGCTGTTTGCATGTCCCAGGATCATAGGACCACATTTTACAATAGTTTTGCCAAAACCCGGCACGTCTGGTTTTCGGCAAAGCTGGGCCCATACCAAATCATAGATTTGCTTAACGATCACGTAGTACACTTAATGACTGTGATATTCAGTGACTAGTGATCCACTTAACACCCACTGCCAAAAAGGCCGTAAAATCAGGTCAGTCACATTTTTGACTATCAGGACTTACAACCATGATGGGCAGGCTCCATTACAGTCACAGGTCAAGGATAACTGTAAGAATCCCTTGCCCAAAGATGATATATAGGTATCCTCGACCTATGACCACAATTGGGGCCAAAATATCCCCTGCTAAGCAGGATAGCTTTGCCCCATAGTATGATCTTTCTTGTCTCATTTATTAAGTGAATCATGCAAAGTTAGTAACATGGTTGTTAAGTGAATCTGGTTTCCCCCATTGGCTTCGCTTGTCAGAAGGTCAAAAAACGTGATCACATACAGTAACCCCAGGATACTGTAACTGTCATAAATAAGAACCAATTGCCAAGCATCTGAATTTTGATCACATGACCATGAGGATGCCGCAGTGGTCGTATTGCTTCTTTTGTTGCTGTTATAACTATAAACAGTCGCTAAACCAGGGGTAGGCAACCTTGGCTCTTTTGTGAATTGTGGACTTCAACTCCCAGAATTCCTGAGCCAGTCATGCTGAGGGGAAAGGGAGAGTTTCCAAGCTGAGCCAGGAATTCTGGGAGTTGAAGTCCACAAGTCATAAAAGAGCCAAGGTTGCCTACCCCTGCACTAGATGAATAGTTGTAAGTTGACTACTTGACGTATAATTCCCCTGACTGCAGCCATTTTTAAATCTGATGCTCTGTTGATTCTGCACACCTTCTAATATTTTCCCACAAATGAGAGGCTAATTCTGTAGCCACTTAAGTCCTTACTCTATCCTCAACTTAAAATCAGTCAGTTCTTTATCTAAAGCAATGGCTCTTCTGCCCAAGAACCTGAACTGCCTATCTCACACCCGTCTTGTTTCCTTTTTGATGCTTCTGCTCCTCTTTCAGAGTGGTGTTCTTTCCAGATCATGTGTTCATGTTTGCATCTTTCCTTTTTTTTCCTTTTTTCCATTTCATCCTTTTCTCGACTCTACAGCAAGTTAGAACGACGTCAACGGAAGTATGTTCTCACTCTCCTCCCTCACCCTCCCCATGTCTGCATGTGTGTGTTGTGTAGCTTTGAGGTGGGATTGTATATGCGTGGGTGTGCACTTGCAGCACAGAAACGCTCTGCTTCCCTGTTCCCAGTTAAAGTTAAAACAGACTTGACAGCAGAGACCCATGATTTGCTGGCTTCCTGTTCTCATTTTTTAGCACAAAATATAGCTGCCGGACACTCCCAATTTATGACTGGAGGAAGAGGTGCTTAATTCTTTCCCTCGTATAAGGAAAATGTCTCATGTAAGACACAAGTTATTTGTCTAACTACATTAATCCAGTTTTCTCAGGCTGTGAATGTAGATTCTGAGGAGAGAAAAGATCCCTTTTTAATTCAAGAAGAATTGAATGTTGGACTTTCTGTGAGTTGCAGTCTGTAATGTTTGCACGCACGTGTACACAACACAGGCATTCGGATTCACAAACATTATTAAACTGCAACTCTGGAAGATCAAGTGACTTTCCATGTGACACTTCTAAAACTTTCCAGCCTTCTGCTTATTTGCTTCCTTGCCCATTCTTCAAGGATTTGAAGAAGGCATGCATAGTTCTTGTATTTGTTTCACATTGCTTTAGCTTCTCCACAGCCTTGGAAGAGGGCTGAGGGGTCAGTCTTCATGGCTGAGTGGTGATTTGAACCTAGGTCTTAGGGTTCTTCTCTGACAAGCTGTAACTACGCTCCCCCTTCTTTTTGCAATGCAAATACAACCTGGGGACAATTTGGAACTGGCCAGTGGCACAAGGATTAAGATTCAAGCACTTCTTCCACCAGTCCTGCTGTACAGATCAATTGCTTTCCCCTTTGTTTTTTTTGCCAGGCCCCATATGTCTGTTCCAGCAAAAACAACTGAAACGCTTGCTAGATGCATCTGGCAACTTTGAATCCCAGGCCAAAGAATGCTTAAACTGCAGCAGGAGAAGGCAGGGAGGGCTTGCTATCCATGTGAGCTTCTAGCTATGCCTAGCTATCCCAGCAAAAGCGGGGTGGGATACAAAAAACGCTGAATAGGCTTGTGCTAGCTCTTCTTTGTGGTTTTTCCGCTAGTCTAATGGCAAGAATCCTTGTGATTGTGATAAGTGCAGCCCTTTGAACAGCTTCTGGGGATTTCAGACCCAGCCAAGGGTGTTAGTGGATAGAAGGTATTTTGCAAACAAGGGTGTTTTCCTCCTTTCCCGGGAAAACAATGCTTCTCCTTTGGCTTTGCTGCTACCTATCAGCAGCCATATCCTCACACTCTTTTCCAAAGGAGAAAGAACAGAAAACATTAGCAATTTGAGGATTCGGGTTCAAAACATGGGAAAGAGCGAGATTGTGGGTTGCCAGTGGCAATGATAATCTTAGCACCACAGAGTTGGTAACACTCTTACTGATAACTTAAAAGAACACATTTAAACTTGTATTCATTGCTTGAAAACTGCTTTCATGAGGCCTTTTACATATCAGTGCATGTACATAACATACATTTCGATAACATTTTTCTTGCATACTGGCATTATCCTAAAATGCCTAGTATAAAAAACAAAACCCAGAGCCTTATTAGTATATTTCCAAATAAATCAGGTGCAAGGTTAACTCTTTAAGTTGAGATACTGTAATTCACTAAAAATGGCCAGAGAAAGGTGTTTTATATTGAGGTGTGGAGTTGCTACCCTTCCCTCTATACACCAGTTTTAAAAATATACAGAACACATCCTCTCTTATCTTCTGATGTATTGTGGAGCCCTTGGTACTCTCTGAGCTTGGCTGTCTTCTTGCAGCCGTTTCATTACCAAGCTAGGTAACAACATCAGTGCTAGTAGGGAGAGGAGCTTGTTCTCATTTTATATACTAGTGACCTGCTGTGTCAGTGTTGGTGGGAGTGTGGTTTTGGTAATTCCTTTATTGGGCTGCTGTTTATTGTTAGTTTGTTTGGCTGTTCTTCATTTGGAGTACCACCAAGACCTTTTCCACAAATACTGTCATGTATATAAAATGGGAACAAACCCCAAACACTGATGATGTTACCTAGCTTGGTAATGAGACGGCTGCAAGAAGACAGCCAAGCTCAGAGAGTACCAAGGGCTCCACAATACATCAGAAGATAAAAGAGGATGTGTTCTGTATATTTTTAAAACTGGTGTATAGAGGGAAGGGTAGCAACTCCACACCTCAATATAAAACACCTTTCTCTGGCCATTTTTAGTGAATTACAGTATCTCAACTTAAAGAGTTAACCTTGCACCTGATTTATTTGGAAATATACTAATAAGGCTCTGGGTTTTGTTTTTTATACTAGGCATTTTAGGATAATGCCAGTATGCAAGAAAAATGTTATCGAAATGTATGTTATGTACATGCACTGGTATGTAAAAGGCCTCATGAAAGCAGTTTTCAAGCAATGAATACAAGTTTAAATGTGTTCTTTTAAGTTATCAGTAAGAGTGTTACCAACTCTGTGATGCTAAGATTATCATTGCCACTGGCAACCCACAATCTCGCTCTTTCCCATGTTTTGAACCCGAATCCTCAAATTGCTAATGTTTTCTGTTCTTTCTCCTTTGGAAAAGAGTGTGAGGATATGGCTGCTGATAGGTAGCAGCAAAGCCAAAGGAGAAGCATTGTTTTCCCGAGAAAGGAGGAAAACAACCTTGTTTGCAAAATACCTTCTATCCACTAACACCCTTGGCTGGGTCTGAAATCCCCAGAAGCTGTTCAAAGGAAAGCAGCACTGATGATGTTACTTAGTGTGGTAATGAAATGTCTGCAAGAAAACAACCAAGGACCCTACAGTTCAACCCTGAGCTACAGATATTCTCTTCTGTTGATATTCTGAAGGGTTAATTAATTCTTTTTTTCCCCACATTGATTTGGGGGTTTTTTGGGGGGAGGGAGGCAGGGTACCTAAATATAACAGTGCTAGACGAATTAATGCTGACTAAGTGTGCTTATGTATTTGGGGGACTACTGAGCCTTTTCTTAGAAGCCTCTTTCTTAAAACCTCTTAATTGCTGAACATTCAACCTGGCACAACATTAGTAATTAATCACCCTCAGCATTAATCATCTCTCTCTTATGGAAGATAAAGCCATGCCTTAATTACCGGGTTTCTCTTTTTTCTTATGAAATAGCACAATTTCACATTGAAAAAGAAAAAACAGGAAACTAGTTATTACACACGCACACACACACACACACACACACACACACTGTGAACTGATGAAAAATTTTACCTGTGTATTACTGCGTTGCACACAAAGCAGTCAGAAGCAAAAGCTTTGGAGACTTCTTAATTAGTTTTGAGAGCCTACTCTGAGGCCTCTGAGGAAATATACAACGGTCTCTTGCTTGTGGAGACAGCCAGTGTGCAGCCACAATATTAGATTATGTCATTTAGAAAGTGCTACAGAAATGCTGAGTGTGGAAGTTATCAGAAATCAGATATTAGAAGCAGAAGTCCAAGCATCCCTGGGTCCCATAAAGACACTAGATAGGAGAAGAACATGAGTGGAACAGGCTGCCAAATAGAGACCTACATTGTAGATAGAAACCTACATTGCCCTGAACCTTCGGAGAAAAATGAATGAGGCTGACCTTGGTCGTGGTGCTCCCTGAATGCAGATGGCAGCGACTGCACTCTGCATCTCTTTGGGGACTGCCCTGCTTTCCTTGTCATTGGCAACCCGATAAGACTGTGGCTTTAAACTGAACAACTGGAGCTGCATTAAGAATTTGCCCAAATCTGTTATGTATGTGAGATACTTCTAGCTTCTTTGAACTTGGCAAAAGAAAACAAAATAGACAGCCTCCCAGATATTGTGGGTTCACACTTACTTGGCCTTCTCTAGTCCTGGCTTAGCTAATGGAATGACATATATATAATGGGGAGGGGGTGTCTTTGTGTGATACGGAGGGCAAGTCCAGCTTATAAACAGGATGTTGGCTCAGGTTAAGTGCTGGGATGTAACAGCAGCATTTCTCCTCTCTCCTCTGCTGTCCATTCGCAGGCGCACACCTCTCAGCTTCACCACCCGCACCGTGCGGCAGGTCTTCCGTCTTGATGGCGTCTCAGACGAGGAGACCGAGGACCCCGAGAGCGACTCGCCGTCTACAAACCACCAGCCTCCCCAGCCCCTGGTGCCCTCCCAAGGCCAGTCACCAGTACCTGCTGCCGAAGAGCCAGCCCAGACTCAATAAATGGGAAGAATCAGACTCCAATTGGATGGGGTGGGAGAGGATAGGGACCCTACCCTTGCACAATGTCTGGCATCTCTAAGGAAAAGAAAAGAAAAAAAAAAACACTCCCCCCCCCTCCTTTCTTGCCACTTGCAATCTTGGATCTCTCAGCAATCTCTTTGTATCCAGCTGCACTTTAATATCAACTCACCCCTGAGGGGTGGAAAAAATAGGGCGGCGGCGGAGGAAAATGGGGGAAGGGGGGGGGGTGTCTGGATCTTCACTCTGTTTTTCTTAATGAAAACTCCCAACTCAAATAGCCATTGTTTTCTCTTGCACCTTTTATTCCCCGACCGTTTTCTTCTTGTTTTTCCAACTCTAGTCTGAACATGCAAAAGATTCCCAGCCCAAAGAGGAAACGGGGCAGCCAAGGGGTTCATGAACGCAACAGAGGGTGGAAAGGAATGGCTCTCTGCCACTGTGCTGTGGCTTCTTGGTAAAGTTGCTGGTACTGAGATGCCTTCAGCTTTTCCACAAAGACCCCCCTTCCCTCCATGCACCACTGAGAGGCAGCTATGCTTGGGGTGCCTTCTGCTCCCCCTGACCCCCCCCCCAACTTCCTGGCTTCATCTCAGTCCTACTTTTGGGCTCCCTGTTCCTGGGGACAGGGTGTGCTGCAGAGCCTTCTCAGGTTCCCTCTTGGAGGAGGTCCAGATTTGATCATCTCTGCTTCTTCCAGCAGACTTGGCTTGCTGGAGTGACTTTGACTCTCCATTTGCTGCTAGTAGAACCCGCCCAGGGTCTGGGCTAACGGGAGTAAATGAACTGAAAACCATTCATCTCAGCTTGCCTTCTCTGTTCTGAAGGGGGACTTGGATGCCACCCTCTCTGCATATCATGGCCAGCAGCCAAAGAGCACTTTGATTTGTCACCTCCTCATCCCTTACTCTTAATATTGCTAAAACTGCTATGGGAGGTGATGGGTGATTTAAAAAAGAAATGAAATGAAATGAAAAACCTATGATGATAAAAGTTAGGATTTGCAAACTCCGTAGGCAAAATAACCAAGATAACCTCAAAATTATATCCTAGCATTACCCTTCCTCAACTGGAAGGCTGCCATCCCATTATTGGAATGACAGTGCATTTGGGAGGGGGGAGGAAATGAGGGAGGGGAATCAGGTTGGAGAAGACTCTTTGTACTTATTTAATCTTGCTTAATTGCATGTGAGTAGACTTTAGACAGGTAGCCCTTGACTTACAACCGTTTGTTTAGTGACTGTTAGAAGTTAAAATGGCTTCTGAAAAAAGTGACTTACAACCAGTCCTTGCACTTGCCACCAGTCCTCGCACTTACAACCTTTGCAGCATTCCCCACAGTCACATGACCAAAATTCAGGTGCTTGGCCACCACTGGCATCTATTTACAAAGGTTGCAGCATCCCAGAATCAGGTGGTCACTATTTGTGACCTTCCCAGCTGGCTTCTGACAAAGTCAATTTGGAGAGAAGCCAGATTCGCTTAAAGACTGCATGATTCACTTCACTGATTTGCTTAACAACTGGGGCAAAAAGGGTCTTAACATCGGGAGCAACTCTCTTAACAGCCATCTTGCTTAGCAATGAAAATTCTAGTCCCAATTTTGGTCATAAATCAAGGACTACTTGTATGCAACAAATGTTGAATCTGGGTTCTGGACATAAGCATTTGGTAAAAGCTGCAGCAACATCAAAATGACACACATAACTGTACTGCCCTTCTCTGTGAAAATCCATGTTTCTCCTGGATTAAGTGTCCTTGCATTAATTGCTTTCCCCCTCAGAAAGAGAAAGAACAAATAGAGTAACTTTAAAAGAATCAATGCTGTGTCTCCACGTCTTTCTTCTGATCTGCATATGCTGCTGCTGCTGCTTGTAGCTGCTTATCACAATCATTTACTTTCACACCTGAAGCTATTTTTGCTACCTACGCAACTCCTTACCAAAGTAAAAGTCCAAATTCTCTATCACCCGCCATCCCCAAATACAAACATCAGGCTTCACGGTAAGACAAGATGGAGTTAAACATTGCATAATTATAATCCAACAGGGTATTCTTGCATAACAGAGCCGAGATTCGGACCTGATTTGCCAAAAATAAGTATCCTGGCTTGCAATACTATGGAGCCTGATCGATATTTGCATTCCCTTATTTTAGGAATAACAAGTGCCTCACTATGAAGACGTAGTGCTGTTTTGCACCTTCAGTTGTCTCCAAGACACAGATAGCCAGCATGTGGGGAAAATATTGTATATGAAAATGTGTGATTAGCGTCTCATGCAATCCATCTTTGGAAGCAACTGCTGCTTTCCTCTGGGAAAACAGTGTCTGTTGTATGAAGCGGTTCTTGCCATAAAATGTGGAAGGAAAGCGCATTGAGAGGCCTCTGATTTTGCTCCACTGCAGCTTCTGATTTTAATTCCTTACTAGTGGTGCACATTCCATGCCAATCCTCATTGCACACCCCTTTATTTATTGGGACAAAACTACAGCTGGCAAGTTATTGATAGGCCCCAGGTTTTGAGACATTGCAATCCAATCCTATGCATGTTTATTCAGAAGCAGAATGCCCTGTGTTAGAAGGAGTTTACTCCAAGGTAAGTGTATAAAATATCAGTTGTAAACCTAATAATCTCTAGCACTTACATAGCACTTTAGTGTGTTTGAAGGATTTCACATGGTATAAAGGTTGAACTTAACCTATGATGTGCACCTTTTATAAAGCAGCAGCAAATGGGTAGCAAACGAAAAAATAAATACAAGTCCAGCCTAATTCTGCACTTAAGAGTTCGCTACTAAGGGTTTGCAAATCTTAGCTTGGACTCATAGGAACTCATCCAGAGGTTTGTGCTTCTCTGGAACAAGGAATTGGCTCTGGAGGTGGGCTTGCCTTCTCTCTCTATATATATATATTTATATATATTTTCAGCATGATAATTTCTTGTCTTAATTTGTTTTAATTCTGTCTTATTTGTTTCTAACAAAAGTTTCCCCCCAACAACATTGTTTTACTTCAAGCCCAGTGGGTTTGCATTTTTAAAAAATATTTTTGTCTCCCCCCTCCCTTTTTTTTTCTTTGCTGTTTGAATCTGTTTGGAATTTTCTTATCCTAATGTAAAGGGCCATAGCAAATACCCTACTCTTTTTTGTTTTGTTTTGTTAAAAAAGAAAAAAAAGTACTTTCTAAGAAAAAGTATGACTTCTATTAAAAGTTCATCTCAGATAACCGGACTTCTATATGTATTTTTATTTCGCTTCTAGTTTTATTTCCAAGTTTGCTATCATGTTTCATTTATTATGAAAGATCACGGTGATGGAATTACGGTATGGAGATTTCTGTTGAAAAATCTGCTAGTTGTTCCTCTATTTCAGTTTAGCCTTCGGATATAATCCAATACTGGAATTTTAGCTTCCAAAATATATAACTCAATTCTGTGCTGGCTGGGGAATTCTGGGAGTTGAAGTCCATCATCTTAAAGTTGCCCAGGTTGAGAGACACTGCTAGAGGAGCCAATAATTGAACATAAAAGTCTGCTTTTTGATAATTATATCGTCTTCATGAAGGGTTCTTTGGAAACTGTCAGGACAGGAATGGGGCCAACTTTTTCAAGAGTCTTCTAAACAAGTGGAACCCCAATATTGTCTAGGACAAGGTGTCAAACTCGCAACATCATGTGATGTGTCGCAATCTATTGTGAGTTTTTTTCCCATTGATGGCAATGTGGGTGGGCACGGTTTCAGTATGATGCATCTGGCCTGCAGGCCGGCAGTTTGACACCCCTGTTCTAGGATCTGGAGGACCCAGATTGGCAAGAAGCTGCACTGTAAGGCTTTTCCTTAGCCAAGAAACAACTCATAATCCATGGAAGGCAGCCTAAAGGTGCACGTGCTGCAGCCATCAAAGCTCCTCTGAGAGTTATTTCCCAATTGTAATAGTTTTTATTATCAAGACTGCACAACTCCATAGAAACTTTTTAATGTGGCCGAAGGGGGAAATACTAAACATGCAGATAGCAATCACTGCAACCATAATCAAATGCTAATTAAATCAATTTTTGTTTTTATTGTATACTGTGATTGCCCTGTTTTGGACAATGCAGCCTCCAGCATATTTTTGTAGCTCTTGTCTACTTATTATTATCCAATTACAGATAGTCTTTGACTGTCCAAAGTTGCAATGGCACTGGAAAAGTGACTTATGACTGTTTTTCACATGACCGTTGCTGCATCCCCATGGTCGGGTGATCAAAATTCAGACGCTTGGCAACTATTTCATATTTATGATTGTTGCTATGTCCCAAGATCATGTGATCACCTTTTGCGACTTTCTAACAAGCAAAGTCAAGGGGGAAGGCAGATTAGCAACAGCACTTAGACTCGTATACCGCTTCACAGTGCTTTACAGCCCTCTCTAAGCAGTTTACAGAGTCAGCATGTTGGCCCCAACAACCTGGCTCCCCATTTTATCAACCTTGGAAGGATGGAAGGTTGAGTCAGAATCGAACTCCTGGCAGTGAAGAGTGAGTTAGCCTCCAACCCCACATTCTAACCACTGCACCACCACAGCTTAGATTCACTTAACAACTGTGTTACTAACTTAACAACTGCAGTGATTCACTTAACAACTATGGCAAGAAAGATTGTAAAATGGGGCAATATTCACTTAACAAATATCTCACTTAGCGACAGAAATACTAGGCTCAGTTGTGGTTGTAAGTCAAGGACTATGGTCATTTTTTTCCTCCAATTTTGGAATTGTTGTCTTTGGAATTTGGCAAACTATGCACACACCAGCCATTCACAAAAGCCGAGCCTTGCTAGCTCAGATAAAAAGGATTAAATTTGTATTTATTAATTAGATTTACAACCTGACTTTTGTTCAAATGCTCAGGAAGATGATGTAGATTAGATGAAGGCAATAAAATGTTCCCTCAATGCTGCTCCCAAAAACTATATTAGTAGCCTTCCCATTCTGAAACAGGCAAAAATATATTGATACCAAAGGCCTGTGGTGAAACTATATTTATATCATTATATTGATTGCTTAGAATAAAGATCTTACTAATTCACATTCATAAGATTACTGTATTTTCACAAAAGGTTGCATGATTTTTAGCACTTCAGTAAAGTATCTTTGCTATCATCCCTTGGGGCCTCCAGTTTATTTCTGAAACTGCTCAGAGGACAATGGATACTTGAGACATTTGACTAAGCCGACTTAAGAATCTTTTCTTAATCTACCAGCCCAGAGATCCATTCTGGAGTGGTGTGTCAATCCACATTCTTAATCCTTGAAAATTTTTTGATTTATTGTAGGTAAGCTTTGCATTATTGTTTGGCTAGAGACAGAATACTATTAGAAAAAAAGGTCAGCTAATATCAAATACAAACAAAAAAATCTGCACTGTAAGGTATAATCTTAGCTTAGATTCAGCAGAATACTTTAGAACAATTAATATATAAATGACTAATAAAGTTATTTAATGCAGATGTACCAAAAAGATCCCTCTATTCTTGGATTTAAAAAACTTTCATACATACCTTTAGAAAGGCTCTTGAATAAACATACCAGTTATGAAAAAAAAGGATCTGTTCTTTTACGGCAAGGGACCAACAAATAGTAAAACTAAAGGGACAATTTTCTCAGTGGAAGGCCTGATGCTTTTTTATTGAGACACAAATTATGTTGACAAGGGTAAGCAGTGAGCTGACCAAATTTGTGAATGATAATTATCAGAGGGCAAAGTAGTTTAAGTAAGGGTGACGTGAAGCATTTGTTGGAACAACCTCTTCTATCAGCACATCACAGTGATGGAGACGATCTGTAACCACTGAGGAAAAAGATGCTGGATCATACCAAATAACTCAATGAAGCTGTTAGCTCAGTGTCTAGCAGCTGTGAAAAAAAAGCACATTCCACACATGAAATCACTAAGAAAGAGACTGCAAAAATTGTAATGCCCTTATTATAAATCTATTGTATGCCCATATCTGGATTTCAACATCTGAAAATGGATCTATAATAGGAAAAAAATAGGATAGAACCAGCAGCAAAGTGGATGGACTTCATTAGTGGTAGTTCGTGCACCATTGGAAGACAAGGTTGGGGATAGATTGTCTTGAAGAAAAATTATCTACACAGTCTCTAGAAGTTAATACTGACTTGATGGCACATGATCATCATCAGAACATGTGGGTCTCACTCCTTAGCTTAGAACAGGTATGTCAAACTGCCGGCCCATGGGCCGGATGCGTCACACTGAAACTGCGCCCATCCCATTGCCAGCAATAGGGAAAAAGACACGATATGTCGTGCGACATCGCAATACGTCACGTGACATCACGAGTTTGACATGCCTGGCTTAGAAGAAGGCAACTGAAGGACACAAACTATACAAAATCATGTTTGGTGCGATAAAGTGGACAGAGAAAATTCTTAACCCAATAAAACTGGGAGATTTAGAATATATGAAATAACTACTTCACACAGCACATAATATATATGTCAACTGGAAATATTTGAGAGAGACGCTTGAATGAGGCGCTGGTTGCCCTTTGTAAGAAACAAAATGTTGGACTAAAATGGCCCTTACCCTGATGCAGAAAGGCTGCACTAATGTTCTTAAGAACGCCTACCATTTTTGTCATTCATACTTGACTCATGTTATTGCTGTTTATAAATATTTAGTCTCTTTTCATTTCATTGAGTGAGCTCTCTTACAAAGTTGTGAACAAATAAGTAGTAATCAGCTTCATTAGAGGGCAACTTTAGTTATTTTGAACTAAACTTATTTATATCCCAGATTTAGTTTAGGACCTTAGGAGGGCATACAAATCTCCCACTAGCTCGACCTAAGAATTGAAGTGTATCTGACCAAAGTCACATACATTTGCTGGTATTCTTGTCCAAAATCTCAGAGGAGAAAATTTAGGCAAGTTGCTCCCTATTGTTTGTCTATTACTGTATCCCCCCCCCCCCATGCCTTCACTATAATTACCTTCTTGCTTTTCTCTCCTATCCACAAGATAGGTGAAGATGATTGCTTTTGCACTGACAGTTTGCCCAGAACAGGTGAAAGGAAGGCAGTTATTTGGATGATCTAACATACAGATTCCACATAATCTATGGCCATATACACTCACTGGGAGTGGGTTTCCATTCAGAAACTGAGATCAATGTGACTTACTCCCAGACAGATGGTACTAGATGAGTGTTCCTCACTTCTTAAAGGCAGCACATCAAGAATATTTAAATTAACTACTGTATAGCCAGCCTTGTATAATTGTATTGTATTGTGTTGTGTTGTATTGTAGTCTGTCTGCCTGTCTATACACTCATACACGAACACACACGCATGTATTGTACTGCATATTCCTTCACGTGCGCCGCCAATCAGCTCAGTTTTCCTTGACTTCCTGATAAGAGGACTTTAGAACGCGGTGTCTCCACACGGCTGCGCGTGGAACCCCGAAGAAACGACGCCATTGGCCGAAAGGAAAGGATTACTGTTCATCAAGAGTCAGATCCTCGGCCAGTGGCTGTTCTGGAGGCGTGGCTGGTGGTGGTGAGAGATTCCGCTTTTGATTGGCTAGCAGTTCGCAGTGGCCCTAGAGCGCCTGCAAAGGTGAGTGTCCCGTGAAGTCGTGGCTGAAATCTTTAGGAGGGTCTGAGCAAAGTAAGATAATTTACATGGCATCTAACCGACTTGAGAAACTGGAAGGCTCGGGCCCTTTGGGACAGGCGCTTTGCATTGGTGACTGTGGATGGTGTGTTGCAGCCTGAATGGACTGCGGAGAGAACTATCAGCTGTTTCTTGGTTCTTTTGTTGCAGCCTTATTAAGCACATTGAGAGGGGGAGGGGATCCTATTTAAGTACTATAGTTAAATTCTAGTCGGGTTTTCAGTTCCCAGAAGAAGAAATAAGCGAGTTCTGATTTTTTTATGATTATGTGCTACCAAGTTGTTGTCAACACTTAGCAGATACAAAGATAAATCTTCTCAATCATGATTTATCTCTAACTTTGGGTTTTAGATCTCTCAACCCCCCCCCCCAAGTCCTGTTGTTCTGCCTCATATTTGGTGGAGGGAATGAAGAAGGGATATTCCTGGGAGGAATGAACGAAGAACAGGGGGAGTATATGCCAAGTGTATCTATTCCCAACTGGATCACTCAAAGTGTGAAGGTTATTCCAGCTGTCCACTAAAACAAGCAGGTGTTTACTGTATGTTGGGCAGCAGCAATATAGGAAGATGCTGGAAACAGATTATCACTTTAGTGATAATGGCAAAGGCAGCAATTTATACTGCACAGGAAAAGGCAGAGTTAAACCATTCCTGTATTTTTACCAAAAAAACTCATGGATAGAATATATAAAACAATTGACAATGTAATGCCAGGTAGCATATAAGCGTTGCTTGAGCAAGGTCTGCAAGATTGTCTGGGACACTACACATCCTCTTCACAACCTGTTTTCCTTGCTACCTTCTGGGAGGAGGCTCCATGGTATCCGAAGCAGAACATCCAGATTCAGTCACAGTTTTGTTCCATACAGTATTAACCTTGTGAACTCTAAAGCTTCCTCCTTCCATTATGTATTCAAGCTGGACAGTGATTAATATTTATATGTTACTTATGTGTAAGGGTGTAGGTCTATACATATGTTGTTTATAGTACATTTAAATGTGTGTTATGTATGTGTACGCTTTGAGAGCAGGCAACTAAATTTCATTTTTAATGTGTGCCATTGTACCCACAGTAAAAAAAAATGACAATCTGGGTGCTCAGAAGACATAATCTTTGGTCCTGATGACCAACCCAGATTGGATCCTGCAACATTTTCCTGGGACATGTTTATTTACCTTCATTCGTCTGTTAACATGCATTAGCAAAAATATGGAAAACTTCAGAAAATCTGAAATGGAGCAATTATGGGAACTGAAGTCCAAATTATGAGATATTTACATGAGAATCAGTGTGATGGAGTAGTTCAGGTGCTGAACTAGGAGTGAGGAGAACCAGTTCTAATCTTCCTTTAAGCACAGAAACTGCCCAGTGACTTTGGGCAAATTATTCTCTCTCTCAGCACTAGACTGGGAAATTTAAAAAAATTATTTACCAATCCATACTGGACCAGTGAGGCTGCTTATGATCTATAACTGTCAGGTGAGGAACTTTTAATCCTATTCTAGGTTGATTTGAGCTAATAAGGTAGTCTTCAACTTACTGAGCCCAAAATTTATGTTGCCAAGTGAGAAATTTTTAAGTGAGTTTTGTCCCATTTTATGACTTTTCTTGCCACGTTTGTTAAGTGAATCACTGCAGTTGTTCAATTAGTAACACAGTTGTTAAGTGAATCTGGTTTTCCCATTGACTTTGCTTGTCAGAAGCTTGCAAAAGATAGTCATATGATCCCGGGACAGTGCAACTGTCACAAATATGAGTCAGTTGTCAAACATCTGAATGTAAATTATGTGACCATCAGGATGCTGCAATGTGTGAAAATGGTCATTTTTTCAATGCCGTTGTAACTTCAAACAAGTCACTAAGCGAATTGTGGTAAGTCAAGGACAACCTGTAATCACTGTGAAGCTGGCAAGAATTATTTTGGAGTTCAGCAGCCTAAAAATATTTTTTATTAGATGTATTGTCCCATTTCATTTCAAGGCAGCTCTGGGAGGCTTACAGCATTAAAAGCATTAAAAATATAAAAGATAAACATTTCTAAAATGATAGAAATGGAATCACAATCGGGCCCTTACGGAAGGTCAGGATGGTGGGAGCTGATCTCACCTCAGGAAGTAAGATGTTCCAAAAGGCAGGAGCCACAGCAGAGAAGGCCCTCTCTTCGACTCTGCCAATTGAAATTCCTTGACTGATAGGGACCACAAGAGGCCTCTTCTGTCAGCGCAGGTTGGATGGGCCAGTCCTATTGGGGTGAGATGGTTCCTCAAATAAATGATTCCTCAAGGCCCATGCCATACAGGGCTTTAAAGGTAGTAACCAACATCTTGAGTTGCTAGTGAATATATGGTGAATGAATAAATAAATATAATACTCAATATAATTCTTACAATAACATGTAAATATCAGAGTTCAGTTGATTTTGTACCACTACATTTGGATCTAACCCATTTTGTACACAACTCTTTACATATACAGTACGTATAGTCTTTGTTGAAGTTATCAAAATAAATTGTAGTGCTTTAAAACAAGAAAAATATATTTAAAAGGAAACTTTCAGGATCTTCTAATATTTTAATCTGGTCTCAGCTTGGAAATGTCCCTGGCACGGCTTGGAAAAGTGGTTCCCAAATCAAGCATCTTGTTCCTGTGTGACATGCAAGAGAAATTCCGCCCCAACATCAGCTACTTCCCTCAGATTGTGTCTGTGGCAGCTCGGATGCTGAAGGTAAACACTGGAGGGTAAGGACAAAGAAGTTTGACATGATCTAGAGACAGGAGAGAAAGAGATATGAAAGGATAGGGAAAGAAATTACTTATTTCACTAAATTCAAGATTCTAAATAATGGGTTCCAGAATTCATATAGGTGTCACAAGGAGGCCAGGCTTTAGTTGTTAGGGATGTTACCCAGCAGGTTCCTCCAAGACTGAATCTAGTCCATAATCCTGAAGTAGGTATTGCCCAAATTTTAGTGACTGTCTTGAGGGCTGTTTAGCAAGAATGTTTAGCATTTGCTGTCAGTGTTAGCAAAACCAGGCATCACAACATATTGTTTTTGCCAAGTGTCAGGGGTGTGATCAGGTGCCTAGGCAATTGGTTCTTTGGGATCCAGAAGACAATGAACAATCCAACAAATATAGAGATTTTAAGCTCTGTTATTAACTCAAGCAAACAGATGTAAAAGCATAACATAAAACACATATATACCAAGCAAGATAATACCCAAATTTCTTATAAGCTGCCAGGAGCTCCTTAATAATGACAGCAGAGATGTCCCAATGGGGGCCAATTTCCATGGTACCTGGTGCTAGGCTTCAGGCTGAAGTTCCCAGCAAACAACAAACACTCCCTCCCCCTCAGATTTTTATCAATGCCTGGTAACATGACTTCATGGCCCTGCTATGGTCAGGAGATTGCAAGAGGGCCTGCTGATCTTGACTGATGGCACATGACTCTGGGATGGGAATGAAAAGCCTGAGACTTTCACTGTGAGTAAAGCTATGTGAAAATCTAGGAAACAGGAATAAAAAACAAGAGGCTAGCTCAGAATGAGCTCTAAATTTCTAGACTTTTCTTAATGTGAAAGAGAAATCAAAATATGTCACCAAACTCCTCAAAATAACAGTGGTCTTCTGCATTGCCACTACACAAATTAGATTAGAGCAGTGGTTCTCAACCTGTGGGTCGGGACCCCATTTGGGGTTGAACGACCATTTCACGGGGGTCGCCAAACAACGCAGTCCGCCATTTTTCCCCCCTTTTCCTTAGCTGTGCTACTCCCTTTTATTCTATTGGCTTTTGAAAGCCAATAGAATAGACTCTCTTGAATAGAGTCTAATTCTATTGGCTTTCAAAAGCCAATAGGAATTGTCCAGGCTGTCTCTGCCCTGCTGAGCCCGCCAAAAGTCCCATTCTGCAAACGGTGCTGCACCAGTTGAGTAGTCCTCGACTTATTACCGATTGAGTAGTCCTTGACTTACGACCAGTTGGGGGTCGCGGCATTAAAAAGGTTGAGAACCACCGTATTAGAGGGCCTTCATAAAACATGGGCCGTTAAGGCAAAGCTAAGGTGTCTTATGCAATTTCTTAGATGGACACCAGGGGTCAGCATAAAATCAGCATCTGAAAAGCTCACCTCTCTATCCAATTTGGGAGTCCAGCTTGTTTTCACCCTACCCATCCCCAAGGCCTTGTTCTGTCTCCCGCCAGGTTGCTGAAGCTCTTGAAATCCGCACTGTGGTCACCGAGCAATACCCCAAAGGTTTGGGTCCAACAGTACCGGAGCTGGGAGCTGAAAAATTGCCCAAATACACCAAAACGTGCTTCAGCATGCTTATCCCAGAGGTGGAAAAAGAGATGGAATCTGTTCCCAACTTGAAATCCGTACTTCTCTGTGGGATCGAGACACAGGCTTGCATCATGGTATGAGATCAGGAAACTGGCTTTTGGGGGTAAGGCAGAAGAACTGATACCAGGGTAGACAGGCTACCTATGCAGCTTTTATCAGTGTACCAACCGAAGAGGGTATTTGTAGCTCATAGTTGAACTGTGAGGTTCTTGATGCTCTCTGAGCTTGGTTTCATCAATGTTCAGCAGAAAGGCAGTAAACTCAGCTCCCCTCCTATTTGTGCTGCATATGTATATACGGTGGTTAAGGTCTTGAAGTAAAACATGGGAGGTTCAGGTTTAAACCACCTTCAGCTTTCAAGGGTTTGAACTAGTTTCACTAGGTCATTATTCTTTACAAGGTCCTGGGAATCTGCAGGAACTTGCTCCTCTTGTCAAAAATAAGAGATAAAGGATCATGCTTCAAACTCTGCCCCAGGACATGGCTTTAATCATTGTTCCCCACCTCCTGTGGACCCGGCTGCAAAGGGCTATTGTACAGTTAAAAGGAAGAGAGATTCCTATCTAAATCACATTGTATTCCTGGAGGAAAAAGTGGGTTAGAAGCTTAACTGACCAATAAATAGAAGATTTATAGAGACCAGGATAGTGACAGATTTTATTTTTCTGGGCTCCAAGATCACCTCAGATGGGGACTGCAGCCAAGAAATTAAAAGACACTTGCTCCTGGGGAGGAAAGCTATGGCAAATCTAGACAGCATACAAAAAAGCAGAGACATCACCCTGCCAACAAAAGTGTGTATAGTCCAGGCCATGGTTTTCCCAGTTGCAATGTATGGCTGTGAAAGTTGGACCATAAGAAAGGCTGAGCGCCAAAGAATTGAGGCCTTTGAACTATGGTGCTGGAGAAGACTCCTGCGAGTCCCTTGGACTGCAAGGCATTCAAACCAGTCAGTCCTAGAGGAGATCAACCCCCACTGCTCTTTAGAAGGCCAGATCCTGAAATTGAAACTCAAATACTTTGGCCACCTAATGAGAAGGAAGGACTCACTGGAGAAGGGCCTAATGCTGGGAAAGATTGAGGGCAATAGAAGAAGGGGACGACAGAGAATGAGATGGCTGGATGGAGTCACTGAAGCAGTAGGTGTGAACTTAAATGGACTCCAGAAGATGGTAGAGAACAGGAAGGTCTGGAGGAACGTTGTCCATGGGGACGCGATGGGTCAGACACGACTTCGCAATTAACAACAACAACAGAGACCAGGAATATCACCCTTGTTCAAATAAGCCAGTAGCTTTTTTTATAGAACATGCTAAATCAAGTTTACTGAATTAATTATTGCTGCTGGATTCACCAAAGGAGTAAACTGCAACCCATGCTTATAAGCTATCCTATCTGGGTTCATACAATGTATAGGTTGTTGTCAACTTACAACCATTCATTTAATGACCATTCAAAGTTACAACAGTGCTGAAAAAAGTGACTTGCAACTGGTCCTTGCAGTTTTACCTATTGCGCTCTCCTTGCAGTAACGTGATCAAAATTTGGGTGCTTGGAGTCAGCATGTATTTATGACAGTTCTGATGTCCTAGGGTCATGTGATCACCATTTTTGAACTTCCCAGCCAGCTTCTGACAAAGTCAAGGGGGGAGCCGGATTCACTTAATAACTGCAGTGATTTGCTTAACAGCCATGGCAAAACATTGTGAAATTGAGCATACCTCATTTAATGACTTCTTCAGCAGCGAAAGTGCCAGTCCCAATTGTGGTCCTAAGTCAAGGACTACCTGTAGATAAACCAACAGAAGAGAAAATACATAGCTCAGGAATGCACTATTAGGTTCTTGGTGTTCTTTGAGCTTGGTTGTTTTTTTTCATAGGTTTTTGTTCACTTAAAAACAAACCATATTTTGATCTCATGAGTATACTCAGCCATGTAATATGACTTCTTTGGTTTTGACGCATGTGGCTAGATTCACCCAACATGCTAATTTATTCAGCACACCATGGCTAAGTAAACTATGCTTGCATGTGTTGTTTGAAACCAGCATTTAAGTGCCAGAGTAAAATTGGGAAGGTATCCATTTCTTCCTATCTTTGAATCTTTAATTGATGTAGCTGGCCTGGCAAATAGTTTCAAATTCTGAGGAGCCTGGGAGGAGGTAAAACAAAGCACTTCTTTTTTTTCTCAAGCTAAAAAAGGGGGGCCCAAATAATGTACAGGTAGTCCTCGACTTACAACCATTAGTTCAGCAACCATTCGTAGTTACAACAGTATTGAAAACAGTGATTTATAGCTGGTCCTTGCATCCTTCCCAGATGGCTTCTGATAAGCAAAGTCAATGGGGAAAACCAGATTTGCTTAACAACTATGTGATTCACTTAATAACTGCAGTAATTCACTTAAAAGCATGACAAAAATAAAATAGGTTCAACTCAGTTAACAACTGTCTTGCTTAGCAATGGAAATTCTGGTCTGAATTGTAGTTATTAAGTCTACCTAGTATAGAATTTAGAACTAGGCATGAAGCTAATTTGCTCCTATGAATTAAAGGAGAAGCAGCACTTTATATGCAGGTAGCCAGCTTACCACCAGTGGGTGTATTCATGGTGGGAATGAGGACCCAGCATAGGCATCTCCACAACACATGTTGGTACTAAACATCTCCACATTTCTTCACCCAGAGGACCTGCTGGGAGATGGTTGAAGAACTGAAAGAGTTGCAAAACCCTGGGAGTGGCAAAGTTCTGAAGAGTGCCACCACAGGAATGATTGCTCTCTCATAGAAACTGAAGGCGTTTTCTTTTGATTTTTCTTTTTTCTTTTTTGGGGGGATCCAGAGTACTGCCTTGGATGTCATGGAGCGAGGTCTGGACGTTCACATCGTGGTGGATGCTTGCTCTTCCCGCAGGTGATCAGTGGGACAGATGGGGAGAAGAGTCCAACATCACCCCTTCTATTTTCTTCATATCTTTTATTGGGTACTTTTCTTTCTGTCTCCCTTTCTTAGCCAGATGGACAGGATCATAGCTCTTTCCAGACTGCGTCAGAGCGGGGCCTTCCTTACCACTAGCGAGGGACTTATCCTGCAGCTTGTCCGGGATGCAGCTCACCCGCGTTTCCGAGAGGTAATTCTCTAAATTTCTTTGCACATATCCAAGTTGCCAGCTTCATTCACCTGCTTCATTTGGCCAGTGCCGCTCTATAAATGACCCCTGGTGAAGCAGTGGGATTTAATCAGCTCAGTGTGAAACAGTCCCACTGATGTCAGAAACAACCACCTTTGGTGGTATCCCAGCCACCTTTATAGAAGTAAGCATGTTTCTTTTTTGATAAGACAATAAAACTACAAAACCCATAGTTTCTTGATCGGGATCAGCAATATCATGAGCTGATAATGGGAGGAGAACATATCCTTCTCGTACGTTACTCTATTGTGTCTTATCTCCTCATTTGGTCACGGGCATAAAGGAGGAGAATGTTGTAACTTGTTACCAGAATTCCTAGAGAAGCCCTGCTATAGGGCCACTCTAGGCTCTCATCTCTATTTAGCTGTAAGGCAATATGGTTGACCAAATGAGGCCACCTGATCAAAGCAAATCTGAATCTGAACAAACCAGTTCTATGTCTCTGCCCAAGGAAATGTGGTCTGGCAGAATTAAACCAACCTTTGCCTGGGAGCACATTTTTGGAGAAAATAAGAACTATACTCATCTTTCAATAGACGATTAGGCCACTGGATAGCACTAGGACTGAAACTATCAGACTTATTTTAAATTAATAGTATATCCCTTCAGCCACAATGAACATTAAAGTTTTGGTGAGAACCTCTGGCCAGACCTCTGAGGAAATCCATGTTTGTGAATCTTATGAATTTCTGCTGCCTTTAAAGAAAGCAGGTCGGATAGTTTCTGGATGATTCTCCAGCTGTTGTCTCCTCCTCTTTCTTTTTCAGATTCAGAAATTGATTATGGATCCTGCCCCTGACAGTGGCCTTCTGCCCCTCATAAAAGTGCCAAATCCCCTTTTCAGTTAGCTTAGCTGCTCCAAGGATGATAATCTTCTTTTAAAGCACCTTCAGCCATTTCATCTGATGTCCTTCTGAATGGGAAGAAGCAAAATCAAGATTCTTCAAGTTGACTTTAAAGAGGAAGATGACGAATTATAAACCTAGCTGAAAAGCTGCATCAGACCCGTGATCTTTCTATAGTTATTCTATAGTTATGGTTGAAAGACGATACTGGTAACATTTTGACCTGGTCTTTTTCTATTAAGAAACATCAGTTCTGCCTCCTCAGCTCATAATGTGACTCTGTGTGTACAAATATATATTTAATTTGCACATTTTACTGTGACAGTTCTCTTGTGAGGGTGTATAAATAATATCTGGAATTGTTTACACTTTATGGAGATTCTCAGTCATCCAGGTCATGGTTGTCCCAAAGATGCTTTTTCAAAAGGGAACTGGACTTGGTTTTTCTTCGAAGATGTTTCGCTTCTCATCCAAGAAGCTTCAGTTTTGGCTGCCGAACAATCTTGATGAGAAGCGAAATGTCTTCAAGGAAAAACCAAGTCCAGTTTCCTTTTGAAAAAGCACCTTTGGGTTTTACATTTTAGTGCAGATTTAGGAAACAAGTGGGAAAGTAAGCAGATGATGGGTTCATACGTAATGCTTGTTGCTTTTTTGAATAAACTACAGTTTTGACGCGGTTTTAGTTAACTGCATTTAACTGAGTTCACATAAAATGTAATCTAAACGTGATTCAAGTCTGATGTGAGTCCAGTTTACTTCTATTGACAGAAAGATAAGTAGCTGTGCACAGGAAAGGAGGAATTTGTACAGGTAATCATACAATTTGAAAAAGTCCTCCCTTTTCCTACTTACATAACTTTTAGTTCTGCTCACAATCATGAGCATGTGGGTTAAGAACAGATCCTCACAATTCCATGTTGGCCATTTTTCATGCTGTGTACAACACAGTGAAATGTGTATTTTGAGGCCCTAACAATTGCCAAATGTTCAATAAGCTCCAGCTGTATTTTTAAAAAAAAGCTTACTAGCTTCACATGGAGAAATTAATAAGTTATGAAGTTTCTCTTCATTTCCTGAGAAATTTCAATTGCTAATTTCTGAATATCAAAAGCATAGCACTAGATGGCTGCTTTTAATTGTGTAACAAAATGATTGTTTCACTGGCCAGGTCACATTTTAAGACTCTAAAACAGGGGTGTCAAACTGCTGGCCCACGGGCTAGATGTGTCATGCCGAAATCATGCCCACCCCAGCTTCGGCAATGGGGAAAAAGTCGTGACATGTTGCGACATGTCACGTCACCTGATGAATTCGACACTCCTGCTCTAAAACAACATTTCTCAACCTTAGCAACTTTTAAGATGTATGGACTCCAACTCTCAGAAGCCAGCAGGCTGGGGAATTCTGGGTATTGAAATTCACTTATCTTAAAGTTGCTAAGGTTGAGAAACCCTGCTCTAAAGTCACATTTGTTTTACATAGAATCTGTCCAAGCCAAGCATCACCATGGGAAAATACATTATTTTGACAGGAAAGGTTTTCAAGAAATCTTGTGTCCATCATTCCATGATGAGCCGGAGAGAAAAGAGGTTTGCTTCTGATGTTGAGGCTGCTTTAACTTACAGCTTTGTTGAAGGAAAAGTCTTCATCATGGTTCAGTCCAAGCTGGGAATAAACAACATGGCGACTGCTTTAGAAAGAAAGTTGCAATTTATTGAAGAGAAGAGCCAGACAGAAAGATGGTTCCTGAAGAAAAGAGAGAGAGCACATGTAGGGAGTGAGTTTTTATACCCGCTGGGGCTCTTGAGGTTGTTTCCTGCTCCTGTTTGAGGCTTTGTATTTCCTGTGTCATGTATTTTGATCTGAGTCTGAGTGTGCCCCTTTGGCATCTGCAGGTCAATCCTATTATGTCCTGTCTTAGAGTTTGGGTGGGGTATGTAGATTTTAAGGGCCTTTGTCTTCCTAAGCTTCTAGCTGGGGGCCTCCAACCTTCCTGAATGAATTACCACATCTGCATTTCTACAGAGCTGGTTTCTGCTTGGGGACTTAAGAAAAAACTGGGCATGCTTTTCTGCCTCTTTAAGATCCTTTGAGGAAATATAATATTCTGCCCTTTTAATATTTCCTTCTCTGGGAGGGGGCTGACTTCCCATAGCTTCATAACAAAACTCTGTGCATATCTAGAGGATGCAGGAAAGTTAGTTCTGTGGATATGGAGCATACTACCCTTCAGGCAGTTGGGTAGAATTTGAAGGATAATCCAACCTTAAGGGTATTTTTTAAAAAAGTCATATCCAGGTAGGACTCCAGATTTGTTCTGTCGACCCTCTTCATCCTCGTTGAGAGTAAACACCCCCTCCCATTACTTTCCAGTGACTAGTCGCTGTCCCTTTAAGACCCAGGTTTCCCTTTCTGCTCCCCATCACAACACCAGGACACGTGCCTCCCCGCGTGCTGCAAACGCTGAACTGTCGCCTTCCCCCCCTGGCGCCTTCCTATTGGTCAAAACTGGGTCAGGCTCCTCCCATCGTCTCTCCTCCTATTGGTCAAATCTAGGTCAGAGCCCCACCTGCCCCATGGCAGACGCACATGACAGAAGAAGCTGCGGGGGGAGCACTGTTTGCAAATCTCACGCTCTCGGGCGGCTGGTTGGTGGAGAAGGGCTTGCGAAGCCCCGCCCAGTTTCGCTGCCTGGTCCCTCCTACTCTGTGGCAAAAGGAGGGGCGAATTCGGAAATAGTTGCGAAGTGTTTGTTGAGGAAAGTAACGAGAGATTTTTGCAATTTTATATCTGCATTTATCTGTCTATTGCACGCGTCGAGCTCAAATGCATTGGTTCCCTTCTGGGGGAAGCCTGCATAGGACTCCGGAACAGATCGGGATCCGCTTTCGGTTTCTCCTCCTTAGTATAACGGGGACCTGGCAGAAAAGCAGGTGCGAAAATCTCGGATTCCCTCCGTGCCCGCCCGAGAAGATCCCTCCTTGGAGATCTAGATTGCTTTTTCCAGTGCTTCTAGGATTTAGCTGGAGGAGGAAAAAGCGAGTTGATCCACCGCCGCCGTTTAGAGGGAGCAGGCTCTATTAGTGAAGGGATCACACCGCTGAGTCTTTTCTTTTTTTGAGAGAGAGAGAGAGGAAAGGCTAAAAAGCTTCGGACAACAACCTCCCAAGGGTAATTAATTTTTCGCAAAAAAGATCCGTTTTTTAAAAAATTCTGAGTTAGAGAATCGATTCCCCCCGTTTCCTAATCATCCTTCATTATTGTTTCCTGATTTTTTTGTTTTTTAAAATAAATCTCTCTCTCCCCCGTCCCCAAACCAGCCTCCTCATCTCCTGCAAAGTAATATTTCTAACAGATCTTCTGCGAAGATCCTTCTTGGTGCGGACTGGTTGCTAAATTTGGAGCGGGGCAAAGCGGGGGCCGTTGCCTGCGCCCTGGAGGCTTGTTTCGAGGCTGGTGGTGAAAAGAGAACGGGGGGGGCAGGCGGGAAAGAAATCTTTTGGGGGGGGGGAGAATCATCGAGGTCCTGAGATTTCCTTCCCCTCCTGAGCATAGTCGGTGGATTTTCGTCGGGTTCTGGATCGAAGATTGATGCTTTTGCTCCTTTTTGTTTATATCTTTATTTCTAAAGTCGGGACAGTTTGCTGGAGATCGTCGAAGGGAAAGGAAAAACCCACCGACGGCGGTGGGCATCTCCTGGAATTAACTGCTGCCCCCCCGCCGCCGCAAGCTTCATCATGGCCCAGGGCAGTCCGGCACCCGGCCTCATGTCGCCTCCTCCTCTGGCGGTCGGCGGCCCCAGTTCCACTATGGTCAGTCTCAAGAGCCTCCTGCAAGGACCGGTCAAGAGTCCTGAACGCCGGGGGGCCAAGGAACTGGGCTCATGTGAGTGATTTCCCCCCACCCCGCCCCCATCCACCCCCTGCCTCATGCCAGGTCTAACCAACATTTGTGCTCGCAGCCACGCAAAATATTTGCTGCTTTCCAACTGCTTCATCAGTTCACAGTGGAGGGATTTGATTTGATCTGATTTATTTGTTTAGAAATTGCTAAAGCAATTTTTTGTGTGTGCGGATTAACATCTATGGGTCATCTATCTATTCAATCGGCATTCTAGCTAGCTAGCTGCTATATGGTATCTATCCATCTATCATTATATCTACTCTGTGCTGTCTATCTATCACCTCTCTGTCTATATCTCATCTACCTATCTCATCTATCTATCATGTAGTTGCTAGGAATCAAAAACAACTTTGATGCCACATCATCCATCAACTATATATAGTGTTGCTCCTAGTTCCATTTTACAGTTTGGGAACCAAGAGGAGAGGAGCCACCCTAGAGAGAGAAAGAGATTAGCCATATTTGCAAAGCATATTTTCTGGTTATGAACCAAATCATGGTTTATTCAACCCATTTTTATGGGCTTGTTCCACTTAACTGAGCCATGAACTTGACATGGCTGGCCAGTTTGCACCACTCATTAGATATGTTATGTTTGGCTGGTTTGTGAGTCAATGTGCAGAATTAAAGTGAAGGCTTCCTCTGGGCCAGTATTATTTTTCATCCATCACTTGAACCTTGCAAAACCTTTCCCAGGTATTTCATTTTAATACTCCAAGTGTTTTCTGCCTAGCTTGCTGGAGACATGCCAATGTCATAACACGGATGCAGTTTAAAATAATTAGGTGTCTTGTGCTGTATTAAAGATAAATGGTGTCAGGTTTTTGTGGGCTCTGTGTGTATGTTCCACACACACACCCACACACACCCTATAATAAATATCCTTCCAGTTATCACTCCATCTTGTTCATTTTTCCTCCTAACTACAGTTGTTTTCCAATCTGCCTGCTCATTTGGAATTCTTTGCAACATTGGATTGTCTTTTCCATCCCAATCTGGCTAGTCTCTTTTAAAGTAACAGGAACACACCAGTGCTGAAAGGCCACCTAGCTGTAGCTTTCTGCTTGCTTTCACTTCTACCTTTTCTGCCATCTGGATTTGGGAAGAGGAGGGGGGGGGGAAAGGAGCAGAGGGAGTGTTGCCATTAATGCGCTGTCCTCATTTCAACTTGCCACTGTTACTTCCCCTTTTTGTTCTGTTTCCTGTACTGTGAATTGCAAGAACGGGATTTGTGTTCAAGGAAGATTCTTTTTCAAGAAATTGCTTATAAGAGCTCCCGTGCCTTCCACGTGCATGGAAGATGCGGCCCTTCTTTTAATTTTGATGGGATCATCATTTTAATGAAGGTGGGTGGGGGGGGGAGTGTTCTCTCATAGGTTTTGGCTGGGAGGGGCTTAGATCTGAGAATTCCACAGGAGAGCAAAGCCCTATAAATAGAATACAATATAGTAGGTGGTGTTAGACCCAGAGCACTTCTGAGTTGTTCTCCTCAAAACGGGCATCCTTCTACTGGAGTGGACTGCAGCAGTGGTTGGAAGGGGAGGGTGGGAGTTGTAGTCCGACCCATATGTAAGATGCTTGCTTCTGGAAGGCTTTTGGCCCAGACCTAGGTGGGAACCAGGATTTTTAAAGATCAGGATGGGGGGGGGGCCCAAGAGGGAGAGAGAGAGGAATTTCTAACTTATCCTTCTCCCCGTTCCCTGTAATGACATCTTTAAGGAACACTTGCCATGTCTGCCGTTGCGGTTCCTTCCTTTTGAAATGGATTTTTGGAATTCTAGTGTTTTGGAATTCAGTTCCTCTAAATGCGTCTGCCTCAGTGCCTCAAAATGCAGTACTATCGTAGAGGGTTGTTTTTTTTTTTTTTTAAATTATTATGGAAGGCTGGGGAGGGGTATCAGGTTTTGAGGTGGGGAAATGGCTGTCATAGCCTCCTTGCAGGAGGAGACTAGGAGAAGATGAGATGTGAGATCCTGGATTTCTGAGCTGGGAGGGGAAGAGAGAGGAGGGGATCCTCTTTTAAGACCCTCCTGGAGAGAAGGTTTGTGGAACCAGGGGTTTTGCTGCTGGAGAGATGCCACTCGTCAGGGTTTTCCAGGGTGATCCATCAAGGGGTGTTTCTGTACATGCGCCTGCATACACACACATACACACACATCTGCTGGTTGGCAGCAGTAAATCCCTTAAAGCTGCACACAGCTCAGCCACGGGACACAGCAGGAGGGAATGAAACGTGCCGGCGTGGAGCTTCGCCCCAGGAAACAATCTTTAAGATTTTCACACAAGCCAACAGACAACGGGCGGGCAAGGGGTGGTGGGGTGGCAGCAGCCAGGATATTGTGGGGACATCAGGGCACTTCCCAGGGTCAGCAAACCCCTCCCTGGCAAGGAGAAAGAAGGGGGGAGGAAAAGAAGTGTGTGGGGGGGAGCGCCTGCTCTCCACAAGCTGGCAATTATATTCTAGTTAGCAGTCAGGATGAGAGGGGGACAGATGGATACAGACGGTGGGTACCTCGGCATAGTGGGGACCATGATGTGGGGATGGGCAGCTGGTAAGCCAGATCAAGGTTTGAAGAGAGGATCCAGGGTGCCAGTCGGATCCCTTACCAGGGTTTCTCAACCTTGACAATTTTAAGGCATGTGGACTTCAACTCCCAGAATTCCACAGCCAGCAATGCTGGCTGTGGAATTCTGCGAGTTGAAGTCCACATGCCTTAAAATTGTCAAGGTTGAGAAACACTGCTTGCTTAGCCTACCTGGGCAGAATCTTCTATGGCAGTGGTTCTCAACCTTTTTAATGCCGCGACCCCCCAATCGGTCGTAAGTCGAGGATTACTCAACCGGTCGTAAGTCGAGGACTACTCAACTGGTGCAGCACCGTTTGCAGAATGGGACTTTTGGCGGGCTCAGCAGGGCAGAGACAGCCTGGACAATTCCTATTGGCTTTTGAAAGCCAATAGAATTAGACTCTATTCAAGAGAGTCTAAAGCCAATAGAATAAAAGGGAGTAGCACAGCTAAGGAAAAGGGGAAAAAAATGGCGGACTGCGTTGTTTGGTGGACCCCCATGAAATGGTCATTCGACCCCAAATGGGGTCCCGACCCACAGGTTGAGAACCACTGTTCTATGGGCTCACCCCACCCCCTTAGTCCTTATTTAATATTTATTTTCCTCATTGCTGTGTGACCCTCATTAAGACAAGATCCTTGAGTGTAGAGGGGAGACAGTTGTATGTTTTAAGCCCTCCCTTCCCCCAAGTCCAGTGCCTGCCTTGTGAGACGTATTCCTTCACCTGCACCTCCTCACTCCCCTCCCCCTGGATTTCAGGAGCTGATGCTAACCTTGACCATCCATATCAATGTTCAAGGGTTGTTTTGTTTTGTTTTGTTTTTTTGTTCTGCCATGTGCATGTTGCTTTGGAGAGCATTTTGCTCCTGTTTTCTCCCTGTATGTTCGCTTGCTTGCTTGCTGGGGGCTCGGTTTGCTGCTGTTGACTCCAACCACTGGTGAGGCTGGTTGTGTTTGGAGGTTTGATTGTTTTCGTTTGGTTTAGGTTATGACTGCAGTGAGCAAGCTGAGCCTGGGTTCAAAATAACAATAATAAAAATAAAATTTTTGTGGTGTTCACTCTGCTTGGTGCCACAGCCTGAATATTGACCATTAACTATTTCCCAGCTCTGTGTCATTATATTCCTTTAACATCTGATCGCCAAATATCCTGAGTCACATTAGTTATAAAGTAGTATGTGGTCTGTGGGTGAGAGTATAGTATTATGTGGACCCCAAGCTAGGATTACCTGATGGTTCTGTTGACTACAGCACATATGTAATACATGCCTAGGAATAATGCAGATTAAATATATTGTGTGAATTCAGCCTTGAAGTACTTTGTATTCTGAAACAGTTTTCACACCTGCAATAGCTAGTGGGGCAGAATTAGAAAACAAGGCTCATATGCTGAGGTCCAGATCTTCGTATTACATTAAATTGGCTGTGGGGGGGGGGAATTTATGGGAAACTTTGAGGCACTGAGGGAACAGTTTAGAAGGTAATTTTGGTGTCACACAGAAAAAATCTTTGTGCTTAAGAGTCAGGACTAAAGGCAAAGGAGGAATGGAAACAAAATATTTATCATTTTTATTTCTCCACTGTATCATTCCCCATATTTTAAATAATATTAGCAGTATTGTTTCTATATCCTGTTCTTTGCCATTATTTATCTCCCATAGGCATTTTATCCTTGTAGTACCCTTGCTGAGGTAGTTCATTATTCCCATTTTACAGATAGGGAAAACTAAGGCTTTAACAAAAATGGCCATGGACTGTTTTGATGAGTCCCGTGACTGGGTCAAGATTTCATCCAGCAGTTCATAATTGCCAGTTTCAGGTAGTTGCCTGGGTGGATCCAGGCACTGGAAGAAGAGAGGAGGAGCAAGAGAAGGAGGGAGGGAGGAGTGAAAATATTCCGGGATCAATCTGTATGGGGCATCTCTTCACAATTGGGAATTGTATGTGGGTTTAATCTAGTCATGGGGCGTTGGGACTGACTCGCCCAGTTTCGGGGCGCCAGGTTGGTGTTGCCACAGCCCATCAGCTGGGCCTGGACTTCTCTTCCACGTGTACAGGCAGCGTAAGAGTTCAGGTATGGAGCACCACTCCCAGGCCTGTCTGAACCTCATGGTGTGGGTTGAACACTTGTAAAGCAGACAACCACCTAAGCTTCCAGAGACCTGGTGATTGGGGAGGGAGCGGAGGCAGCCCAGGTGCAGTGGAGAGAGGGTGCAGAGGTGTGTGTGTGTTTGTAGGTAGGTAGTAGGAGTCATGTCAAGGAGGTTTGAAGAAATGCTTGTATCCTCTCCCACTCACCTCCTGGCATTTTCTTCTATTTTAACCCATTCATGAATAATAATCTCTGCAGTCTGCTGTAAACAAACTGGGGCAACCAAAGGGCAGTGTGTATGTGGTGGTAGGGAAATGGATCCCTTTTGCCCCAGATTTAGGCACTAGGCAGGAGTAGATTCAATCATATCTGAGCCTAAGCCGGTGGATTCAGGGGCTAGACTGCTATCTCACGCAGAAAATCCTGCTTTTTCCATACACTCTCCCCAGATTAATGGTCTGGGGTGTGTGTGTCTGTATTAGAGTCCCTGAGAAATTAGTTCCTTTGAAAGGCCAGCTAGCTGTTTCTCTGAAAAGAGCTACCTTCCCAGCTGCCTTGTCTGAGCTTCAGGCTGGCAAGGGGGCAGCGAAGGAACAGGAGCGCTGATGAAGCCGATCAGATATGGCTGAACGCAGCAGGGGTCAGCTGGGGTAAAGCTGCGCTTGTATTTTGCTGGTGAACAACAGGCAGGCCTCCGGGGCGGAGAAAGTGAAGGATAGGTCCTGGGCAAATTTCAGCAGTTTTACACTACAGATATCAGCGATTGCATTTTACAGCCTCAGTGATCTAGCTTGTCCTTGCTTCTCAGCCCTTGAATTAACCACGGCCATAGATCAGAACCATTTTAATGAAACGTTCCCAGACTGGAACTTCCTTGCTGCCAGATATTTTAAAAGCTAAACAAAAACATTATTATGATCCAGCACAATCAGATACGTGTTCATGTCTGCAGTGTAAAAAAATAAAATAAAAAAAATCTCAGAGCAATCATGCAAATCCTGAGGAAGATTGGCACTTGCAGAAAGATAGAGGGAAGATTTGGCATCCTTAATTTGTTACTAGAGGAGTGCAGAATCTTTCTGATCTGAAACCTTTTTCCATTTTTAGCTTGAAACAGTTGTTTCAAGGGTGAAGCAGGCTGTTCTGATCATTTGGGATCGTTCCAAATTCAGAACAGAACTGATTGAAACAACATGAGAGAAGCAGGCAATTTTGAACCCGAAACAGATTTTCACATTCCACGTTCAAAAACAGGTCAAATTTTTAAGATACCAGTTGCTGATGAACCCAGTGGAAACTTCGTTTTGAGTTTGCATCAAGCCACCAAACAGATCAGAGGTAGAACGTGGGGCAGCCTTATCTACAGCAAACAGCAGTGATTGACAGAATATCAACATGTGCCTGGTGACACCATCACACAGCTGCCACCCTTTATATATTTGCATCCTGACATTCGATGCAAGGGTGTAAGTTATGGTGTTTGTGTGGTGATTTCCTCCGCTTATTTTTTTCTCTCATTTGTCCGTTTCCCCCTCCTGCAGACACTCATACACATAGGATTATTATTATGCATAACCACTGTAAAACTTTAAAAATCTTGGGATTGGGACTATTTGGGGTTATATAGTGTGCCTCTGATTTGATCGGTCCCTGAAAAGCATCAACATCAACAACTTTTAAGATATGTGGACTTCAACTCCCAGAATTTGTCAACCAGTATGCCTCTTAAGGTTGAGAAGCACTACTGTACAATTAAAATAGTTTCCAACAAAGCCTTAATTATAGAATGCAATGGGTAGGTGGTTTCAGTCTAGGTAGCATAAATGGTACATGGTGAATACTTCGATTAAAACTGCCAGAATTGTTGATCTAGAAACATTCTTGACTATCTATCCACAAACTACCTGCCTCCATGCAGGTGAATATCAGGAGAAACTTCAAAACAACGAAGGGATAAGAAAGCCAGTAGCTGAGAGTGGTGGGCACTCAAGAAGAAGCTGGAAGGCCATCTGTTCAGGAACCTTTAAATCTGGTCTCTGCACTGAACAGGCAGATGGATAGCCTAAATTAATCTTTCCATGTCTTATATTCTAACACCAAGCCAACTTTTTCTTCCTCTGAAATAACGGAGTCATTGAGGAACCTGTAAAACCTTTGCTATACAGTTATGGTGATTATGAGGTTGGAATGACTTTATAGGTCTCTCCACAGCACACTTTAATCCCTGTAAGTAACTTGATGGTGCAGCCTTCCCTTTGGTTCAAACAGAGCTGTGCTAAGTGTAATTCACTTAAAGTGCAAATTATAATGACTTACTGCTAATTAGTTTTCATTTTTTATATTGCATTCTGTATCCCTTCCAGACAACAAGTTCATCTTGACTTTGTTTATTGAATAATGTTGCTCTAGGTAGGCTAGGCATGATAAGGAAAATTTGGCACTCTGAAGCCTCCAGTTGAATGCAAGTACATACATTTTATGACCATAATTGGGACTGGAACTTCCATTGCTAAATGGGCAGTTATTAAGTGAATCATGCCTGATTTAATGACCTTTTTTTCTGCTGTTAAGCGAATCCAGTTTCCCCCCATTGACTTTGCTTGTCAAAAACTCTTGGGAAGGTTGCAAATGGTGATCACATGACCCCAGTATGCTGCAACTATTGTAAATACATGCCAGTTGCCAAGTGCTTGAATTTTGATCATGTAACCACTGCGACTGTCGTAAGTGTGAAGACCAGTCGTATGTCACCTTTTTCAGTGTTCTTATATGTTTGAACAGTCCTTAAACAAATGGTTGTAAGTCAAGGACTACCTGTATTGCCATTTTCAGAAATTCAGGTTAGAGAACTATAAATAGAATTGGAGCTAAACATTTTTAACATTCTGGAGTTGGAAGATAATGAAGTTTAATGTTGTCTGCTTTTGAAGAAGGATTAACTTTTGGTTTGGGAAAAACCCTTATCATTGCTAAAGGCATTTTGTATTCCCTTTGAATTGTACTTTCCTTTAAATCAGCGATGGGGAACAATGGCCATTTTATGGCTTGTGGACTTCACCTCCCAGAATTCCTGAGCCAGCCATGCTTACATATATGTAGCTCTAATTTATATTCATTTATTATTTTCCCCTTTCCACTTCACATTATGTCTTTCTTTTTTAATTATAAGCTGCTTTGGCCAGATATGGCCCTTGTCCCTTTACAGTACAAGCTTAGACATTTAAGTTGTAACATGTGGCATATTGGGGAAACAAATTTTCATTTATTAACAACTCTTCTTATCCAAGACTTTGTTGTATAGCTTTGGTACAAGCTTTGCAGTTTCCTTAAGCATCCACTGCAGATTTATCACCTTCAGCCTTCTCCTCACAGCATGAGCAAATTCTGGTCCAATTTTCCAGATTTCTGACTTTCAAGTTAATTGCCTGTCTTATTTTTGATCGCATTTCAGTAGATTCCTATTCTTAGATTATACACATTTCACTAATCTTGTTCTTTAACCTGCGTTTCTCCCTTTTGCTCTCCCCTGCTGCTTTTGTTCCATTGCAGGTGTGATCAAAGACAAGGAGCGTAAGATGGAGGACGATATGAGCGTCTCAAGACCTGGGCACTGTGCATATCTGGGGTCCCTCCTGTGGGAACGCACCTTGCCCTACAATGAGATTGAATACGTTGACTTGGATGAATTTTTGCTGGAAAATGGTTTGCCCCCAAGTCCAGCCCATCAGTCATATTCCCCAGGCAGCCAGCCCACCGCCTCGCCTTCCAGCGGGGTAGTGGTGGATCTTAGTCGGCCAGCTTCTTGCGCGTCATCGTCTTCGATCTGTTCTTCATCTGGTGAAGGTCTGGTAGGCAGTGATTATGACCAAAACTGCAGCAAAACAGGTAAATTTGGCTGTACTTTGGGCAAGAGGATGGTGTAGGGCAGGGGCAGGCAACCTTGGCTCTTTTATGACTTGTGGACTTCAACTCCCAGAAGTCCACGAGTCATGAAATTGCCAAGGTTGCCTACCCCTGGTATAGGGGGGGGGGGAAAGATGAAAAAAAAAAGTGATTGGCTCCTGTGGTTCTGCTTTTGGGATGAGATTTGTAAGAGAACTGTAAGAATCTCCATTTAACTGTTTCCCAAAGTCTGTTTTTGCTAGGTTGAACTATGGCAATGGTTCTCAACCTGTGGGTCGGGACCCCAACGCAGTCCGCCATTTTTCCCCCCTTTTCCTTAGCTGTGCTACTTCCTTTTATTCTATTGGCTTTTGAAAGCCAATAGAATAGACTGTTTTGAATAAAGTCTAATTCTATTGGCTTTCAAAAGCCAATAGGAATTGTCCAGGCTGTCTCTGCCCTGCTGAGCCCGCCAAAAATCCCATTCTGCAAACGGTGCTGCACCAGTTGAGTAGCCCTTGACTTACGACCGGTTGAGTAGTCCTCAACTTACCATCGGTTGGGAGTCGCGGCATTAAAAAGGTTGAGAACCACTGAACTATGGGGTCCTTGTTGCTCCCTGAGCTTGGTGGTTTCTTGGAGACCTTTCATTACCCAATTAGGCAACATTTGCATTGATGGTGTTACCTAGTTGGGTAATGAAATGTCTGCAAGAAACCACCAAGGACCGCACAGTCTGTTTTTTTTCCCTCAGCTTCCACACATTTTAGATGTCACATCCTGCACACACTAATTGTAGGCCTAAAACCACAGATGCTCACACAAATATTTGTTGATAGTATTATGAAAACACCCTTATAAAGCTAGGGTGCAAATTCCAAGTGGCATTGCTATATGCCAGTGGTGGTGAACCTATGGCACAGGTGCCAGAGGCGGCACTCAGAGCCTTCTCTGTGGGCACATGCGCCGTCACCCCAATCCTAGGCCTTCAGCTGGGTTTTATAAAACCTTTTTGCTTTAGGCCTCTGCCGCCGTGTGCAAAAAAAAAAAAAGGTTCAATCAGTCAATTTCAACTTCTCGTGGGGAAAAAAAAGATCTTGCAAAGTTGGAATTGATTGATTGAACTTTTTAGTCCCACCCAGTCTGCCATTACCACTGCAGCCATGCCCACCTAATTGGCCACACCCACCCAATTGGCAACACCCAGCCAATGGGCCACATCCACCTGGCACTCGATGATGGATAAATGAGTTTTGGGTTGCAGTTTGGGCACTCAGTCTTTAAAAGGTTTGCCATCACTGCTATATGTTTTGTTTTCCTTCTGCAGTGCCTCAGTGACAGAAATGGGAACTATGGCCTCTTTATGACTTATAGACTTCAACTCCCAGAATTCCTGAGCCAGCATAGTTGTCCACAAGTCATAAAAGGGCCATAGTGTTCCCCATCCCTGCTCTTTGGGATAAGAAGAAAGCGTAATTTAAACTTGCTCTTTGAACCTGTAGAGGGCAAAGTCATATTGTAATTTATTTTTTGTTTAAAGGCACAAAATCTTGAGAATGTGCCACAGGTTACACATGGATGCATATAACAAAATATTTTTCATACAAAAATAGGTTGTGGAAGCTATGATTTGCAATGAAAAAGCAGCAAAAGAGAAGAGTTTCCCCTCTGTTAGAGAATTTTCTTGTTCTGAATCATTCCTTCCCAACTACTTTTCTTCCTGTGGCTAAATCTGTATGAAGAGAAAAGGACTTAGTGCTCTGAGCAGAGAATGGTGCAATTTTTCTTCCCTCTGCTCCAGATCTCAATTTTAATGCCTTATTTTGACCCTTGTGCGAAATGTTCTCTTTTATATCCTGTTTGACCAATCCTTACTTTAAAAAGAACTCTAAAATTATTACAAATCATATTTATTCTTGGATTAACATCTGCAAAAAGATTCAAAGATGCTTTTTTTCCCCAAAAGGCAACTGGGCTGTTTTTTCCTTGAGGAAGAAGAAGAAGAAGGGGGAAAAAAGTTTTGCTTCTCATCCAAGAAGCTTTATCAGTTCTGATGGCAGGGAGATGGATAGGTACTGACAGTTGAGAATGGATGGTGGGGAGAAGATGGAAGGAAAGGTTCTGATAGGATGGGGGGGGGGAATGGAAGGACAGGTTCATCAAAACTGATGAAGCTTCTTGAATGAGAAGTGAAACATTTTCTTTCTTTCTTTCTTTTTTTCTCCTCCTCCTCCTCCTCTTCCTCCTCCTCCTTCTCCTCCTTCATCTTCCTCAAGGAAAAAACAATTCAGTTGCCTTTTGAAGGAAAAAAAGCACCTTTGAGACAAGTATGACCTGGATGACTGAGAATCTCCATAGATATCAGCAAAAAGACTATTCTTTGAAACATGGTGTATTTGGTGTGGAGGTGATAAAAAAAAATATTTTAGCACCCTCACTGGGTCAGAACAGGGAAGGAAGGCAGTTTCAAGCACCTGCCTAATTGTGGCAAGGACTGTCAGTTTCATTTCCTCCTAATTGCGAATAGTTTTCAGTCCCACCTTTTGGTTGTGGTGGCAGTGACAGCCTTCTCCTGGCTGCTGAAAAGTCCAACCTCTCATTCCTACCCTGATTTTCACTTGCCACATACAGACTGATACATAAAGAATTGTGCACTGCTAGCACACACACCATGCACCTAGGAACGAACACTATTTTTGATCCTATCCTGATTTGTATAGCAATTCTTTTCTCTACCTGTTGGAAGTTTTAGAATTTCAGTGAAGTTTTAAGCTATTTTTATTGTGGAGAGGATCAGAAAAGAGATTTTATGGACTAATCTAGAAGCAACTGAAGATGCGGTGTTCTGAAAATAAGCATATCCTGATTTGATCAAAGTTCACTGCAATCTTCATCAATGTCTGAACTTCAGCTTCCAGAATTCCCAGTCAGGGAATTTTAATTATAGATATTGCAAGGGATTCTGGGAGATGTAGTCCATATAGCTAGAGGTATACCTGTTGAGAATTGATCCAATGGATGAAAATTCTATGTTATAATAGAATTGATGTATTAAAGAATAAATAGAAAGGAGTGGAGATTTAAAACAATTTACAACAGTAAAAACATTGCAAATGAATGTATATACTCAGCTTTATTATTACTTTAACAGTCTCATAGGCTCCGGGGACTTCTGAGAAGTTAAGTATTGTATTCAACCCCCATGTTGAAGACAATTACTTCTAAACTTCCATTTCTTTATCTGGATTTGCACAACATGCTGTGTTTAGTTAGTTTTAGCCTTGTTTAGGCTTTGGTGGAAGGATTAGCACATTTTACAAGTCCAACCTGTTTGAATAGTTTATGCTTCAGCAACATCAGAAAATGAATTAATTCAGTAATCAAATTCACAGCACTGTGCAAACCCCAGCTCAGAGTGATAATAATATTGTTTTTAGACTTCATTTCTGACTTGAGCCTTGTTCTGATTCCCAATAGAAAAGTGGAATGTATGGATTTTTAAAAACAGAATAATAAGAAGTTTGGATAATATTTAGAAAGCGATCCTCCAGGTTTGATTCCGAATATGGCTTTTCTGCTTCCATTTCAAAGTGTGATTGTTGAGAGGTTGAGAGAAAAGAGGAAGTTTACAGAGCTTCGGATGGGAATCTGGTGCTTGCTGTTTAAGGTGAAAAATATCGAGGGAGCAGATTAGTGAAGGTGAATTGATTCCATCCACAATGTTTGGGACTCCTTGGAGGATATGCAACACGGAATTGTACTCTACAAGCAGCATAACCTCAGCAACTTTAAGCTGTGTGGACTTCAATTCCCAACATAACTGACTGGGGAATTCTGGGAATTGAAGTCCACACAGTTTGAAGTTGCTGAGGTTGAGAGACACTGCTCTGGAGTTATTCTTAGATCAGTGGTGCTCCAGATTGACTCACATATCAATAATGATTTAATCACATCAAACAATGTAATCAATACTGTGTGAAGGTGATGTAATTAAGTTGATGTCCAAATGATGCATGTTTTTAAGTGAATTTCTAATTCCTATGTTTGATAAATGTATATGGTCCCTCTCAAACTTTTAAGACTTGATGGTACATCAGCCCTCCCTTCCTTCTCCCTTCCTCCTTCCCCCTACATCCTATAAAGTTTCTCCTCAATTATGATCCTTCACTTTCTCTAACTTGGTTAGCTCACTATTAATTGGAACACTCAGCATTCCTGAATGCTCCATCTCTTCCTTTTAAGACATAAGCTGGATTCCCACTACACAGTAAAGCTCCATGGAAAGGCAATGCAGCCATCATCTTAGTCTGTGGTATGCATCAGGCCATCGCATTATGCCATAACATTTTAATTGTTTCAGCACACTGTGTGAAATGAACACAGGAATTGTTTTATTAATCCAGATCTATTAATCAGTGAATCTAAGACCACTGCCAACACTTTTCTCTTTTACTTAAATCTAAAGAAAATAACTGGAGCTCTTATATCTGGGGAGGGGGGTATATAATCCAAAACATTAAATATAAATTGCCTCCCCCTCTCTAGATGTTCTTACATTTAAGTCACCTCTTCCTCTAAAAACTCTGTAGGGTCTTTTGTGCTCTCTGAGCTTGGTGGGGTTTTTTTTTTTTTTTTTTTTTTTTTTGGTTTTTTTTGCAGATCTTTCATTACCAAACTAGATAACATCTTTAGTGCACTGATGAAGTTACCTAGTTTGGCAATGAAACGTCTTGCAAGAAAATCACCAGGCTCAGAGAGCATCAAAGACCCCCACAATTCAATCCTGAACTACAAATATTCTCTTGATATTTGCCCTGTACTACCCCCCCCCATCCTCCCCCCCCTTCCTATTGCTTCATCAGCTCTGTCAGCATTTCTGGATACCAACAGCCTCCATTTAAAAACAGGAAAGCCTCCCTGTTGCCCAAACACTGCCCCACAACCTGGGGATCCTAGACATAAGGCCTTTCCTCCCCTCCGCCTATAAGAGGGGATGAAGTTTCCCCCTTTTCTGAACATCAGGTGTGGGTCTCTCCCTCTCCACCTAAAGGAGGAAGCCTGAAGCCCCCCCCTCCCTCCCCGTGCACGTTTGAATGCGTGTGCATATATCCTGGAGTAGAGACTCAGCTCTAGCGTGCCAGGAGGCTGCGGGGAATCCCGTGTTACTGCTGTGCCAGAGCCCTGTGTCAACCACGCCCGCTTGGAAAGGCCCAGTCTCGTGTCTGTGCATGGAGCCTCCTGCTTTCGCTCACGTTTCTCACCCTGCCTCTGCGAACACATGTCGCTCGGCTGGGCTCTGCGCTCATTGCTCCTGCCAGCTGGCAGCCTGCCTCTTCCTCGGCGCAGGGCGGGGCGAGCGGGCACGTGGGGCTGCGGTGTGAGGCAGGCGGGCAGGGCCTCTCCAGGGGTGCCTGTGTGGCTCTCCCAGCAGGCAGGTTCCCACGAGGGGCCAGCAGCAGGGGGTTGCAAAGCCAGGCAGATTAGCCTTGGGGCTCTCCGGCAAACAGAGGTGGGTGGAGCAATTCAGCAGGGCGGTCATTTGGGGTCTCCAAGGGGTAACTGGCAGATGTCTGGGGGAGGGGGAGGGGGGCTGTGGGAAACAAGGGTACCTGGCTTCTCCAACAGGCACAAGTACCTGAGTTCCTCCACAGAAAGCGGCTCCATTACAGGAGAAGACAAAAGGACAGCAATGCTCTTGTTTGCTAGCAAGAAAAAGCTTTAATGCTGGCCATGAAAATGTTGGCTAGAACAGGAAATGGAGGTTAAGTGAAAAAGCGACTTTTGGATCCAGGATGAATCTTAACAGCTGATTGAGTTGCAGGTTGTTGGGGGTGAGCATTTAAAAGTGCATATTATAATGTGTGGAGATTATATTTGCTTTGTGACCTTGCATTTTAAGCTCACTTTCTAAATCCTTAAACCTTGAGGAAGAGGGAGGAGGGCCCAGGAAATTTGAAGTTAGAAGCGGGGGGGGGGGTGCTGCTCCAGGTTAGGGGAGAATTAAAGGTTGGGAGGACTCTCAGATATATTGAGTCCCTGTTTTCTGGCAACTGCTCTCCTCCTCCATTGCATAGGCGTGTTTCAACATTGCACAACTCTAAGCCCTCTCTGGTTCTGCCAGCCACAAAATGCCTTTCTCCTTCCCTGCTATATTGTCCCAGGCAGGGTAACTTAATAAACTTTTAAAGCAGCGTTTTTCCTCCTCAACAACTTTAAGAAGTGTGGACTCCAAATCCCAGAATTCCCCAGCCAGTTGGCTAGGGAATTCTGGGAGTTGGAGTCCACACTTCTTAAAGTTGCTGAGATTTGAGTCACACTCTTTTAATTCAACCATCCCTCGATTTGCAGTTGCCAGAACAAGTTTGCCCCTATGCCTCTTCTCTGGCTGTTTCTTAAGCCCCTGTCAGTCACGGAGTGCTCCAGAAAATCCACCTTTACTTGAATGGGGTTGGGGTGCTGCTTAACCTGCATAAATTTCCCAGCCCCTCTGCATGCCTTTAATCCTCAGGAAGACTTAAATGTACTAGGTTATCAAGAGACATAACCCTGTGTCCCTGTTGCTCTCCACAATATCAGTTAATCCCTTTCGTGAAGAGATGAGATGCACCGGGAAGCAAAAGGGATGGTTGCATATATGATCATCAGGTAGAGGTAGGTTACGAGCAGATACTTTTGTTGGTGCTTTTCTGTCTTTGTGCAAAATTCATCTACTTTCCTCCTTAACCTGCCTCAGGTCCTATCACTCCAGTGTCCCGAAGCACACCCAGCCCGGTAGACCCTGAGACTGTGGAGGTCCTCATGAACTTTGACCCTGACCCTGCTGATTTGGCACTGTCCAGCATTCCAGGCCACGAGACCTTTGACCCTCGCAAGCATCGGTTCTCAGAAGAGGAGCTTAAACCCCAGCCCATCATGAAAAAGGCCCGGAAAATACAGGTTCCTGATGAACAGAAGGTGAGCTGAGAACAAGCATAGGCCACTGCTTGGGGTTCAGAGACCTCTTGCTTTCGTTTTCCCATCCTCCTTAACCTGGTTGAAATAGCTTGGCTGTTTCTTTAAGGAAGGGAGTATAGTATTCAGATCAAGAGAGAACAAAGTTACTCACAAACCAAGCAATAAAAGCAAGATCATAAACTGTTTTATGTATTAATTGCACATATAATGAATAGTCAGGCTGTGCATTGATTGAGAATGATTTAGGAGGAGGGTTTTAGATCTAGCGCAAGCCCAGTCTTTCTCTGCTGTTCTTTAAATTACTTATATGTAGACCCCCTCTTATGACAGTTTATTTAACAACAGTTTGAAGTTATGATGGCCTTGGGGAAAAAATGACAAAGTTTTGACCATCATATCACTCTTGTGGTTATATGATCATAATTTGGGGCTTGGCAACCAGCTTGCATTTATGACTGTTGCAGCAGCATCTTGCAGTCACGTGATCTTGATTTGCAACCTTCTCAATGATCTTCTGACAAGCAAAACTAGTTGGGGAAGCTGGATTTGCTTAATGACCATGGGATTCATTCACTGACCATGTGATTCACTTAATGATCACAGTAAAAAACGAATCTGGTCACTTAATGATCATTCATTTAATAACTGGATCGCTGAGTGACCAAAATTTTGGTTCCAGTTGTGAACGTTAAGTCAAAAATTACCTGTATGATCTATTTCAGGCTAAAAAGAAAATGCATGGTTCAATGAACAGCACAGAGGTGCTCTGCTTAGGTTAGGTCTGAGTATTTTTAAAATGTCCATGGCCCTAAGCACAGAGAGATGAAAATGGGATACCTTCAGTTTTTTCTCTTCACAACAATGAGGCTAAAAATAGAAATGAATCTCAGGGAAGCTTTATGGTAGAGTGAGGATTTTAACTCTCTCTTCCTAGTCCTATCCCTCCATTGTAATAGCTTTATAATGGCGGGGGGGGGGGATGATGACAAAAGAAGGAGAATATTTACAAGTGGTCAAACATCTTGAAGCAGGGGTCCCCAACCCCCCCAGGCCACGGACTGGTACTGGTGCCTGGCCTGTTAGGAGTAGGCAAACGAGCAAAGCTTCATCTGTGCATGCACAGGATCTAGGTTGCATGTGAAACCATCACCCTCCCACTCTCCCCCAGTCCATGGAAAAATTGTCTTCCACAAAACCAGTCCCTGGTGCCAGAAAGGGTGGGGACCACTGCCTTGAAGGATTTCACTTGTTATTCATTTGATTGCTTTTCCCTATTTATGATGCCTATCCTTTGATCTCAGAATGCCTTCGTTAGCATTTGTTTCTTTATTGATTTATATCCCACCCTCACCGGGGCACTTTCATGACCCTTGCTAAGAATTCTGAGTTGAATTTCGCACATCTGCAGGGAGGGGATGTTGAAGAAAGATGCATTGGATATTTAGTGCCATCGAGCCAATTTCCTGCTCAGTGTAGGAAATCAGATTAAGGCTTCTTCAGTGGAGGGGTTTCAGCTTCTGCTTGAATGCATCTGTGAAGAAGAACACGCCATCTCCAGGCATCATGTTCTACTGCCAAAGTAGTTCTACTCTTCTTAAATGTTTGTTTCTAATCTACAAAGCCTTCTTGTAATGTAAATCCATTTATTCCATGTTCTGCTATTCTAGTCATGCATGACATCTTTGTAAGTATTTCTGTAGGGCTGTCCTAGCCCCACTGTGCCCTGTTCTTCCGTTCTGTCTTTATAGAACTTTGTTTCTTGTCCCAGGATTGTGTTCATTGATCTTTCCCAAGCCAGTTGATTTGGTTTCACTGTTTTCTTCAAATGCAATGCCCTTGGAGAACTGGCTGCCAATTTGACTGGGGAATCTGACCTGTGTAGGATGTAGTGAAACTATTAGTTGTGTAATCTGGAAATAATCCTCCTTGGCATTCCCATCATCGACCAGGAAGTTACAGTCAAATAAGTAAAATTAATTTAGAAAAGCTTGATCCTGAAGTCGCCATCTTGACTTTTGGGTAACTATTGCGTTGTTTTCAGGGTGCTTATAGATTGATTGCTTTATGATCCCTGGGATCTTCCTAGGTATCAGTGCTAGACTGACAGGTTTGTGACTTAGTATTTTAGAACAGGGGTCCCCAATCCCTGGTCTGTGGACCGGTAGCGGGCCACGGCATACCAGCAACCGGTCTGCACAAACAAGCAAAGCCCCACCCGCGAGATGCAGGCAGCACACAAAACCATGTGCTCTCTGGGCCGTGGAAAAACCTCTCCCCACAGAACTGATCCCTGCTGCCAAAAGGTACCTCTGCTCTAGAATGCTATTCATCTTGTTCTAGAGCAGTGGTTCTCAACCTTTTTAATGCCGCAACCCCCAACCGGTCATAAGTCGAGGACTACTCAACCGGTCGTAAATTGAGGACTACTCAACTGGTGCAGCACCATTTGCAAAATGGGACTTTTGGCAGGCTCAGCAGGGCAGAGACAGCCTGGACAATTTCTATTGGCTTTTGAAAGCCAATAGAATTAGACTCTATTCAAGAGAGTCTATTCTATTGGCTTTCAAAAGCCAATAGAATAAAAGGGAGTAGCACAGCTAAGGAAAAGGGGGGAAAAATGGCGGGCTGTGTTGTTTGGTGACCCCCGTGAAATGGTCGTTCGACCCCAGATGGGGTCCCGACCCACAGGTTGAGAACCACTGTTCTAGAGATCGAAACCCATTCGAAGTTAAGAAGCATTCTTGTTTAAACATGTGTAATATTTGGTTACAGAGTGGAAAAGGTGCTATTGGATCCAATACAGGTGTATTCAGAACTTTTCCTGGGCTGGGAGATGTGTTTGAGTTAGGGAGATAGTGACAAGGAGTTCAGGTGAGAGCAAGTAACATTTGCTCTGAAACATGTTTTCTGCTTTTGAGCCAAATACTGCAGGCTACAGGTATTCCTCAACTTATGACTGGTAGCTTGGCAATTCTTCAAAGTTACAACGGACCCCCTCAAAAAGTTCTTAGAACTGGGTTTCAAAATTCCTATCCCCCCCATCCTCCATGGTCACATGATCTGGGCACTTGGGAACTGGCTCATATTTATGGGTGTGTCCTGCAGTCACATGACCACAATTTATTGTTTTTTGGCAACAAACACGACCCATTGGGTACAGTGAGTTCACTTAACAGCTACAGCATTTCCTTAATAACTGCAGTGTTCACTTAGCAACTGTGGCCATTTAGTTAGTGACTTCAATGTTTGCTTAATGACCACCACAAAAAAGGGTTATAGAATCAGGCATGGTCCTTTGGTGACCTGCTTAACAGCCTGCAAGATTTACGACTGTGACTCTTGGCTCAATTATGGTTGTAAGTTGAGGACTATCTGTAATTCCTTACTTTATCTCAGTCCTGTTCATTCATTTCCACTTCTCAACTTAGAGAAGATGGAGTACCAATAGAAGTTGAATAGATCTGTTTTTTCTTCGTTATCATTTTGCCATTTTTGCTCACCTGTTTAATTTGCCAAATCTTTTTTTTTATTCTGTATTTATCTAAAAAGGCTCTTATTTATTATTTCTAGCATCCTTCATCTACTCAGCTCCTTCTTTCAGTTCTATTTCCTGGCATTTTTTCTAGTATTCTGGGCCACCTGCCTATAATGTTTCATTTTTGTTTTTCAAATGGCTGCTAAACTTTTCCTCTGCTCTTTGAAGGAGAATGTTGCCAAGAAGACAAATTAGGAAGCTTTGCAGATATTGGAGTAATTAAACTCCCCATCAGTATCACTTCACACTTCTTGGCAAAATCTGCACCTCACTTGGGAAGGCACCATCCATTTCTCCTTAATTGGGCAAATAGCGGCACACACCACCACCAATATTTATTTGGTGTTTATTAAAATACTGACACATAAATAAAAATAAAAGAATGTACATGATCCTAAAACTTCTCTCTCTCTCTCTCCTCTCTCCTCTCTCCTCTCTTTTTTCTTGGCATGGATGGACTACTTTGTTTTCTGGCACCACTGAAAATGTATAGAACAACAACTCCCAGAATTCCCTAGCCTAGCCAATTTGAAAAACACTAGTCTAAATTAAGAACCCACTGTTTCTGGTAGGACAGGGATCATGTTTAGAGGGTCACCCAAAGATGCACTTTTAACAGTAGGCAGGGCCAGGATGAAAATGGAGATTGGTTTTAACTATACTCAGTAACTTTCATGTACAGGGAGTCCTTGACTTACAACAGTTCGTTTTGTGACCATTCAAAGTTATCAATGGCACAGGGGAAAAAAGTGACTTATGCCCATTTTTCACAGTTACATCCTTTGCAGCATTCCCAGGATCATGTGATCAAAATTCAGACACTTGCCAACTGTTTGATATTTATGACCATTGCTGTGTCCTGGGATCATGTGATTCCCTTTTGTGATCTTCTGGCAAGCAAAGCCATTGGGCAAAGATATTTACTTAACAATGGGTTTACAGAGTATTTGTGATAAAAACAAAATACAGGTAGTCCTCAACTTATGACCACAAGTGAGCCCCACATTTATGTTGTTAAGTGAGACATTTGTTAAGTGAGTTTTGCCCCATTTTACTCCCTTTCTTGCCAAAGTTGTTAAGTGAATCACTGCAGTTGATAAGTTAGTATACTTTGGCTTAGATATTAGAGTTTTTGCTTATGTAAATAGCTTGTGCCAGTCCTATTATCCCTGGTTAATATGACAGCAATCCTATGTTCATATGAAATTTTATGTCCAGAGAACTAAAACCACATGATTGTTTAATACGATGGCTGTATAAGCTCAACTTGACAAGGCTCTAGTTAGTTCCCACAATACAATGAATCACAAAGACACACTAGCAAAAGGAAAGAGCCAGGGACTTTTTGAGTAGCTGGCATCATACAGCACACTATCTAAAGCTAAACTGTATTTTATTTATCTACTATGAGACACAGAGAGAGAGAGAGACAGAGAGAGAGAGAGACAGAATATCATCCAGTGGGATTTCATGGCTAAGGTGAGACTAGAACTCAACAGTCGCCTGGTTACTAGCCTGATGCCTTAACCACCAGACCAAACTAATTTATTCAAAACGAGTGAATATTTGTATCAAAAAATGGGAAATCCAGAGTGGGTGTGCTCACCATAGCTATCAGTCTCTTTTTTTAAAGGAGCCTGCCATCAACAAGGTCAGCAAGAAAGACTGTCCCAGATTTCCCATTTTAGATCCAAACACTGGACCTAAAGATACCTTTAAAATCCATTTAAAACCCTCTGCCAGCTGCATGCGTTAAGCCCATGCAGCTGGCAGAAGGCTGGGGACGCCTGGTCTCCTTTCCTAGTGTTGTTTGCCTCATAAAAGTAAAACAGCATTTATATCCTTTCAATCCCCTCTAAATATGGGAAACAAAAAATTGAGAAAGAGGAGAATGTTGCATAAGAATAGAAGAATACCCTTAACCTTCTTTTTAACGGCATCATGGTGTCAGTCCAGTTCTTCCCTTCCCCTACTTTTTAAAAAGAGAAGAAAGCCAGATTTTTGTGCATTTTGCTCCAGTTATATCGATCTCTCCATCTGCTCATAGCCCAGATCATTGAAACGAATTGGCTGGAGCTGACTTAACTGTACCTAGGCTCTGAAATCACGTGAGGGAAGGCCAATGGATTTCATTGACTCTTGTGGGACCAAGTCTGAATCCACTTCAGTGGATGAATGCCTGTTGCTAAACTATTTTTGGAAATATATTGGAACATGGCAGTCTTCTGTGACCTTCATAGAACTTTGAGCTCACGGAGAGAGTAGAATGCATTCACACAGATATTACTGTAAGCGTTGGAAGACGAGGTTCTGAAAGTTCAGTTATCCGGATACAAAACATGGTGAGTTAAATCTTTGAAGCCATCTAAAGGTCTTGCCTTTTGGTAGATGGTTGCATTTACAGCCTTCACTTGCAAGATTCAAATTCCGCTTGGTATAATTTGCTCTTTCCTAGATTATCCAAAGTCAAGTAAGAACTGTCTCCTATCTGGGCAAGCCAAACCTTCCTTAGATTTCAGATCACTCGTCCATGGTGATGTTTTGTGGTTGAATGGAGATTTGACCATGAGTTTCCTCAGCCTGGAAGATGAAACCATCCAGGGATATGGCCATTGGTATTCATGTACAGTGTATTGCTTTTTAAGAGCACAAATCTCACCCTGAATTGGACAGTCAACTGTTGTCAAGTACGTGTAGGAGCTGCCTATGAACATTTAAGTTGTGCAGAGCCTTGTGGGAAATGGTTAGAATTATCTAGTGTGCAATGCTTATGTAATTCTTTCTTTGACATGCCACTTTTTTCTTCTCCCCCCCCCCTTTTACATGTTGCACCAGGATGAAAAATATTGGAACAGGCGGTACAAGAACAATGAGGCAGCAAAACGCTCAAGAGATGCACGCCGCCTGAAAGAGAATCAAATCACAGTTCGGGCGGCTTTCTTGGAGAAGGAGAATGCGGTCCTTCGCCAAGAAGTGGCCAATATCCGCCAGGAACTAACCCGCTACCGCAGCATCCTCTCTAAATATGAATCTCAGCACGGCACCTTGTAAAATCCACAGCAGGGCGCTGTGCTCTTCTCCAAGATCCCGCCGAGGTGGTAGGGCCACCCTGGTTTTTCAACCCAGACCCCCTGTCTTCCCGAACCGGGCAAACAAATAATCCAACAACAGATGTTTGGAATGAGGGAAAGGTCTGCATTGAGCACTTTCCACCTGCAGGGACTAACCATGGTTCTGGGTGCGCAAAGGAGAGTTCCTGGGTGGGCATGGCCTGCCCCTCACCCAGAACAGGACAGCAGCCAAGATGTTGAACTGGGCATCGTAGATACCTGGAAGACACAAGGGCTCTGTAGCACGTTGGAAGATGTATTGCACACACAACACTTAACATGTGCACGCACGTTCTCTCTACACCTGTATCTTAGGGTTTGGCTTGTGGATGAACTCTCGATCCAAAAGGCAATTCAGTCAGAGACCATCACGCTGCAAACCACTGTCTGTGTGGCATTTGGATGGGACTTGGATATGGATGACCAAGGAGCTCTTTAGGCAAATCTCAGTGCCTAAGCTCGGTCACACACAAGTAGATTTTTCAGCAGATGATTGCACACAGTTTAACCCTTTCTCATTTCATCCACTGACTCTGGAGTTGCGATTAAGGGACAGGCAAACCGACTACAAAAGTGGATGTGATATCCAGGTTTTCTGGGCTCAGCCCTACCCCAATAAACCACTATGACTTTACATGCCCCTCTCGAGGAAGCCTCAAAATCTTGGACACCCTGAATGGAAAAATCCTTTCTTCTGAGATCAGTAAACATCAGGACTCTTCTGTCTATAGAATGCCAAATTAAATCAAACGGGTCTCATTTTATTTTCACACTTGGCCGAAGGGGACTTTACATCTGATGGCAAAGCTATGGGGTTTAGTTTAATTGTTTCAATTATATTATTCTCTGTTTTTAGTTAAAAAAAGGCAAGTGACTGCATCTGTTTCCTCCTAGCACTGCCCAGCGTAGTGTCATGTGTACAGAAATGATAAAACACGAGACCTCATTTGTGTCCCTTCTAAATATGAAATCTATATAAATACATGCACACACATTATATTATATGTATATGTGTATGTATGTGTACATATGTGTGTGTATATATATATATATGTACATATACATATATATATACATGTATATATATATATACACACACGTACATATATATACACACACTATATATATATGCACATGTGTGTGTGTATATATAAACTTTTGTTTCATCACTTTTTTGTAAAATAGACAAAATGTGTGGTTGTATGTGTGCGTGTATATACGTGTATATACACACAGCCACCTTCACTCCAGGCAAGACTTGTGAGATTATGCTCTTCTGTTAAGGGAAGGAGGGTTCTTTCGTACAGAAAGGAAATGCTGGGCAAACATGTTTAAAATCTCCTTTGGAGAGATTCCTAATCTTTTTAATTTTCCATGTAACAGTGTTGTTAAGAACTTTTCGAGAGGGCTTTGAGGGCAGTTCCCCAACTCTCCCAAAAGATGTTTACAATTATATGCTACAAGCAATGAGGAATAAAGGAAGATGGGATTTTAAAAAAAATACTATCACCAAATAATTTTTCTGTCTCTGTTCACATATCTGTCCGTAGATGTAATGCAAACATACCCACGAGATAGTTCCTTTGCACTGTATCAAGTTTCTATTTTTACAGACTGGGTCATTTTTGGCTTTGGATCAAGCAACCACTTTCCTGTTTTGTTTTTATTTTTACAATTCACTTGCTATAAAGATTGGAGGAGACTACACACATGGGCGAGACTGAAGAAGGAAAACAACTTTGCTCTAATAAGAGCATCTTGTGACACCTGAAAGACTAATATATAATGTTGCCACATACTGGTAGTCCTTGACTTATGATTACAGTTGAGCCCAAGATTTCCGTTGCTAAGCAAGACAAGTGTTAAGTGAGTTTTGCCCCATTTAGAACCTTTCTTGCCCCAGTTAAGTAAATCTGGCTGCGTGCCAGACAGCAAGTGTTGAATTTTGATCACATGATGCTGCAACAGTGTGATCACTTTTTTCAGTGCCATTGTAACTTCGAACAGTCATTAAGTGAATGATTATAAATTGAGAACTACCTATCATGATTACACACATCAAGTCATTGTTGACTTGAGGTTTTCTCCATGATGATCTGTCCCTACTGAGTCTTCAGCTCTCATTACGACTAACTGGAACAATCTTGTTGCTGGTCACCCTCTTCTCTTTCCTTCCACTTTTCCCAGCATTGGAGTCTTCTCCAGGGAGGGAGATCTTCGCATAATGTGTCTGAAGTAGGATAATTTGAACCTGTGCCTCAAATGAGAACTCTGATTGATTTAATTTCTGATCCATTGGTTTGTATTCTTCACTGTTCATGTACTGTCAGGAATCTTCTCCAACACCAATGTTCAAAGGGGTCAATACCCTTCCTTATGTTTACTTCATCAAAGTCCAACCTTTGCTTCCATAGTGTCAGGGAATGCTATGGATTACCATTAAAGGAGAATATTTGTAGCTGGGGGTTGAAACGAACGGTCTTTAGTGCTCTCCAAGTTTGGCTATTTTTTTGCAGACATTTTATTACCCAGACTAAGTAACATCATCAGTGCTAGATGATGTTACCTAGTTTGGGTAATGAAACATCTGTAAGAAAACAACCAAGCTCAGACAGCACCAAAGACCCCTCACTACCATCATTTGCATGATTCCGATCTATGTAGATAAATTGCTATGCAGTAGTATTTCATTAGATGCATGGAATAAAGGCAAATGAAGGGTGTCCTGTAAGACAGGAGTTTCACTGCTTAAAGTTGTAGCTTCCTGAAATGCTGACAGCTTCCCATTATCCTAAAATATAGCAACACTGGCTAGAGCTTATAAGAGAGCCAGCATTATCTGTAGGGCCAAAAGTTCCTTAATCAAGTTACATGTTGGTGGAAACTCTACTTTAATATCCTCCTCTCAGTTGGTGGAGTTAGGCAGGACATGAATGAGATCTAGTTGCATAGCAGAAGCATAGGTAAAGCCAGCCAGGGTTGAGCAGATCAAATCTTGAATAGGCCATTGCAAGCCTATACTCCGTCTGTTGGGATGTCACACAATATAATGGTATATAGGAGTGACCTTGGGAAATGAGGGAGAGGGAAGGGATGCTGCCTAAGGGACAATGTGATGACCCAGGGCACAGCACAGAGGCAATGCAGTCAGCTGGCAATTCAAACAGTTCTTTTATTGCTCCAAATTTTCCCCAAATGCTCCCACATTTGCTGGCAATCCTCCAACAAAAGAACACATACACACACCCCTTCAGCTGACTCTGACTGAAAGTAGGTTCAAATACAGTCTGATTAGCAGAAGAAAGTACTCAAGGCCATAGAGATAACAAAGAAGGAAACATAAACTTAATGAGCCTGTTTGAATCCTAGCTTGCCTGAGCAGTTTTCAAAAGAGAATCTGAAATAACAATCAGAGGTCTTTAAACAACAAGTAACGTGGTCAGTCAATCCAATAGTTCGAGTTTCCAGATTTCCAAACAGAAGTCACAGAACAAGAGATCAGCAACAATACACAACACTCCAAGAACCAGCACTTGTTTCCAACAAATGCCTCTCCCCACAGCATCTCCTTAAATCTCGCTCTCCAGGTGTTCCTTGTGGAGAAGGGTGAGATGCTCTCCTCCTGAGTAGTTGAGCCTGCCTGCATTGTTCCCTCCTCTCCACTCTCCATGCTCTAGGATCAGGTGGGGGTGGCCCTTGCTCATCGCCTGAACTCTGTCTCTCCTGTTCCTCCTGTTCCAATCCTGAAGGGACCTGGCCTGCTTTGGCCTGCTCTTCCCCACATTCCTCTGAAGCCACAAATACCTCTCCCTTGGGCTCCATAGGGTCCTGTTCCAGTTCATTTTCCTCTGCAGATTCAGGCTCAGAGGGAGGTATAACAGACAATCAGATAAGAGAAGCCATAGCCCCCAGCTGCATAACAGGCAGAGATCAAGAAAAGAACTGCCTTCTCAGGCTGTAAATGTGACAGGAGAATTGTATTTTCAGATTTGTAAAATGGATGTCAACTTTCCCAGATAGGAAACAGGACCAGATGAATTACTTCTACTTTATTTCATCAGAATCTTGCATTGTCTGACAGTATAAACCTCCCGCCATCTTTTTCACAGCCTGAGAAGTTAGGGATGTTTCTTTCTGGGTTTCTTTCTCTGCCCTTTATAAAGTTGGGGGCTATGCTGTCTCTTATCTGATTGTTCTCTAGACATCATCTCTTCCTCCCCCCTCTTCCTCAAAGTCATTGCCATATACCAGGGGTAGGCAACCTTGGCTCTTTTATGACTCGTGGACTTCAACTCCCAGAATTCTGGGAGTTGAAGTCCACAAGTCATAAAAGAACCAAGATTGCCTATCCCTGCCATATACCATTACATGTAGCTTGAGGACAGGGAAACCTTTGCTCCAATTCCAGCTTCTGTGCTTCTAGATAAAATATTAGGCACTGAGATTTGAATACAACTCCAAATCTAACTGTAGTTTTCAGCTGCTATTGTCAGGCTCAAGTTAGTCTCTGTCTGACTTGTCATGCTCATCCCCATAGATGTGTTCAACACACACAGCCCTCCAGGCAACAGTGGCCTTTTGTAACCTTAAGATATGTCTCACATTGCCCTACATTGATGTAATAAAACTGCAGTCTCAAAGGGTCTTTACTCCTTGTGACTTCAAAGACTCTTTTCTGGAATCCTTTTGGCAACAGCAGAGGAGTGACTTGCTCCTAATTCCTTAATTTCATGAGCTATCCTGCAATACCCATTTCCTGCTGGTTATTCTTCCATGTAATTAACAGGATTCAAGTCAAATTAGCAGCTGGGTCTAGATTAGAAAGGAGACCAACTAGTAGCAACACCTCTCCATGGTTGGAGATATGCAAGCTATTTCAAACTTGGGTCAAAGCCTCCCACATCATAGCTAGTCCATGCATATTTTTAGAACAGAGCCTGGAGAGGGTAATTCTGTAATGAATACACACCCACAAAGAAAGCCTGAAAGTGATAAAATAATAGCTCTTATTACTCAGAGCAACAACATCCCATTGTATTAAGTGAATTGTTTACTAGTCACAGTTGCAGTAGGAAAGTTGCATGGCTAGCCAACATGAACTAGAAAGTCAAGCAAAGTAGTTATGTAATAATAGTAGTAGTAGTAGTAGTAGTAATAATAATAATAATAATAATAATAATTATTATTATTATTACAAAAGTTATTTGGAGTCTGCTTATTCTTTCAGATGCTGAATAATAATAATAATAATAATAATAATAATAATAATAATAATAATTATTATTATTATTATTATTATTATTATTATTATTCAGCATCTGAAAGAATAAGCAGACTCCAAATAACTTTTGTAATGGGACTTTGTCAAAAGTTAAAATACGTTGTGGAAACCCCAGTTACAGTAAAAAAAAAATGAAAACATTCAAACAGTACATATTTTTTTTTTAAAGCAAGAGACAATCACTGGCTAGGTAAACTGTGCTAAGCCATAAATGGCATGGGGAATTTTAAACAGAGCATGATGCGTGACTAACTGGACCAGGTCTAAACATCTAAACACAACTTTAGAAAATGCCTAATTTGACTCTACTGGTATCCCTCCCTCCCTCCCTCCCTCCCTCCCTCTCTCTTTCATATGTGTGTGCGCATGAGAAACAATTCTCTATAAAGTAGAAACCCAGGCTTTGACCTCAGTCCCAGAGCCACCCCAGCTACTCAAAAAGGCCTCCTTGCACCATTCCCCAAGTTGTGCAAGTTTTGGAGAATGGTACAATTGCCCCAGTAACTTACCACTCCCCAGGATCTTTCTGTTAATAGCCCCCTGTGGCCTTGGAGAATGCTCTTCCACAGCCTCTGAAAACTATGCAAAGCATGCCCCATTCTTGCCCAATTTTTAGAGGCTCCAGAGGCACTGAAAAAGCAGAGCCCTCTTGCCTGACTTTCCCGAGGACCTGCAGGCCATTCAAGAGCACCTCCCATTCTCACAGACAGCTCCACAGCCTAGAAAATCATGTGAGGACGGGGCTTGCTTTTGAGAATAATTGTTGATTGATGTTGGTGAATGTTGGCACAGATCATCGAAAATGTCTTGACACACGTATCATAGGTTGACCATTTCTTGCTTAGCAGATGGACAAAAGGAGCTATAGAGCTGATGGTTTATGCTTCCTCTTCTTCTTTATCTTTTTTGAAAAACAAAACTCTGACCAAGGTTGTAAATAATCCTCTGGAGGCAGTATTTCTCAACCTTGACAATTTTAAGGCACGTGGACTTCAAATCCCAGAATTCCACAGCCAGCATTGCCTTAAAATTGTCATGCCTTAAAATTGTCAAGGTTGAGAAACACTGTAAACAGTCTGGAGAGTGATACAAATCAACTTTTGAAAAAAGGGAGGGGAAACAAAACAGGAGCTGACCAACAAACCACAAAGCATGTAAACGTGGTTCATTTGTAAAATGGATTTGGAATGCTTTGAATCTTTAATAAGCCATGTTTAAAA